TTATTCCTCTTCCAGACAAATTCTAATTCACTGCTAGTCCTACAGCGTGAAGAATTGTAGGACAAATTATGTATCAAAATGTGTGGTTTAATCGGGATCGGTGTGCTATTACTTTTCTCTATTGTATATGAATTTTTAGGGACATAAGTCGTGAAAAACTATGGAAAATTTTTAATATAATTAATAAATATTTTCACAGTTTTTGATTAACTTTTAGTTCTTTCAAACTTGCTAGTTACATTTTTTGACTTTCGGTTGTGTTTACATAACGCCACATAGTAATTTAAAAAAAAATATATATATATATTTCCTTACGTTTTACTGCAGTTGATAAAAAGACAAAAAAAAGGCAATACAAAAAAAGTGCATCAAATTTGTGTTCATTCATGACTTTTTATTGCTAGCAAATTTATCAAAGCTCCTTTGAGGAACTTTTTGTTTGTGTCAACTTTGGCACCCTCTGTGGACAAAGCAGTCTTTGCTTATCTCAGCCTCTACAGGCTTAAGTGATGTCTTTTAACATTTAACAGTTTTTAGGCTTCTTGACTGACTCCTGACTATAAAAAATGCCAATTTTGCTGATGTTCTTGTTAGCTTTTGGATATCATGAAAAGGCATGAATATGAATTTATATCTATTTTATAAACATCAAAAAACTCATCACGGGAACTGTATAATGATCTTTATAATAATGTAATACTCTAATAGGAATTAACAGAGTTTTTATAAATATACAGTATATACACCCACCTCTTTGTTTTTAACAGTCAAAAGAGAACACAGACTGTGATAAACAGCCCCCGCTGAACTTTCAAGTATGTTCGTTTACAGATATTGCAAAACTGCCGGCACTGATATGTCCTTGGAGCTTCTTCCCATAGTGTTGCTATGCAGAGCTGCTACCTTCAGGCTATATGAGAACTAGAAAGACACCACTTGAAAAACACCAGCAAACTTACAGGGGCGTAAACAGACAGACACACACACATATAGAAAAACAGACAGTCAGATTCATCTCTGTAGACAGGGGATGAGTCATTCTCTATTCCAGTACCAACTCTGACCCAGCTGGGTCATGTAAACAAGACAGGGAAACTGAAAACCTAAATATGGGCCTGCAAATACAGTAACTGTGGAAACAGACAGGACGGGCAGTCAAGGTTTCGACTAGTAAGGGGGAATTTAAAGGTCTCAGCAAAAGACAAAATGCACACTGGTACATGCACATCACAGTCCGTCCAGAATGTAGAAGGATGGGTTTGTTAGGCAAATATTCCTGGAGCACAACCCCACCTCTCTCAACGATCTGCATCTGTTCAGCCTGTATAGACATGTGCTCAGCTGTGCATTTGTGTGAGTGACTAGTGTTCGCTCAGCTGTGAGTGTGTCATTGTGTGAGCATATGAGTAAGGAACAGAGAGCTGGAGTCTGCTTTTGTGCGTGCGGGGACATGTGTTGTCTCTTTTTCGGTGTGTGTTTGTGTATGTGTGTTGGTACAACAGGGGGGACTAATGCCACATTCTCCTGCTGCCTCCATCGCCTGGTTTCGTACCTCAGCTGTCCCAGTGGACCCGAGCCAGACGGCACACATAGCTCTGGTGTGTGTCTGCACTCTGTGACCCACGGTGGTGTGTGTTTATAGTTGCATGTGTGTGACTGTATTGTTGGTTCCAAGAAAAAAGGCTCACATAAATGAAGGAGTGGGGTGCAGATGACCCTGAATCACCAAGCTCCGGTCCAGACAAGACGAGCTTCTCTGGTCAATCAGAAGAGAGAACACACCACATGAAAACACTCTAACAACCTTTCCACTTTGTGAACAATAACAACATCCCATAAGCTCTGCCAGCCCTCAGGGAAATACTTCTAGTTCCCCGGGACACATCAGTCAGTCTGTCAAATCCTTAAATACAGGTTGAGTAAGTCTGCTGTCAGAGGAAAATGTGAAAAAAAGACAAAAAGTACAAGGTCTGGTTTAGCATGCTTTAAACTGATGCTTTGAAGCCTATGCGGTACCAGCAAAATACACCCTAACATATCTTACGCAATAAAAGCAACAATCATGCAGGCTTTTATTGTGAAATTTTAAACCAAAGTAGCTTTTTTTGTTGTTTTGCTCTCAAGACATCTTGTTCCAAATGTTCCAAATGTTGGCTGCATTGCTACTTAACTTCCAATCAGAACCAAAACACTGAAATTAACAGACAATACTTAAGTAGAGCAGACAAATTTAGAAACGATTTAAAGGATATACAGAGCATAAGTAAAGTGAGACTTTTGTGCTACAATCACTCACAAACTAAGCCAAAACCTACAAACATTATAACAGGATGCAGGTAGAAGTCTCAGCAGTTAAAAACAGCTGGATGGATAAAACCTCCATGGTCTGATTGTGTGAAAAGGTGAATTCAGTCGTCAGTGTTTTTTATACTCACTCATGATTCACCCTGAATAAAGTATAGTTGCAGCAGCTCAGTGTGCATGCACAGAATATAATAAATCAAAGGTATCAACATTAGGATGTAAACAACCTCTTCAAGGGGGGGTTGGGGGGTGAAAGGAAAGATGTTTATGCTTTGCAAAACATTAAGCAACATGCAAGGTCAAGATTTCTTTACCTGCATGTGTCATCACAGAGCTGTCATCGCTCCGGTTCTCAGAAATCCCTCTGGGGCCTTGCAGTGTCTGGACTCAGAGCTGGACTTCGAGGAGAAGGGAAACACTGGCTGACGTGGGTGATTTAAAGAATAGAAGTCAGTGTGCCAGAGGGGATGCTGGGACGTATGAGCTTTACGTGCACCATATGGTCAGAAGGTGACTGGATTGGTGTCTAATTGGATTGGTCTAATCTGCTTAAACTGATAAAAAGAGAAGAAGAGAGACACACACAGACATTCAGATTTAGAAAACAAGGCACTGTAGAGTCGTTGGTATGAGATTAAGTAGTGCATGATTAATGTAAATAGTTAGTTTACCTGTTTATTTACACCAATTTAAGAGGTAACATTTAGTCAAATGTTAAAAGTTTCTGGTTTTTGGGGTTGTGCAATAGCTTGAATTTGATCCTTGTCAGACAATTTATCATTTCTGTGTTAAACATAGAGTAAATGCAGTGTAGGTTAAGTACTATTTGCGTAAGGTTGCTCTTTATTTTTTATTATAAGGCCTACTACCCAGGAAGCCAAACTGTGTAATATGCTGACGAATTTTCTTGTGAAATGTATCAGATTGTATCATGTCAATAGCTAACATAATGTAAAGTATAACAACATACCATGATTTATCATACCATAACATTTCATATCAAAACATGTCGAACAATAGCTATATAACACAGAGTTGTGTAACTTGTTGAAACCCTAATGTAAGGTAACATTACAAGTTTCATAGTATCATATATCATATATATCATATATATATCATATACTGTATTGCACTGCATCACATTTTATCACGCTGTGTGGTATCATACCATACTTTGTTGTATTGTGTTGTATCATATTGTACTGTATCCAATCATATTATACTGAATCATATTGTACTTTTTTGTATCACATGGTTTTGTGTTGTTTCGTATTTTGTTTTGCTTCGTATGGTGTTGTATCATTAAACATCATTATTTCATCATGATTAATAAACAATGAAAGTGAAATAATTTAATCATCAACGTCTAATCCTTTTAGTCTTAATACAACAGGGTCATTTATGTCTGCTCTCATGTGTCAGCCCTAACAACCCAGATCTTACATAAACAAACACGCTCAAGGGAAGACTAAGCCACGCCCACTCTTATGACGAATGACAACACCTGCTTCATTTTGACATAAATCTTCCTTCATACTGTTAAGATACGCTGTCATGTAACACCTGGGACAAATTCCCCAGGTCATAACCAGCCACCCACACACCCAAAACCACCAGCCCCTCTTTCTTTTTTTCTTTCTCTCTCCTCCCTCTCTCTATCCTCTCTCAATCTTTTACAGGTGATGTTGCAGAACCAGTTCTTGCTCCTGTTGCATGTGTACCTGACTTTTCTTCCCCTGGGGCACCGTACTGTGAGTATAAACACATATGACTCATCAGTGTTCCAGGAGATGAGCACTTTACCGTCATTACAGACAGTCTGTATTTCTGTATCTGGATAATGTGTTCCCATATGTTCTCTAATGTATAGAGACATAGATGTTAAGAATAGATATGAGGGCGAGAGCTAAGATCAAACACATTTTGAGGGTTGCGCAAAGTAGCATCATACATTTATACGAACAGAAATTTAAAAGATCCTGTGATGGTTAGATTCAGAGACAGATTCTGAGGTTACACTATGAAAACATTTCTAGGATGACAATGCTGAACATGTGACATTACTCCGCACCCAATAGAGCCTGTTCAGCAGCAGGTGGATGTAGCTGCAGTTATAAATATACAATCATACAAGGTATTAGGAGAGCTTTCTCATGAGCTCCCTGCAAACAAACCTGTGTTTATAATCTCCTACCAGCTTCAACACCTTTGCAGACTACAGTATTGTTACGATCAAATGTCTTATGTTTTGGGTAGCAACTGAAGCCTTGACAGAACGCCTATAGGTATGATCTGACAACGAATCCCCACGTTACACACTTTCTCAAGCCCACACTATTTTTCACGACTCCTGTAGAAAGGCACGATAACGAGGCAGTGTCAGTATCACACACTGCCTTCAAGTTGTGTCACAGGTCACTGACTCATCAGTGCTGAATCTGTTATCTAATTTGAGACTGAAATTCAATTCACTTTATGGTGATTCACCACACTGACTGACTGAATAAGGGGCCGTCTAGAGACACTCTTGTTTCATAATGCAGGTCTCAGGGATCAAATAGCAAAACCAGATAGTGATAAAAAAAAGGGGGCGTTGAGACGAATTTGATCATTTCTTTCAGGCTCTCTTTGAACTGTAGTCTGGATGCGGCTTGTTTCACATGTATCAAAGAGGAAATCAACCAAGAGCAGAACAATTTCAGTTAATAATCATTTTATTTTCTTTAGAAAAAGAAACTATCACAACTTCATTTGGTTACTGTACAGTTTCTCTTCTCATAGTCACTCGGTCTGATAACAGGTTGTGATTTCATGCTGTAACACCAAACGTCCTCCTACTAACACAAACCACTAGTACAACATGACAGTACACAACTTTCTCTTTTTCCTTTTTTTTTGCATTTTACATCCTCTGATATTCTGGGCTGTGTAGTAATAGAAATCACTTCTACTAAAAAAAAATGGAGCAGAGTAGAAATCCCTGACACTTTCACTTTTGAGGGATGAGAGAAAGAACTCTTTGAGCGGTGTGGTCCATACAACATGCACCTGATGTGAGTTAACGTGTGTCTATGTGTGTGTGTGTGTGTGTAGGCTTTGGACAGCACCATAATTCACTTAATATGTGTGAGTTTAAGAGGTTCCCTGCCCTACATGAGAGTGAGTAGAACAAGAGAGAAAGAGACGGTGATGGCGGGAGGAGGGGGGAGGAATCTAGGTCAGATTGTGGAGCATGCAGACCCCCTTTTGCAGGAGCTTGTATGTGCATTCTCTCGCTCTCAGTGGACAGAACTGCATGCATGTTCTTCCACGGTCGGGACAGTAAGAGGAGCACAGTTAATAGAAGATTTAGGGATGTATCAAGTATGTCTCCCTGAGAAACACTTTCTACTGTACCATTAAAAAAAATAAAAACCTTCTTTGTCACTTGCCCACCCTGTCAGCTCTTCTTGGCTCACAATTAACATCCCACTTTTTATTTCTCTTTCACATTTCACTTTTTCTTCCTGCGGGAATAATGCACCACAGCGGATAATCAGAAGCATGGGCAGGTGACACTCAAACTTTTAACTTTCCCAAAGCTAACCCTTCAAACCAATATGTGTGTATGTGCAAATGCTTACTCGCTCCATTTGTAAAATATATGCACAAGCTGTGAGAATCAAGTGTGACGTTCGCACCCTCGTAACAGTTCCACCGTCCTCGACCTCTACCACCTCTACTCACTTAAGCGAGGAGGACAAAAGCCATAAATGGGTTACCCTGCTGCCTCACAATGTCTCCCACAGTAGCACAGCAAAGCGAAAGCACACACACACACACACACACGAATCTCACATACTGAGTTGACATGCAAGCACCAAGGGTTGTGGAAAAGACGGAAACAGGCGCAGTTAGAAAAAGGACAGAGAAGTGAGCGCTTATTGCTAAAAAAATATCCTCCAAATTAGTCAATACATGATGCCAATCCATGTGTGAAGGCATTTATGTTGTAAATATGAGGGATAAGTGTGCTAGTGCATGCAGGGCCTGAACACTAAAAGGATGATTCTTTTATTAAATTATGTTGGCAGAAAAAAAATCTTTGAATGCCACATCTGACCTGATAAGAGTAAGTCTGTAGCCCTTTTCAAGTTTCACTCATTCAAACACCTCCCGGGAAAGGTCGGCGTCTTTTGAGGGTTAAGAAAGAGTGTCGAGTGAGGCAAGTGACAGTGCAGGTGTGCTTGAGAGTGTTTTACTAAAACACGTGAGAACACACACACACAGGTTAAAAACCATTTGCTCATTTACCAAGCTGTCCACTCACACAAGGAAGTTTTTAAAAAGCTTTATCTAAATCAAAAACTTATCAATGGCTGTTTACAGAAACTCCACAGCCGCTCAAGAAAATCCTCTGTATAAAAACTTTTTTTTTCTTTTTCGATTGTTTCTTATATTGTCTCTCTCTGCTTCGCTAATATTAAAAACCAGGAACTGGGGGTGTCGACACCTCGCAGCGGAAAACAAATAAAAGAACAACCAAACAAGTTTTAAAACCTAGGCTCCACTTTCTCCTGCGCTCTGACCCCTCCTGAGGAGTGCAGAGGAGGAGAGAGTGGAAGGAGATGGAGGAGATTACAGGTCTCTCTCTCTCTCTCTTTATTTCTAAGAGACAAGTTTGGGTAGGACTGTACGCAAAGGTATGGCTTCCTCAGAATTTCCCATCATGTTGCTCCTCAGTTTGTTGTTGGCCGCTGCGGTGCCTAAACCAGGCCCCCCTTTGGCCAGGATAGAAGGGAAGGAGGTGCTGTGGTGCTCAGGGAGCCGTTTCACTGTGGCCCCTTGGCTCTTATCGGTCCCAGTTAGGGGCTTGGGTAGGCGCCGATACAACCACGGATGTCTGAGAGCCTGGCTGGGGGTGAGTCGAGACGAAGGGTCCCAGTCCAAACACTTCTTTATGAAGTCAGTAAAGGTGGGGTCCTCGCAGCCCTTCAGCGCGGCACTCCACTCTTTGCTGCCTGGGGGGCCTCTCATCTTGCCGCGACGAGAGCGAGACCCCGTCAGCACCGTGGCCCCTGTGGGCAGGGTGTTTGCCCCGCAGTAGCGAGGGTGGCCCTTGGAGTTGATGAAGTTCTTTGCCCGTTTCGCTTGCTCCAAGACCTTCTGCGGAGGCATACCCAGAAGCTCCATGACGCAAGCCAGCTGGTCGCCCTCGTCCTCGCCGGGGAACAGAGGGTAGCCGGTCAGCAGCTCAGCCAGTATGCAGCCGAAGCTCCACATGTCGATGGGGAGGCCGTAACGTGAACCGAGGATCACCTCTGGAGCCCGGTAGAAACGAGACTGGATGTAGGTGTAGACCCGCTGGTGTTCGAAACAGCTGGAGCCAAAGTCGATCACCTGACATAGACAGTAGAGAAAACAGTGTAAGTCAACATCATTATCAGGACCATGTTACGCTGAGCTTTTGCATGATTTCAGACTCCTTGTGGATGTTTCGGACGCTCTACCTTGATGCCGCTCCGTCCCTGCTGTTTGAGCAGAATGTTCTCGGGCTTGAGGTCACAGTGGATGATCCTGTGCCGGCTCAGAGCGTCCAGGCACTGCAGGATGGAGTGTGCAAACTTCCTGACCAGCGGCAAGCTGAAGCCCTGGAACTTATTGCGCTTGATGAGCTCGTACAGGTTCATGCTCAGCAGCTCAAAGGTCATGCAGATGTGGTTGCGGAAGGTGAAGTTCTCGAGCATGTGTACCACGTTCATGGTGCCGTTGCGGTCCTGCTTGCGCAAGTGCTCCAGGATGCGGATCTCCTCCTGAGCTTGTCTGTGGAAACGCTTCTCGTTGCGCACCATTTTCAGAGCTAGATGCTGCTGCAGCTTGTGGTCGTACACCTTGGCCACCTGACCAAAGCTGCCTTTACCGATAATCTGAATTGGGAAGCAAAGATGGAGAAGGAAAACTGTGTTAGCAGCAGACAACCGAGCACAATAGTCTCTAAAAGACTTTTAAGTCTCACTTTGTGTCTTACTGACCTTGAGGAACTCATAGCGGTAAGCCAGATGGTCATGGGGAACATGAATGTATCCTCCCTGCTCGTCATCATAGCCACAATTGTTGTTGCCCCCAGCAACAGCAGGCCTCTTCTTGGCGTTCGGTCCCACAAAGTAGACATCCGGGTAGGAGTGGATCTCTGATTGCTCTAGGGAGGTCAGCTGAGATCTATACAGTCTCAGAGCCTGATCAGGGCTGAGAGGGCCACACAGCTTCCCACTGTTCCCTCCATTCCCGACTCCGTGTGGGCCGGAGGATTCGCTGGAGCCTTTGCTGGACTCAGTGCTGTGACAGAGAAGCAGGATAAAAACATGGCAATTAACAAGTGAAGTCGTGTTTCTCCCCCTCCGGTCAAAGCAGTTACAGTGGCTTCAAAGGATGTTCGTTTGCTGCCTTTCTCACCTATCGACACTGTGCTCCTTGGACAGGCCGGAGACAGGGGCAGGTTTACTGGGCGTCTGACCGGTGGTCCCGCTGTTCTGAGTGGTTGCTGTAGTTATGGCATTGATCTTTCGGTTGTTGGTGGAGTCTTCATATAGATACTTGACCTTCAGCTGGCTGCCTCGCACAGTTACCTGATCCCTCATGACAGCCTTGTTACTCACAACCTAAGAGGAGAAGAAGAGACAAAGAAAGAGAGACAAAGCTCTTAGAAAACCCATTTGTTGAACCCTTGACTGAAGCTCAGTCAGTCTAAGATCAGTGTTCATATTACATTGTGTAAAAAGCTGCAGCACATGACGTGTTTTCAGACGAGAAAAAAGACATTTCTATGGGTTTGTGAATGACTCTTTGAAAGTTTTAAGGACACAGCCACAGGAGTCAGACCTCACAAACATGTATTTACTTAACTCTTGTTAGTACGTCATGTAAACAGCTGACAGATATAACAGGTCTTTTATTCTCACTTGTAGGCATGTGAAAGCATGGCAGAAAATCTGAAAACAGATGCTGGCACTGTTTGAATACATCCACACAAAAAAAAAACTTCGGAATAATTTCACAGTCAAACACAGAGAGTAAAACTAGTGAAGACATCTAGTCCAGTTTGGTCTGATGCAGGCCTACTTTGGATTTACAAGCAGTGAGTCATTAGCAGAATGCGGCGTGCAGCATTTAAACCAGCATAACTGGAAAAACTCCACAGAATAAAAAAAGGACCCACCCCCAACCATACCTCACGCAAGAGGACCCAAGTCCCCTCCTCCCCGTTTGTTTACGAGCTTTTAGCATTTAGCTGAAAGGTATTACCAATGCTGGGCTGAGAATTGTACAAAAGAAAAGAAAAACCCATTCATGTGTCAAAATCAAGCGCTAGTTTTTTAAAAGATTCGCAATCTAAGAGGGGTTTGACGCAACTGCTGATAGTGCTAATCCCTGCAAGATCGGCACAAATGCAGAGGAAGAAACAGCAAAACCAGCTTGTATACGCACACTTACTGCACAGTTATGGTCATTTTCTAAAGAGTGACGCATACACCTATACTTAAGAGAGTTCCAGACTAGCGCTACAGTCTTGCCTGCCAGCAAACTGTTTCATTTTAAGAACCCCAGGAATTCATTCCTCCTCTTCCTCTTTTGTCTGCGTCTCTCCCTCTCTTCTCTCGCGCACCAGCGGAAAGAACCCTCCGCAAGATTATGGAGCACAAGGGAAATGACGGTCATTAAAGTTAGATTATGCTCTTAAACCGTACAAGCAGTGCTGCTGTTAATAAGATACACTGACATAAACTCAACTATATACAGACACACACAGACAGGCAGATTTACTGTTTCTCTCACATGACCGTTCGCAGGCAGTATGGTTACACCCGCGTGAGCGAGGGATCGGACTTGAAGATTTATGACATTATTTTCTCCCGTTAAACTCTGGAGCCTTCCTCTAACTTGTGATTACAGCGGAGTAGGTCAGCTGATAAAGACAGCACAACAAGGAAACGCATATCAAAAGTGGGTGTTGACACGTTCCACTAAAAGCCGACTCTGCTCGGAGTGTGTTTGTGTTGTAAGATGAAGTCCTAAAAATAGAGAAGGAATGCAGGACGGGCTTCCATATGTGTAACCATATAGTCTTAACTTGTTAAAGCGGTCTCACTGCTGACCCAGGATCCCGGGCAGCTGTTGAACCAAAGCTGCTCCACAAACACAATAAATGGCATTGATTGGAGACCCTTCACCCACAGAGACACACAAAATCAAAATCAATCAGTGTGTTGAGCATCACTGTGTTTAATTGATTTTTAGCTGACGGGGAAGCCAGTTAGAAAGAACATTTGAAAAAGCGGCCGATGATTCGAATGAAAACTGGGAGACTAGATATTCTCTACCGCCGAGTGATACGGAGAGTTGTCTGTGTGCAAATCTGTGTGCGGCGCAACAGATGGAGACGAGCTAATCTCTTTGCTTTCAGAGAAACACATAAGTATGCGTCTCTCCTTGCCTGGGACACACACTCACTAGGGCTGCACAACTCAACACTTGTAACCCTTTGGCACACGTACACATCAGAAGATCACGGTCATGTAGAAAGATTAAAGCTGGGTCACCATCATAACCAAAATCAATGTGCCATCTCATTAACTTTACATTATTTGAAAGTTTCAGCACTAGTGTGATTTATCTCATAAGTTTGTACCTTGACATGAAACAGCGACATACACTTTAATAATCTACTAGCACACGAGGCAAATGTGAGCATTGTACTCGAGGTTGAAGTGGGGCAGGCAACTGTGTGTCACATTGAGCGGGGCATATCACCTCTGTGAGCGTGACACAAAATACAAAGAAAAAGAGGCAGGACTAGAATAGAAAACTAGGCCTAACCACAGCGCGAGCCCACTGATGGTGGATTACACCAGATAGAAGGAGGGGAGTGGAGGGTGGGTAGGGGTGGATTGTTGATTGGTGATTTTGTTTGTGGGTCACATTTTCAAGCCCAATAAATCTTTAGAATATATCAAACCGGCCGTTTTCCCTCTACATGTGTGGGAGGCTGTGGAGTGGCTTTGTCCGTGAATGTGCACATTCTGCCAAAGGGGCTTTTCAGAGAGGCAAATCAGGTGGAGGGGAACCTCGCCAGTACTACACTAGATTAACTTTCAAGTGAAGAGGAATTTAGTTTTGATGGTTGAGAAATCTTAAACATGTTAAAGCTGACAAATAATAATTTTTAGACTTATTTAATTTAAAAAAAAAAGAGTGCAAAATATATAACCAACTATATTCATGAAAAAAGGACTTAAAACTATCAAAAACCTACAAAATCCACCTCAAATACCTGCAGTTCAGGAATGATAAAATAACTTTATTCACACCTGCGCATTGAAAACTGCTTCTTTTGCCGAAATGAAGAAAAATCCTCACAAATATAGGAAACTGAAAACCATTCAGAGTGTCCAATTATTGGGAATCATTCATTTTTTTCACCTTCGGTTCTCAGAAATGAACCGTTTTCCTCCTTAAAAGGCTGCTGATTACAGTTTTATCTTTGTATAGCCTGGGCTAGAGAAATGAAGTGGCTCCATTTAACAGTGAGAAGAACTGCTCACTGAAACAAACACCCTCAAAGCCCTCGGGCAGTCAGTCAATATTACTCACATCATCACGTGTTGTTCCCCCTGAAGGGTATAAAACCCTGACTAAATCACAAGGGTTAGAGATAACGAAAAAAAATAGATAAGAGATAAACGACCTAACCCAAAAAGAAAGAGTGAGATACAGAAGGAGAGGTGGATGTGAAAAGGCTGAGTGTGGAAAAACTAAGGAACAGGACGTCTGGAGACAGAGCGTGTTTCAGCACAGGAAATACGGCTTTACAGGCTTTGTGTGTGCGTGTGTGTTGTACTTACTGTGTGTTTGGGCATAGGGGGCAGCCCAGGTGGACTGTTTGTGTCGGCTTCGTCTTTCAGAATGTGGTCTGTCCTCATGTAAGAGTCATACAGGCCGTCTCCATGGCGTGCTGGAAGGACAAAAAATGAACAGGAAAACAAAGCGTGATTTGAGAGAATCACTAAATCTTCCAACACTGATGAATCCAGGGACAAGGGCAAAGGATGATGTTCCAGGTAACGGTCGTAGAATGCAATTCGACCTCCATGTGGCCAAACAGTCCCTTATTTGATTAAGCAGAGTCTTATTGATTATGTCATCAATCGGAGCACTGGTTTCAGTGACGACGCAACTGTTTTGTAAGGCTAAACAAATCCACGGAACCGACCTCAGCAAAGCCGCGACACAGGAACAGTGAAAGGAGCATTATCACCAGATATGTCAATTGCATCTATTGTGTTCAAGACTTTTATCCATGGCCAGCACTCCAACCTGACCGGCTTAGATAGAGCTTAGGGTCCCGGATCGCTAGCGCCGCAAGTGGTATTATTGGCCTAATAGGGGTAACAGATGCCTCAGTGACGACAGCATCTTTCCATCTGCCCATCTGTCCATTCGTCCCGAGTCATATAGTGCACACACCAGGTGTGCTCAGAAATAGAGATCATGTGGACGGATGTGGGTTCTTGTCATTTAATAGTGCCAAGTGTGTGTGGGTGCTCACCTCTGCGGCACCGAGCCAAACACCTCACATTGAGATGATAGTGAGCGCGAGTAGAGGGAAGAGACGAGCATGTGGGGCTGTAGAAGGAAGCCACTTACTCAAATGACAAACCTCAACTGACCGGCTGTTCAGTCTGTCAGCTGTCTAGCGTACCCACAGGTTGCTGGTGCAATAGAAGTGGGTCTTCTGTATTAATGACTGAAATGTGGCTGAGTAGTAGCCTGTTAGTGTAAGCCAATTACAAAGCTATTGTACTGTGTTAGCTCATTAGTTCAGGGCTTATAACTGTAGCAGCCCTTGAGAGTGGTGTAACCATGCCCAGGTGCGTCAGAGCCTGTGTCCCCAGCCCGTCAACAGACCTGCTACGGGACAGATTAGAACCGCAGCCTGGATACTGATGCATTAGACCTGCACAGCACAGCAAACACAGGCATTAGGTCTCCACTCACACAACATTAGCAGACCCCATTAGCCGTCTGGGTGCAAACTCTTAATCACTCTGTGGGGGCTCAGCGCTCTCTCTCTGTACCGCATCTCACTCAAGGAAGAAAATTAAACAGAGTCCAGACTACAGTGTAACCAAACATCTACGCTGAAGTGTCCTGCTGGCTTTCAGCTCTCCACACTGTGACAACCCCCTCCTCTTCCACCCCACAAACACACACAAAGCAGAGAGGAGAGAACAAGGTTCAAACAAACAGACATACAGCTGATCATGAGGCATAAAACGTGTTAGAGGGGGTGGGACTGTAGTCAAGTTGCAGTTTTTTTGTTCTCTCACTAGTTTGCGGGACAGAGTGTCTCTTCAAGGACAATGCATGGTCCAATGTATGACATAAGGAAAATCTAACTGAAAGCCACGGTACAGTGATTAATCTTGTAGTTTAAGTATTCCTTGTACTGCAAACACGAAAGGCAAACAGACACGGGGTCAGTGCAAACATACAAAACAATAAAACAATAAATCTATGACTTCATGGTATAAACTTAGACCGGGTTGTTTACGAATATTAAGGCTTATCAAGACAATAAATGCTTTCAGGGAAGGCATAAAAACAGAGTAGAGCTTCCTCGTTTCCTCTTCAACGTTCACACGCAGAGGTCTCGTGATTGATATAGGTTTCAAGAGCTAAAGAAAACGTGTTTACCACCAAGAAACAGCATCCGTCTGTTCTCTCTCTGTCCGTGGACTGAACAAACTTGTTGTCAATCAAACACGTTTGATCAGATGTATAATTCTGTGAAGAAGGATGGTACTTATGTCTGTAAAACTGACTCAGCTGCCATGTTGGCAATATCAAACTTAAACATGAAGAAGCATTTTAAACCAAAACATGTCTGCAAAAACACGAGGGGAACAAAAGTAGGAGTAGGAAAGAGTGCAAGACTTATGTTGTGGTTACCTGTTGCTATTGGGCCCTCTGGTTTTCTGCTTATTATCATCATGATTGCGATTAATATTTGATGCCAGCATCCGAAGTAGACAAAAATACCGAGTAAAAGCGATAAAACAAAAACAGTTGAACACGAGTAGAAAACTTGTTAAAAAGCATTTGCAACTTTGTTTGAGAGGAAAGTTGAGTCCGTTAACCCTGAAGTTGGTGTTTGGATAAAACAGACACCAAATGTGTTTTTTTTATCTCCTTATGATTGATAATTTACTCTGATTTCTCTCCTTTTTCAATAAAAAACACAGGGTTGTGTTGCGGCTAACATTAGCCTCGGCTGTAGCTTGAAAAACCTGAGCAGGCGGCGGTGGTGATGGTGGGGGGTCGTTTCCCTCAGCTAGCTAGCCAGCTAGCTTGCACAGCCACAAAAACACTCGTCCGACCGAGAGCCGCTCCCTCCGTTAAAAATAGTTTGAGTCCAAATGCTACAGCTTGGTGGTCTGACCCGTGTGCCCCTCGCCTTTCTCTGTCGGTACAGTGTGTCAATCCAGAGCACCATTCCCGTGCTTAGTCCCGGATAGCCTACTTTGGAGTTAGCGATGTTAGCACACGTCGAACCCCCAGGATTGTGTCCTCCTCCCGGGACAGCTTGGGGTAGCTTCGCTCCTCTTTAGGGGGGGATGGTTAGCCCAAATAAAGGCTAACTCGCTAGCTGTACTCAAGCCCCATTTTGTCTGCAAAGACAACCTGCTCTGACAGAAAAGCTTCACCTGTGCTCAGAGCAACAAAGCGGCGGTGTTTAATCCGTCTTCTCTGTGGTTCGAGTATCTTATTCGACGCAGCTGTGTGCTGTTGTTGCTAAGGGCGTCTTCTTCACTGAGCCTGGAGTCAGCAGCACACAGGGGGGAGGGAGGGAGGGAGCCGGGCGGTGCTTAGCGAGCAGACACGACACGCAAAACAGCGCCCCGCCGCGGCCTTATAGGGAACTGCATGTGGCCAGCTTTGAATCTGCTTCAGCATGAATGTGTAAAAATTTGCTGTATTGTGAAACTGTTTGGTATATCATAAACTTCTGTATTGAAGAGATTAACGCTTTTTAGTCAGTAAATTGAAGTTTATATTTTCTTGATAATTTAATACATAAAAAGGGGATATAATCTGTATTACTTTTCCAAAAACTTGTGTATACAAAGACTCATCCCTTCTCTGATCTTAACCCTAGAACACACAAAAAAAGAGAGTACATGACTAATTATAACAGTTTTCTTTTATCTTTAACTGTGAAATGTCCAAAGGGAGGAGGAAAAAGTGCCACGACATGTGAGTCTTCCCTGGGTCTTTGGCAAAATAACAGCTGCAGGAAAGAGAACCAAAATATGGCATATTTTGAGTGATTAAAAATGACCTGTTGACTAAAACATTTCTTATCACCGTATGAATTCACTTGAAAATTACTTTGTGGTATTCATAACCACTGCACTAAATAAAGATAGCATGCAAATTGCAGGACCACTCTTACTGACCTTGTTCGCCTACATGCAGCTATCAGATCCACCCAAACCTACTTTACCCTCTATCACTATTGCCGGGTCAAAATCACCCAAACACGTGCCTGTAGGAAAAAGCAGGTTTTGGATCAAAGGTTCAAAGGTTCAAAGGTTTCTTTATTTATACCTTGTTGTAAATTTTGTTTGCAGGCAGGAACCTAGCCGTCCAGATAAGACACACATAAAAACAACAATACAATAATCAAGTACAAGGAAAAATATGCCTTTAAAGATGTCAAAGGCAATGCTCAAGCTACCCAGGGACCCATGATAGACAGACAAACGCAACATAATGAAAACCACATAAACATGTTTGGTCCGGTGTAAATCACCCGGTGTGTTTTCGGGTTAAAACATGAATAAACCCCCCTTTAACCAACTTTTTTAAATTAATTTTTATTATTTATTGGTTTGGAACAAAATATACAATCATGCTATAATAAATATGACAATGTAAAACATTTAAAAACAACACAAATCTGCAAAAAATGTATGTATTTTTTTACCCTCCACCCTCTGGGGTCTATCTGAAATGTATATTACAAGTAAGACATTCACTTAAGGTTGTAGATAGCTCAATATAGAAATAGCAGATTAATTCTGTTGTATGTAAAATTGAAATAAAACAATAGGCAGCAGGATGTGTTTACAATCTGTTTTCTGTAGTATTATGGCCTGCATGGTTTATCCTAGCAGCAGACAGTTTCATCGCAAACAAAAACAGTCAAATAAAAAAAGTGGTAATTCATCACTGTAAGGCATTATTACAGAAGCCAATAATTTAATTATACAGGGGGCTAAATGGAGTTAAAACCAAGTTAGTTCTTAGTTAAAAGATTTTTTTGATTATTTGATGTTTTTGACAATTTTGAAGTATTTGTGCTTATTGTGTTTTAGTTCTTTAAAACTTTGAACTGTTTTGCATTGACACCGACAAATGAGATGTAATAAACACACTGACTATGAAACCATTGACTAGCACCAGGAATGGCTAGGTAGACCTCAGATACTCTGGCTTTTATAGTGCTGGTGGTCAGTCACTTTGCAAACCATGAAAGCTGAAATTTGGTCTGACACTGGAGAGGGTCTGCAGACCTTTGCCAAGACTGGGACAGATATAGTTTGGGGCAGGCCAGAGGACAGACAGAGTGAGATCGGGCAGGCATGAGAAGGGGAACGGGCTAAATTCGGACGGTGATACATGCTGGGCAGAGGGTGATGCTAATCTTAGTTCTTTCTCAGAGGTGAGAAAAGGGGTCTGTCTATATTTGCTGCCATAAATAAGCGTACTGACACAGTTTCGGGTGGCCCTCTGGGTAACAGCCAGCTCTTAAGGCCAGCTCAGCCATGATGATTATTCTTAGATGGTGGTGTAAAGAGAGAGAAGAGTGACAATGCCTATAAACTGTCCTGCCTTTTGCACTTTCTTTTCAGAGGAGTTCGACGTTCAAATGTGTGAACTCTAATCACAGCTGGTGAATTTACAACCACAGCAAGAGATGAGACCAGGTGCAAAACTATACCTTTAGGTTCTGGTGGGGGGGTTGGGGAGTTCTGTCTGTTTTTGGTCTCCTTGGCTGTGACAGACACTGACACCTGCTTGTTTATTACTCTCACACCTCACTCTGGAGGACCTTTGAAAACAGATTCCCCTTGAAAAATGACTTTAACAGGGAAAGTTATGTGTAAAAGTAGAGAAGCCAAATTCTTTACTGTTTTAAGCCTGTAAATCTTTTAATATATACTGTATATTTAATTCTTTTTTATCATATGTAAATGCATGAGCACTCACGATCTACTTTTTGCATGTGCAGCAAATACTGGTATTGGGCAGTGCCACCTGCTGGTAATTTAAAGTAATACAAATTTGCTAAACGTCAGGTCTTGCCTGGACAAGTTTTTCTGCATATCTACATAAAAAGTTACTGTAAGATTGAACTATCTTTAAAGTTATGAATTATTGCTCACATTTGCAGTAGTAACAGCACATTCCTGATTCCTTTGTAGCAATTCTCACTCCCTTAAACTGGTAAAGTATGTCTACATACTGCACAATTCTGCAGATTTTCTGTCTTTTCTCTAATGTCCAATGCTTAATGTTTTTTTTTTCTTTCTTTTTTAATTGGACTGCCCTTTTCATATTATCCTGAGAAAGACAGTTTTTACTTGAGTAAACATTTCATGGAATGTGATAAAGCCCTAAATAAAGTAAGGCTTAAAAATAGTAAATTTGGATCACATGACCCGTGAACGGTGAGTGCAGAGGAGGTTTCTCAAGTTTTGTATTTTTCAATAGTATAATCCACACTGAAACCACATCAAAGACACGGATACGAAAAAATGAAAACATCAGTAAAGGGATGACCTTTTTATTTCAGTTTAGTATTCTGTACAGGTCTACTGTTATATCTATACACACTTTTTCAAATAAAACAAAACAAATTGCAAATAAAAAGCATTAAGTCTCATCATCCTCTACATAATATCATATGGATGAGGTGGACTATGAAATAAATAACACGCAAAACACACTTACTCGCTCACTCACACTCACAGAGTGCTGGGAGGACACGTGTGTTAAGGGGAAAACATAAAATTCCATATTTGACACCACCCAGTACAAACAGACTTGCACACATGCAAAAGCACCCATACATCCACTCAGGCACCTGTGTGCTGGAACACATCTGACAGACAAACACCGGGGCACATGAAACAAAAGGCACTGCCAGCAGGAACAGCTCAGGCTTTGGGTGGTGGTGATTGAAAAAATGTGCATGTGTGGGTTTACTGAGGAGAAGTATGTGCTTATGGACAACAGGCCTCATTTATCAGTATATGTCATTGATTAAGGGTGTAAAAAAGGAAGCTATTCGTACTCTTTGTTGACATGCGTGCCAAATACCTTTCCAAAGAAACCTTAGTTGCAGATGTTATGTTGCTTCGCATATATATATACACTCAATTTATGTTTCAATACTTGAGAAATGAGGCCCAATGACAGAGTGCTGATGACACTCATTAAAAAAACTCTATTCACATTGTCCTCACTGCCCTAAATGAGCACATACACATACTCTCACACAATCCTACCAGTAGCAATGGTATTAAAAGTATATTCATAATAACAACAAAGTTAAACTTGTCACTCCCTTTTCCAGTGTCTACATAATACATATGCATTGCAAACACATCATTGGTACATCATTGCCATTATCACAAATTTTATACTTTTTTTTTGTTTTTATTTCATAAGGGGGATGGAAGGCGGGGAGGTAACAGAAAAGAGAAGCAGAAATGCATGCCCAGTCCCAGAGTTATAGGCTATTCAGTCACCTGCGTCGATATGTGCAAAAAAAACAGAAGCTGGTTGAAATTTTACTTACACCACTTTAAATTTAACCAACCCTTCAAAGTCTTTCTTCCCTTTAAAATCCTGTCAAAAGATCTGTCCCTTATTGCTTTGGTGTAATAATCCTCTCACATTCAAATGCAATCTGTTACAGCATAAAGATCATTTTTACAACTTTGTGTGTCTGTGTGAGTGAATAACTTCGCTGATTAGGTGGACATTATGCAAGGCTGGGTGGGGAGGGAGATTGATGTTGCAGTTCAGTCTGAGGAGAAGTTTGTGTAAGGGAAGGGGTTTGGCTAACTGAGTCAGCTTTGTCTTTGTACTTTTCTTTTTCCTCAGTGTACTACAGGAGGGAAATTAGAGGACAGCAAGAAGAAAAAAAAGCTGATTTTGGACAAAATGTTCCACAAAGGGATGGTGTTTGGTGTTTTTTTCCACTTTGAGATGTTTTTTTCCAAGAACACATGCTCCCTGAGAAAATAAATCAGAGAATAGATCTTGCTTTAGACACTTTCAACACAACCCCTGACCCTTACCACCTTGCTCGTGAATCCATACGTCTTCTAATCCAGCATAAAAATGAAACATCTGACGAGAACTTCAATTTAAAGAAGATTAAAAAAAAATCAACACTCAGTATGATTGTCCTTCCATCCCCAAGAGCTGCTGATGAAAACAAAACCAAATCATGCCTTCTGCTCTTATTCTCACTATGTGCAGGGGGATGAGCTGAGAGAGACTCATGCATAAGTAACACTTGCAGTAGCAGCAGCAGCAGCAGTAGCAGAAGAAGAGGGAATCTTTAAAAACACCAGTGGTTCTTATCAGTCCCCTAATGAGATTTCAAGTTTCAGATCTTGCTGTGATCATTCTGTCCGTGTGTGTCCTTGGCAATGAAAACAACACTTGTCCAATCAGCAAGCAGACCACACACCCTGTAGCCTTTCCATTTGCCTTTGCCCATCCTCAGGAAGTGGATGCATGGATGACGAGGGTTAGGGGGGGGGGTATATGCATCCTGAGCAATGGTATGCATGTGTATGTGCATGTGTGGATGTACTCTGTGTTTCGGTGTATATATGTGGAGAGTGGAGACAAGTTCAGCTCCGGCTCAAGCCTCTGGATAGATGGCAAAGGACTGGGGGTTCAAAGGGTCAGAGTCTCCCTGGGAACAGGTGAGGGGGTCAGGGGTCAAGTTGTTGAAGGGCCTGTTGTAGTTTCTGTCGGTACAGGGTGTATTTTTGCTCCACTGTGCGCACACGCTCCGCCTCCTCTTTCTCCAGGATTACCAGAAAGTTTTGTAGCTCAGGGACAGAGAATGCATGCCACTGTGAGAGGAAAATGAGAAAACAAGAGAGAAAAACTTACTTCAAAATCAAGGCAGAAAGTGAGTTTGAGGTGTAATCTTTGTAAATATCCATCAGAAAAAAAGCAGATGGTATAAAATTTTAAGAAGAGTCAGTGTGTTTTCTCACCTCCACTTCTCCAGTTTCATTTTCCTTCAGGACAAAGCTGAGCTGTTCTGGATCAGGCCCTGCTAGCAACCTCAGAAGAAGAGGGCGCTCACATAGGGGAAGCTTCTGGAAAAGATCTAAGGGAGGGAACAGAAAATGAGAACGTTATATAATTTCCTATTATGCAAAACAACAAACAAGTTGCTACTTAAGTTTTTGTTTTTTTTCCCCTGTACCTTGTCCGTCCCGATGCATCTGCCTGTACAATGCAAACTTTCGAGGATTGTCCAGCACCATGAACTTTTTCAGCAGTCCTTGGATCACCTCCCTGGTGGTGGTCAGAGAGCTGATGTGGAGCTGCTTCACGCAGTCGCATGGTAAGTAAAAGGATGTCCTCTTTTCACTCTGTCCGCAGTCTGTTCCTTCCTGGCACTCAGACAGTACCTGGTTGCAGTTTCCCACCTCCCTTGACAGTCCATCTGAGCCTCCAGTCCCCACATCAGGGACTGTGACCGGCCGACTGAGCCTCAGGTGGACTTTAATGAAGCCTGTGTAAGATCCATCTGAGGCCTGCAGATTACACACACGGAGTAGTTGTTTAGCCTGTTTTAGTCATCATGCTTAACTGTTATCTTAAGTTTTATTTTGATAACATAAAAGTGACGATAATCTAAATCGTCTCATCTGGTGCTCGACGAATAAACAAACTTTCCTAAATGTCAAATTTTCTTTTTACATGAAAAATATTAAAAAGTGTTTTTATTTTACATCACTTTTAAGTTTGCTTTGTCATTACATGAGTTTCTGTTCCTTTTTGTATAATCCCTTTCTGCAATAAATCCCAGACTGATTTCTGTTCCTGTTCATAAATGAAAGTGAGGGAGTTCTGAAAGTAACTTTTGGTTTAACATTTTATATTAAACAGTTTACTTTTTTTTTTACAAGCACCGAGGACTCACCAGTTTCATGCCGTTTTCAGACACTTGAGCATTGTACTCTTCTATCCTTGTCCGCGCCTCTTCCTCTGAAAGGTCCTTGGTGCCTCCCTCTTCCTCCTCCTTTGCTTCATTCTGCTGTAAAGTCGGGAGAGAAAAGAGAGTCAATTAAATGAATGAAAGAAACCGAGTGTCAAAAAGGAAGAGTGCGAAAATGAATGAATGAAAGGAACAGAGTGTCAAAAAGGAAGAGTGCGAGTTGTATTATTGTTTCTTTTGAACCAGCAGAGGGGGCTACTCCCAACTTAAGTCCTGTAAAACCCAAACGCTCTTTTTGCTCTCCTCAGTTTTATGAATAGACATCAAGAGAAACATACTTCTCTTTTAAAAAATGGGCCGACTGATTTAAAGGCATATTTACATTCTATTTAAAAAATCACAACCTGCAGCTTTAAGGATGTTGTCTACCACTTGACATCCTCCATCATTCTCAACCTAAAGGAGGAGAAGCTGCTTTATTGATTGCATGCTGAGAGGGATTCTTCTCTCTTTCTCCTCAGCGTGGTTTAACTACTCTGCAGCTTGACACAGAGACAGGAAATGTTGTGAATGGAGCAAATCACACATTCAATATCAAAGCATGAAGACATTGACGGTGCTGCCTCCTTCTCACTCTAACTCATTTCCTTTTTCTGTGATAAGGAGGAATGACAGAAAAGGGAGAGATAGAGAGAAAAGGAGAGAAGAAACCCTGAAAGGAGGAGGAAGAAGCAGGGAAAGACACGAAGAAGGGGTAAAGAGTGATGAAAGAGTGGCTGCTGAGCCAGCCTTAGCAACACAGAGTTTGACTGGGTTATTTATAGTACAGTGGGATGCATCCTCTCTATCTCACAATAGCTTTTTTTTCTCCTCCTTCTCTTGTTCGTTTGCATTTTCTGGGACAGCGAGAGAGAGAGGAGGAGAGAAAGAGAGAGGGAGTGAATGCAGGGCAGGCATCATTTCTGTAGGGGACTCCTCAGGTTGTGTGTGATGAAGTCACTGTTTTCATTCAGCACAGATGCAGTGTGTGAGTGCATGTGTGTCTCTGAGTGCACACATGTATACGGTGATGAACAACACACACAGCTGGTGTAGCTTTGCTCATGCTGGCTGACATTCAGCGGTAAAAGAGGTGGTTACACTGAAAACTATAACATTTCACACAAACATTTTAAGGTGGTGTTAAGAGGTTGCAAAAAGAACTGTGTGTGTGTGTGTTTTGTGTCTGTATGTGTGTGAAAAGCAACAGCAAATACATGGGTGCTTTTTCATTTTAGTTTCCATAAAGCTCATCCTCCTTATCGCTGCCTTCATATCTTCTACTTCTCATAAGACACTTCTGGGTGGAATCATGGTCCTATTACACTAGTCCATGTCCAGTCTGCCGTGAAACAGCAGTGAATGCAGCTTAAGCTTCCACGGTCACTGCATGTTGTAAATTCAATAATTCAAAGCCCATTTAATCAGGACACAGTCATGTTTAAATTTACAGGGTGTACAGTGCTGTTTCTGCAGTTTTACAAACACATTTCTATAAGAACTAAATGTAGATCTTTAAATGTACTAAACTGTAATCGATAAACAGTTTGTGTTGTAAAAACCCAGAGTTATGAGCAGAATATGAGGAACATGTGGAGGTTGACTTGTATCTGAAATTCCTCCCAGTCAAGTGCAACAAAGAAAGAACATGAATGCAGGAATTCCTGCATTTGTATGTGAGTTTCTAAATGTATCAGAAGCAATGCCCTTCCCGCCCTTTCTGCATACCAGTGAGAGTGGTCAGGGGACAATAGAGTGATTTCCGCCCTTGAGAGTTTCACAGTCCTGGGACCCACACTGCTCCATGTCTTGGTCATAAGGGGAGCTAATGACCGATAAGACCCGACACAGAGAATGAACCTTGAAAAGTCCACAGTGTGTTCCAGAAAAAACCTCCTTTACAAATTTTCCCATTTTAAAAAGGTTAAAATAAAAAAAATCATGTATTTGCATTTGCAAAGCAGTAAGAGTGATCACGAGTTTTTACCGCAGAGGATGCAAACTTGTTGTGTAGCCTGGTCATGTTTAGAGCTACTCCAGGTGTTTCATCAGTCAAGGTAGACAGCTGTTCACTATTAAGTCTGGTTCTGTCCGGTGTCTCTGCCTTCCCACAGCTGAAAAAAGTGCTAACTCATGGTGGATTATTGTTAGATCTCTCTGGAAAGTGCAGTGAATTTACATTTATAAAGAATGAAAAAAAAAACAATGGACAGGATTTACAGACTTCCATTTCAGATTTTTTAACCTAAACTGCTTTAATATCATACTCTTAGTTCAGGAAAGTTTATGAACAATTAGAGGCAGAAGCCAATTAAAATCTATAAAAAAATCTATATGATAATAATTTACTCCAAACACTTATCCTCTATTTTGAATCCCTGTTGCCACTTGTCAAAATACCAAGGGCTGCCAAAGACTTAATTTTAAAATCACTGACATTTAATATTCAGTTAATATCAATCACATTTCTAAATCACATGTTTAAAATTCTATTAATCTGCATTTCCATACTATGTTTAAGTCTATAATAACAATTTAAAGCAAGTATTGCCTGTATCTTGATTTGGGAATCAGATGTATGCAATGAAATTTACTCTGTTATCATCACTTTTGGAGTTATCACGTATATATGCTGTACTGCTGCACCAGAGTGATCTAGAACCATTATGTAGAGGTTAAATAATGCTTCAAAGTGCTGAATCTGTCAAATATAGTGCTCACAAGAAAAGTATTATAGCACAGAAGAAATATATCAGAGTGAATATAGTGTGTACATTTTAACAAAGTGCACAACAAACAGTTAATAACTGCTGACATCAGTCTGATTAACTGCACTTAAACACTTGACTCATGCTTGGTAGCTCAGTGTCAACTTACACAAACCTGGTGATCTCTTTATTTTTAACTTCTTCAACGTTTCTATTTTTGGGATTAAAACAGGCCTTTCATATGGATATTGTATTTCCTTTGACTTTGTAACAGTACTTAGTTTTCATTAGTTAGTTTGCACAGAACCACTTGAACCCAGCTGAGTCACCGCCAGCTGTGACATGTTTACTTTAGACAACCACAATCTAAAACCAGAAATGCCACAAAGCTTCATTAAAGAGAACCTAAAGAAGACGGGGTTGATGTTATATTGGTGGTGTTTTTAATATACTTTATATTAATAGCAAAGTAGCATATTATGACAATCACCAGGAAAAGACCGGATTTGAAGCCTCTTTTGGGGTCTATCAGTGCCTGTGCTAGCCAAAATATCAGTTTTGCTGCTTTAACCCTCTTCTTAGCTTCTTGTTTGACTTAATTTTAATCCAACAAATACTATGCTATCAAGACCTTGAGCTAACACTGGCTGCGTTTACATGGGCAAAAAATAATCGGATTAAATGCCCGATCGGAAGATTCTGATCCAATTCGGCTCAATCAGAAATAAATTGTATTCCGATCAATAAGGAATGGTTTATGCCGATCGTTATTCCGATATACGTCCATGTAAACACTTATTCTCTCTCTTACCTGACTCGATATTCACTGTTAGCCTTTAGCCTTTAGCTTATTTATTGAGGCCGGTACAGCAGGTTTCATTATTAACACTGGCATAAAACACGACTGCAGATGCCGAGTCTGCTCCTCCGGTAACGTAACAAGGCGCACATACAGCGTAACGATGTCACATCTGCACGCACAGTGCAACCTTTAACAGAACAGTAAAGTAAGTAGGCAAGGGCGCCATCTAGTGACAACATTTAACAGGAGGAAAACTCCTAAATTGGATGGAGTGAGCTACTACCGCGTTTGTTGGTTTGTCGACAGCACAGGCGTAAATACAACTCTTCTTCTGCGCATGTCCAAATGCTTCTAATCTGATGGTGTATGCATACGCACGTCATGATCGGATTACTTAATTTTGAACCTATATAAACAGTGGATTCAGATTATCCAATCCCTCAAATTTTTAATCGGATCAAGAAATTTTGCTCATGTAAACATGGCTAATGTGTCTGACAACTCTGTGATCAAACTTGACGTCTGCTACTAAAGTCCAATTTACCGGAAAACACCGGCCCATTTGAAAAACGTGCACCTAGAGATTAGACTTCTCCTGTCATAACAAAAACAACATCACAGGTGGCAGCTCCAGACCTTGTAATCCAGTTTGTTGGTGTGAGTCAGGTAGACGCAAAGCAGCTTAAGTGTGTAAGATATCTAGGCCTGTTATATAAGGGTCACACACATGCATACACACCTCAGGCTGACATGAATAAGTGTTGATGCTCTCGCCCTGATGGGATCAGACAAGAGAGGTCATCAGCTGCGGCAAAGTACCACGCGTTAAACCCAGCCTGTCTGTGGGCATGACCTGACCACCGATAAAGTGACTCAAACTTACTCTTGACTTTGTGGGTTTAACCTAAAAGTGTGTGCGGGTATGTGTGTGTGCGTGTGTGCTTGATATCCTGATCTTCAGGTAACACAAAACTCTAGGATCAGTTACAACAGGTCACTGCAGTCGGGGCTAAACTTAAGGAATATTTCAGAGGCAGACATGCGAGGAGCTTTAGTTACAAACATAAATGTTCTACCCTCCACACACAAACATCCAGCAAAAATGAACCAACACTCTTAACAGCACATGTTAGGGAAAAGCCTTAGGTGGCGAGACGAAGCAGGATTGATGAGACACTGACTCTATTTCACAGCTCAGAGATCACTGTGTGCTATCACAGTCAAACATACACACACACAACAAATACAAATATATACAAAACAGTATACATGCTCTGACCCTTTGTGTATTAAATTCAGAATAATAGATGAACGCTAGATAATCTGCTTTTGAATAATGCGCCTGATCTACTCTGTGTTTGAGAGAAATTAGAGCTTTATAGAGTACATGTATGAATGTGAGGAGTGTTTTCTTTTTAGGAGGATTGAGATCTCCAACTGGGATGCTCATTCATTTTCCCTGCATCAAAAAGCAGAACAGTATGAACTGAATATACCCCCTGCTTTGCTCAGCTCAGAGATAACCACATGCACACACGTACACACACTACACAACACAACACATTAAAGCTGGCTGGCTAATCTGGAGCAAAAGGCTCAGCTCTGGAAATAATTCATAAAGAAAAGAGTAGCTCAACTCCTCCTCCACTGTTTTAATGATAGAAGTGTCGATCTTCCTGTCTCTGTGCATTAAAAATACATAACTGGAAGCAAAATCAAAACAACGGCTTTCCTTAATTCCTGAATAAACTCAATATATTATCATTTCTTTGTCCAAGTGACTCACATAGGCCTTTGCATATCTCATTTTCATATTCAAACACAGGAGAATAAGACTCTTTCTCTGCAGGGCTCCTTGCTCTACCAGGACACCCTCTCCGTCCTCTGTTTGTTGGACTGTGCTGTTGTTGTGTTCTGTCAGATCATTTTACGTCAAACACTTTTCTGTCAAATCGTTTCACGTCCGACCCTTTTGCTCCGGCCATGTCTTGCCAGAGACATCAGGCTATATCAGCTGGCAGCTTCTGCAGCCCAGACTAGCTAACCCTAATACCCCTCTGTCACAGCGCAGTAACAATCTTAACCCAACACACACACACACTAGCAACACAGTTGGTCAATTATTCAAAGATTAAACCTTCTCCAAGTCAGACACCAAAGGCACTGCCAGGACAAAGACAGCAGGTTGAGGGCTGAATCTGTTTTACATGAATGCAAATGATCTAGAAAGCAAACTGCCCCCTCTACTATTTATTCCACTTTCATACCTTTTCTTTCCTGCAGAAATACATTTAATTACATGCAGTGCACCATGGAAGAAGCACTGATAACAAACATGCAGCACCTCGCACTCCTGCAGTGCATGTATAGCTGTATATACTGTAGTTGTGGTATGTGACGGGATTATGTGTGAGGTAATTGAATGTACAGTAGAGCAAAACCAAATCCTCAGAAAGTGTGCCAGCAAAACCATGAGTTGCTATGGTAACTGGAAAAGTGGTGTGGTACAGTTAAGCAGTTTCTCTGCACACACACATTCGCACACTAACTAGCTCGGGTGCAAAAGTATCAGATGCGTTTCTACGGAAACCTCTCCCACGCGCAATAGGGATGAAGCCTCTGTGGAATCTGTAAGTTAGCACCATTAGTGCGATGCTAAAACTCAGCAAACACAGTATGTCAGAGAGACTGGACCACGTTTTATTAAGTCCTCGTCTCCTGAGCAGTGTTTCCAGACTGAGATGCTGGATCCATGAGTGCTGCTCTCATGATAAATGAGCTGCCAAAAGGCATCAAGGCTGATGAACAAGGCTAACAGCCAGGAGATCAATGTTACACAACATACGACAGAAACCCCTTCCTACACACAAGCACACACACCTCAAGGCCTGAACTAAGAGTGCAAATTCACCACTTCCTCTCCATACTTCTGCTTTCAGGTTGCATGTATGTCAGATAAATGGAAGTTCTTTCCCACCGATATTTAACTCATCAGATTTTTCTTACTTTAACGAATTGATCGATAGTTGTGAGTAATATCCTAAATTTTGTACCTTTGCTGTGTGTTTTGACTTGCGGAAGAACGAGGTCTTGGCTGTGAAGAAAGTGAAGTCATCGCTCTCATCATCCTGGCTGCAGTACCCGCTGCTCATGCTGTTACTGCTGGTCATGGAGGGGGTCAGCACCGTGTTGACAGTCATGGAGAAGTCCAGGGTTGGTCGCCGGCACCAGAGGAGCACGTTGACAAGTCAAGGAAGTGAGCGTGTATTTCGAAAAATTGTCCGGCTGATGTGCCGCTCAGCCCTAATCAGAGTCCAAACCTGTCGCCTGACTGTCCTTTACTCATCCAGAAAAAGTCAGCACTCCTCTGCTGATGCATCCAGAGAGTTGAAGTCCCACCTGTGGTGGTGGTGGTGAGACAGGTGAACTCTGCTCAGATTCTGTCTCTTCGCCTGCCACCGGAGAGGAGACCAGGAAATCGGAGAGCGAGCACAGACTTGTCACTTCCTCCTGACGTGTGTGTGTGTGTGTATGTGTGTGTGTGTATGTGTGTGTTATTACTCTGTCGCTGGTGTCACAAACACACCATAGTGTACATGCACCTGGTCTTTTGAGGCTTAACATACACACATGCACATTTGACCCTCAACAAACACATGAGCACACTCTGGAGTCATGGAGTCAGTTTACAGGCTGGTTTCAGGTTAGCCCTGCTCACCTGAGAGCCCCTGTTAAAGCCACATACAGACACTCATGCAGGCATGCATGCAACACCACATCCTGCTTTCACTATGCACACAGTATACTGCTTCTGCTGCTGCTGCAAAAACAAAAAACTGGAACAAAAAAAACAAAGAATAGTTCAATTCATGTCCAAACAGCTCAGTTATGCCGGCGTTTAAGTGCTTGAGCATCCATCCGTCCCTTGAGTCCAGAGTAAACAGCAGCAGAAAATCTCCTGCAGCAGCAACAAGACGCTCTCAGACCCAGCTTCCCCTCCTCTCTCCCACTCTTCCTCTGTTGCTTTGGCGATATTACAAGAAGAGGGATGGATGCCTACCACTCAGCCTCTCTCTCCCTTGGTTTTCTTACACTCTCCCTGTCTGTCTTTGCTCCCTCACTCTCTCATGCAGCTTTGCTTAACCATCTGTGGTTATCAGCCAGAGAGCACCCTCCCCCTTCTCTCTCCACTCTCTCTCCACTGCTCTCTCTCTCTCTCTGTGTATCTTCCTGCAAGCGACTGCACCCTGTAGTGCATGGCCACTTCCTCTAACACAGAGTGACGAAAAAAGAGAGAGAGAGACGCCGATGAGTGAAAGATATGAAGTCTCACAGCTCCTGCTTTACATACACGAGAGACGCAGTAACAGGAAGCGGCAAAGACGCAAGGGAAAATGGCTGCTCTTCTGGTGAGAACCTGCCTCAACAGTGCATGAAACCATTCACAATCTCTGCAAACATGTCGGCTTTTACGTATCGGAAAGTGCCACAATCAGGGGTAATGTTTCCACACCAGTCCTAAACTAAAACACGCCAGGATTAAACGCACAATACCTTAAGAGCTCTTTCTTTTTGATTATCTGAGTTCTTCTTTCATGTAACATCTAGGCCTGCTTTTCTTCAAATGTTCCTCAAAAGAACCATTTTAAGTGTTTTTTTTAATGACTTTTTAGTTCTGTTTTCCATTTTTGCTTCTATTTAAAGCACCTAAATGAACGAATGAATGAATGACTCATAGGTAATGTTGTTGAGATCTACGCTACCACGACTAGTTTGCTTGGAGGGGTTGGTTCTGCAGAGCTTAAGGTTAGATTAGGAAAACAATGACTGATCGCCCTCAGCATTGAGATTACAGTGACCTCCAACCTAGCTCTGACCCGAAAATCTGCCCTCTGTCTCTGGCAGTGACCCCTGAATCAAAAAACAGCTAATGCTCCTGCCCCTGCTGTGATTGATGGCACCTATATGCATCTGTCTGCACCTGCTGTTTCTCTCTCTGTGTAATATGATTTTTTAAAGCCACTCAGACGTGATTATAGGTAAAACTATATGCTGCATGGGGGCTGTGGCAGACTACATGTCACTCTTTCGTCAGGAGTCTTTCCTGTCAGGTTTTAGTGAGGTGAAGACTGATTACCTGCAGCTCTGCTCTACATTTCCATCAGCATAACAACTATAGCTAGAGGATGCTGCACACACACACACACACACACACACCTCAATCTTAAACGACGCTCCTGCTTAGTCGATAAAGCCTGGTCATTGTACTGCATGTATGGCCTTATTGGGGAAAAAGGGGATCAATTTCTGCTGATGCACACACAACAAGACGCAGTAAAGACAGAGGGGAGGACAACACAGTGACACACAGCTGCAGCTCTATAAAACCCATCACAGAGGGAGAAAAGGGCTGCAGGAAATCAACTGTCATATCTCGTCTTGTTGTAATACCAGCGCTCTCTATGAAGCCAACAAGAGGGTTAGTCACAGCGTTCACATACCTCTAAGAAAAACACCATCAACGCTCACTTAATTTGAACTTTCCGCTCATTATCTCCAACCAAACAGTCATTAAACCCACAGAGACATAATGGTATGTAATCTGACTAAGTGAACAGATTACATGAAAGCATGTGATTACTGCTGCTGCTGCTGGACATTTGGTTAGATGTTCATTTATACTGCATGCCTGTTCGCTTGCTTCAATTCTTGTGATTCCTGAGGATGTCATGATTGTGTGTATTTTTTGCGCTCTCTAGCACCACCTGGCACACTACCAGAGGTCTAATTTTGTGTGTTATCTTCCCCCCCGCCCCCTGGGAGTGGAGAAGCAGCCAACATTCTGCTGCAGGGGTTATCCAGCTTTCTCACATGTGTGTGTGTGTGGACCGCATTGCGTGGGTGACTCAGCTTGGGATGCCAAGAGCTGCATGCAGGCTCACACTCTCTTCGTTTCCTGTATCACACACATGATGACACAAAGAGTGGGTGCAGCACTATTTCGAGGAGAGATTTTACATAATAACTGTATCAGCGGATAGCCAATGGCTTTACAGTGTTAGAGTATAAATGTGGCCGTGATAGATTTTGGGCTCAAATGTATAAGATGTTGAATAACTACATATACTCCAATAGCATACATGAGATTTGAGAAAGAGAGATTTGAGACCCTGTGGAGAACAGAGCTTAACCTAATTTTTTTGTGGCATTTAAGAGCATCTGAGGAAGTGAGGACACCGAGAAGAGGAAGATGAGGGAGGCCCTGAGAGCTTTCGCAGCACAGAGAGGGAGGCACATCACACGCTTACGTGACGTAGCATGCTCTGTGCTGAAAACATTCTGCAATCATAAAATGCAAATGAGCGCATAAATAAATTCATGAGCTCACCGCAGAGGATAAAAGGGGACAGAGTGTTGTGAAAGAGGAGGAGAGTTATGTAAAAGTTCATGATGGGAGAGATGCTGCAGAGTGAGCTCTGCCTTTAATGACTCACGTACACCTTTGTGAGACCACTCACATTTGAGCTCTAAATGCTCGACCGGAGATGAGCGTGTTCACTCTTCAGCACTAGATCTAAAAATTCCTCCATTGCTTTTTTTTTTTTTTTTAACTCAGATTTTCAGTCAGCTTGTTTCCTTTCCTGTTTCCTATTTTGGGGTGCTCACCTTATGCTGGGTGGCTTTGGAGTTGCAGTGACTTCTGGGAGTTGAAGTTCCTTTGGACCCTCTGTCCTTTTGGTTGCAGTCCAGCTGGACCTGGCGCTCACACTCGAGGTGACAGGTGTAGCTGCAGTCTGATGGACAAAAAAAAAAAAAGAAGATAATCAGGGAACTGAACTTTTACATAAAACCAGGAAACAAAAGAAGAGAGATAATGTCAATAAAATTTCAATGTGACTTCTCTCATTTTTCTTATCTGATAGGTCACATTTGTGAGCTTGAAATTTAGATTTGTGCAAACATGTACTCATACAAACCCTTTACACAGAATATTAGCTCCACCTAGTGGCTGAAGTCAGACACACAGAGACCAAATACAGTGAGAATCCATTGATAAAAAAAATCCTTAACCTAATCACAGAAAATGCATCTTTCCATTTGATGTTATCACAGGTCAAATAAGCTCATCCTCCACCAACTCACACTGTTTAGAAGCACCACTGTTCAACTCATGAAGAAATCTTAAGATGGGTTCAGTCATATAAACATTTGTTGGATATTTTTGATAGCTACAGTGCCGAGTTATGATAGACACAGATACATAATGTAAAACAGACATGCTGTAATGTCACAATGGTGGAAACACTCCAAAGCCAATAAACTGCTCTAAGGCCGAAACTGTGGTCTGGTCAAGTCACATCTGACTTCTCAGTAGAGAATAGATTATGGTACTTCCCCCAAAAACTTCCCAAAATAGTCCACTGTTCTTTAATTTTTGTGCGGTTTCACATGCGCCAGGCTCAGCTTGTTTATGCAGCGCAGACTTTTTTGTGGCTGGAGGCTTTCCCCCCTGAGGCACACAGCTTCACATCTTACTTCTCCTCTGTTCATATGATAATCCATGCTGAAGAAAAATGAGATTTTAAAAAACCACACAGGAAAAAAAAAGAGGTCTACATTTTGAGGAAAATTCTGAGTCAGATCCTTTTTGTGGTTCTTAAGAAGGAAAGCTTCTACAGTGTCTACAGTCTAAACTGAATATAAAAGGTTTTCATCAAAGGCCCGTAAGAAGACAATACTGGTGAACTGAGATGAGCCTGGTTGGTTTTCATGTCTACTTATGTTAGTCTGCATCCTGTTCAGAAAAAGACACCGCTGCGCCTGCAGTATTTAGCATCAGCACTGTAACCATGGCAACAAGCTTCTTGATGACCACTACAGAGAGAAGGAGCTTTATTTACACTAGGTCACAAACAGAAGGGGTTTTAAAATGATCAATTTGCCGTAAACTCGACAAAAAAAGGATTTAATTGTTGCAGGTATTTACAGAATGATGTGTTTAGGAATGAAAGACTAACACCATTTGAAGCACGGACAACAGGGACAGACATGAGGACAGAGTTTTCTGACAAGGGGTCATGTGTAGCGAATAGGAAAGTTCTGATAAAGGAGGGATGGACGTCACTATCTTTGTGTGTTAGAGACAGGTTGGCAGAGAGAGGGAGCAAGAGGGCAGGGCTGCAGTGCCTCGCTGACAGGAGGGATGTGTTGTTGAGGAAAGAGTAGAGTTCAGATAAGGGATGCTGTGCTGATCACAGTTTGGAGGTCACTGCAGAAAGAGAGACAGAAAGGAAGCTCAGAGAGGAAAGGAAGAGAGAAACTCATTTCCTTTTCAGCTCTGAGTCACTTACATGATCCACCCTGTCACTGATTACCGACTCTACCCACCTCCATTTATTGATAAGACATTGTGCTTTTGGAGGAATTTTAATGCTGACTACACCTAAGTTGATGATAACCCAGACATGGACAAAGCAGTGGAGCTGAGGCAGGCCTCGAGCCCCTTCACTGCTGTAATGGTGCCCACCTGTAAGTCAAATCAGTTCTATCCTTGATTATGCATATGGACATAACTCTTGATCAAATATGAATCAAATCTAAGGATGCTGTCAGGACATTGATGAACAAATACTTTTACATACACATTTCTTGATCATAACACTTTAACATATCAGGATACAAAGAAAATGGGCCCTTCTTCTAATAGTAATGATATACTGCTGAACATTGCCTTTGCACCGCCTCAAAAATAAATGTGAGACAGATTTAAATGAACAAATCACAGACAACACTTGGCACAAAATAATTCTGGGATATTTTTTTAATCTTCCATTTTGTCTCAGACATGCTGTCATTCAGTTTGAAATTGTACACCATCTGCACTGGTCTAAAGTTAGACTCTCTGAGATCAATGCTGATATAGACCCCATTTGTAATCAAGATGCGGGCGAGATCCAGACACTCTCTTTCATATGCTCTGGACATGTCAAAAGCTTTGCACTTTCTGGCAACCCATCTTTGAGACCTTTTCTAAGATCTTTGCAAAAAGGCTTGCACCGTCTCCATTCACTGCGCTTTTTTGTGTTTAGTCCGGACCCCCATCTTTAAATGCGGGAAAGAATAATGGAGGCTTCCATTGAATTTTAAACTAAAATCCTTAAAACTAAATAAAAAGACCTTGATCAAAAAAAATGTCTTTATATATCACTTCAACCTCATCTACTTTCAATCTTTGGACAAAAACTTGAACACTGGGTGGTGGTCCTTTCCAGAACCCTTGGTCTCTTCCCTCATAGGTAATCTTAAAGACAGGAAATACTGTTAGACAGTCTGCTAGAGAAAAAAACAGGGAGGAGCACAGAGATTAAAATGTTTTCCTGGACAACACCTACAACTGACAACCCTGTCAGCAAGTAAGGGATCCAAATTATTCCCACACTGATAAGACACGCTGTCTTTCACCTTGACACACCTACTAAACACAAACATATGGAGGGAGGGATTTCAGCATTTTGATCAGGTAGAAATAAGTACAGCATGAATCTCTTATGGTAACAGTTTTAAACTTGACTCCATGCTCTTCTCCTTAAACAAACCCGAGGATTTGGATTTAAATTTAACCTAATCCTTTAACTTCGTTTTGGTGTTTACAGTAAAGGTACCAGATTGTGCTTGAAGTGTAAGCTTTGTTTCCAGTGAATGCTAGATGTGTGTGTACCTTACATGTATGTCTGCTAACCCTGACGTCAGTGCACCTCTCTGTGATACTGCACCATGCGTATATAAGCTGTAATAAGCAGACGGAGAAACTGCAGCAGTCATGCAGTGACCCACAAGGGCTGTGAAGGTTATGCAGGCGTGCTGACACCGGCACAATCACAGAGACTTTGTGAGGGAGGGGAACGAAAGAGAAAGCAAAGTGAAGGGGGGCGTCAGCAGAAAGAAGCATTTTTCATATGTGGCTCTTATTTACATGTCGATGAAATGCCAGAGATACAACCTCTTCTTGTTTAGACTTGTAGGGGTTTCCCTTTCGCTGTTGTGAGGAAAGTACAACATTGCATAGCTTCATAAATGAGGAAGTTGCTTTAATGTTAAGGCAGGGAGGTTAATCCCCCCCACTGTGGGAATTTTAGGAGAAACAGGTCCACTTACGGGAATTTCACAACAGCTTTCAGAAGAGCCCCTATCAGTAGAGTCTCTGCAAGCTCAGACTTATTCACTCATATACTTTTTTTTCTGTTGAATTTCAGATCTAGCTGAGACAGGGAACCACCTTTACTCCCAAATCAAGCTTTCATTTTTAAAGTCAGCAACGATGAAGGGAAGAAAAGCCTTTTTGTTCTCTGCTCAAAAAATGATACAAGACTTCTTTAGAGGAGCCAATGCAGCTTTCAACACTAAGAGAGCGTCTTATCTTACTGAACACAAGTGTTCTTTCTGTATTAAAGGGATATTCCGGCATAAAATTAATTTAGGGTCAAACACACTGTAACACCGAGTTAGACACACCCGCTTGAGAGATGAACGTTGCTGAGCGCTTGCTTCTCTAGATATACCAACTTTAGTAACGACCGTGTGATAGCAATACACAGTGGTCTATGGCTCCATGTGCAAACCTTAACCAAAACGCCACTCTATAGCCACCAATAATGCTCAGTACAGCACCTAACTTTATCAACAGTACATATAGCGTCTAAGCCACAGCACTAGCCACCAAACATCTTTTTAGCTTTGCCTGATTTCTTAAGCAAAGAGACTAAACACAACTCACCCACTCTCCTCCAGCAGCCGCTTGTTTGTGGGGAGACCTCCGACGAGTCCATCACCGAGGGCAGCGGGGTGACACAGCTCAAGGAAGAACATTTATGATCATTTCTTCATCATTTCCTTGAAGTAATAATCACCATATTAATCATTTTGCACCTCAGACGCAGTAGTTCTTCTGCCTTAGCGTCTTGGTCTGATTGCATTTCCATGAGGAAATGATCATAAATGTTCTTCCTTGAGCTGTGTCACCCCGCTGCAGTTAGTCATGGACTGGCCTGAGGTCTCCCCCACAAACAAGCCGCTGCTGAAGGAGAGTAGGTGAGTTATGTTTTGTCTCTTTGCTAAAGAAATTAGGCAAAGCTAAAAAGATGTTTGATGGTTGGGACACTATATGTACTGTTGATGAAGTTAGGTGCTGTTCTGAGCATTATTTGTGGCTATAGAGTGGAGTTTTGGTTGAGGTGTGCGCATGGAGCCATAGACCACTGTGTATTGCTATTGTGCGGTCATTACTAAAGTTGGTATAACTAGAGAAGCAAGCGGTCGGCAACATTCTTTTCTTGAGAGGGTTCTAACTCTGTGTTACGGTGTGTTTGACCTTGATTAATTTTACACCGGAATATCCCTTTAAGGGATGGTAAAAATACCATTATTAAAATAAGGCCAATTATATTATCAAAGGCCTTACTGTTTTATTATTTAAAGATATATCTCTGTAACACTTGTATATTTGTGGAGAAACATTTTCCAGTTTCAATGAACCTACTATATAATAAAGACCACTGATAGAGATCACATGCTGAGACAGAGGAATCCCAAGAAATGACTGTAATGGAGATTAACCATAAACACGCAACAGCATCGGTTCCTCCTGCAGAGCCATGTAGTCTACAGTCTGTGTGTTGTCTCAACAACAAGAGGAAGAAGGGCTGCAGTGTTGTGTGTTGCCATGCTACACTGAGTTAGTTGCTCCTACACAGCAAAAACGGTGTGCACAGACCGCCTCTTTGTCTCTCACTTCATCATCCCAGTCTGACTGCCTCTAAACCGACACAGCCTCCAGACACGGGTTAGACGAGGAAGATGATGCACACAGAAAGAGAAGGAGGAAGAGGTAACAGTGAGAAACTACATCGGCAGCAAAATGGGAAGCGATGAGGGACATAGAAGTGAGGATCTATATGTGGTGCCTGAGTTAACTTCCACTGCTGCACTTGGGTCGATAACAGAGAGGGGAAGACGGGAAAGGAGGAGTTCGTATTGCAGCGTGTTAAATGGACGAGAAATCTGCTCTCAAAAGAGGATATTCAGACAGCCCTGGTGGACACTGCTAAATGATTCATGCTCATGTTTCTTCTGAAATGTCAAACCTCTCACTTCCATTTTTGCCATGAAAGACCAAGCAGCCAGAAAATTGTCCCTTTTTCTGCATCGTCTCCTGTAACTTCTCAATTCATGTGGGATGTGGGTACTTGTTTTTCCTGTGAGCCAGAGATTAGCAGTGTTTCTCAGGTCATGGAGGATGTCTGCATGGGACCAGATAGAGACAGAGGGAGGGACATATTGTACTTACCCCCCCTGTAAGGTTAAGGATGAAGGAGGTAAATAAGGTTACAGTGGCCATAAATTAGGGGCGAGGATATTAACACAGTGGCTAATGAATCTAAAAGGAGCTCTGTGGGTTTTATGAGGGAATTAAGAGCAGCTTTGGGGTCTGTTGGGGGACTTTAGACGGTCTGATCCCATCATAGCTCATTTAGAGCAGTCATCTATCCTCTCCTACTGTGCAGACGCTTACTATACTACTTAGACACTCCCTTACATTCCTCCATTAAAAATCAAAACATCACACTTTATTCTCTCTCATATTGCGATTCAAACACCTCATAAGCCGACTTCCGAGAATACACACCAGACAAGACTAAACAAACCTCCACTAAATAAATCAAATCCATCCCTGCTCACCTTGACATCTGTGTGTGTGTTTGTGCACAAACATAATTTCAAACTTGATACTGAATCTTGTTTTATCTCTATCACCACAACATCCCCGTCTTCCCCTCCCTCAGTTCTTCCATCTGTCAAGCTGCAGACGCTTCGTAAATTAACTAAACAAGCAAGAGGACAACCAAGCTGTCCTGTTTTCTTTTTTTTTTTTTTAGGTTATTCTGTTTCCAAAGCTGGAAATAAAAGCTGCAGACCAACGAGTGACAACTAAGCAAAATCCATCAGCTGAGAAAGACGAGAAGATGTGATTGAAGGTGCCAAAGGAGACACACAGAATTAGATGTTGAGTTTATTAAAGAACACAAATTGTAAGGAGAAATTTTCACTTTTGAATACAAGAGATGATGAGATGAGTAATGTTGTCCCACTTTTTTTTTACTTCTTAAAGTGTTCTCAGTGGTCTTTAAACTGTGATTATGAAGTTTTTACCAAAAATCACATTACCTGTGTCATTTTCAAGGACTTTTTTTCTGCAGAGCTCCAGTAGCTCATTAGCAATTCGCCTCTGAGTTGTGGGCGGAGACAGCGCTGCTCTGCACACTTCTCCTAGAGTTAGCTTGCAGCCTTACATCGTCGGTGTAGTAGAAGAAACAAGTAACATACGAGCTATTCAGCTCTCAGACACTATTGTCTTTAGGGGCATGATGAGAGCTTTCTTACGAATATTTCAATCCGCTAACGTGCACATTTGTTCAGCGATGGTCCTCTCTATTTGTCCGAGCCTGGCCTGCATAGCGGGGCTCCGGGGGCAGAGTTTGGATTGGTTACGTATGGCTTCTCACTGTATCTGAACCTGCCGTTTGGGTCTGCCAGAGATTCACAGTGATTTGAATGAAGAAATACTCAGAAATACAATTTTGCACTTCTCTTTCTCATGATATGTCCTCTAGTATTGGAAAAATGCCATATTATCATGTAGACAACAAGAAAAACATGACTTTCATCAGAGTGGGTCTAAAACTAGAATGGAGTTCAATTGGTTTGGGTCAACAGGGGTTTTTAGCTTATTTGAAGTAGTGCCTCACTAACACTGACCCCTCTTTGTGACATTTATTGTTAAATAAGATTATTGGCAACAAGATTAATTTATTTTTCTTTTTTTCTGATAAGACTTGAGGAGGATTGACAAAAGGAGCTTGTTTCAGAGAGACTCTGCTAGGTAAGAAAGAAAAACATGGCTTCCTCATTGCTCTGCAAAAAGTTGTTTTCAACAAAGTGGTGTCAAAAACACTTTCTGTACTCATGTTTTGAAGAGAGCAACATGGCTGATGGTGCTGATGGGAAATGCAGTCTTCACGTTATGAAGAAACCCCAATGGGTCACTGTAGCAAAGACACAACATGAAAGTTCTTCATAATGCTTTTTTAGGGTTATACCAATACTTCCATAAAGCATACTTATTACGGGCAAATACACAAATACACAACAGTGATTTTTTGTTTCTAGTATCAGTCAAGCACTGAAAACACTTGATCTTGTATTTCCAATGATTCAGTGACCCACCACGCTTGACAATGCAGATTTCTTTAAAACTCAATGCTATGAATTTCCCCAACAGTCTTCCTATTGAAGTCACCCTTAAGACACGACCTTAATGACATAAACAGGGTCATTTTCATCAGATATCCCTCAGCACCACAAAAACACACTGTACTTTTCATACTGTCTAAACACGATGCTGTTTTCAAGGCTGGGAGTTCCTCTTTGAAATGAGTGAGTGAGCTGACTTTCATCTGAAAATGAGAAAAGTACCACGAGGCCCAAAACACATCTAGTTCAAGCCCAAAGGTTCCCCTCTAAAACACTGAACCACCACACGGTTGTATACTTAGCATCTGAAGGACTTTTGGAGGAATTTTAGGACGGCAACCTCGAGGATTACGATTAAGACGGATGATATAAATAGATAAAAGAAGCACCAGAAGAGGTTCTGGGGAATCAGATTCACTCAAGTTCATTCTAACAAAGATTAACTGGGTTTTCCTTCAGGGAGCACCGTCTAAAAATACACTTTATCTGTCTGCACAGACTCCTGCTGCTGCTGCTGCTTTTCTGAAGCTTTTCAGGCTGCAGCATGACGTCACTCAGGTGAACTAGTGACGGATGATGAGCATCTCCCTGAGTCATGTTTAGTCAGTGTCTTATCAAGCTGAAACAGGAGGGACACACACACATACACACACACACACACACACATATTGATATGCAAACAAAAGAGCTGAAGTGACATCTTCTCTTTCCAGCTGTCAGTGTCAGGCTCCAAATGGATCAATAGTTCTGCAGCATCCAGCCATTTAGCTCTCTGCCTCCTGTTTTTTTTCTTAAACCCAGCCACACTTTGAGCTACTGTTTCATTATGTGTGCATAACACCCTCAAGAAAAACTGCATTAAGCCTCTCCACTGTTTGGAGGAATGAGGGAAAAATCAATACCATGCAGGCTCGGTGTTACCTCTTATTCCTGCTTCCAATAATATTTTCTCAACTGAATGAAACTGTTCAGGTTTGTGTGTCCAGAGATTCTAACCGCTTTCATCTGACCTATTTACTAGACTTTTCTGCTGTTGACAAATCTGCAGCTTGTAACCTCACTGTTCACACACAACCTTACACACACATCGACAACACAAAGCAATGGACAGATCATCCGATAGCGGGGGTGGAGGGGTGGGGGGGTTGCTATAGACAAAGAGTAACCAGGCATGAGGGCATCACAGTTCACAGATAGACAGACTGATGCACACAATACCCAAATATTTTGGCCCACAGCCTGCCTTTGAGGCCAAACCAGCTCAACCTGTCGACTCATCACCTTTTCTTTTTTTTTTCCAAAATACTGACCCCTATCCCCATGAAACCGATTGTTCGACTTCTAAGCCTCAGATAAAAGATTTCACAGCCTGTGCACTCTTGTGAACTCTCAATCCTCGTCTCCATACCTGAGGTGGTGAGCAGAGATCCATTAGAGGATGATCGTCTCAGGATCCTTAAGCTGTCACTCCAGGAGCGGGATTTGGGCAGCCTCTTCAGCAGCCGCCCCAGCCGCCGTGACACCTGTCCAAAGCAGGCACTGCCGGCCTCCCCTTCTGAATCCCCCCTGACCTCCTCAAGACGCAGCTGCACCTGGCTGAGAAATGTCCTGCCCATCCCCACGCTTTCAACTCCCACCTCCCCGACCTCCTCCTTCACTTCTTCCGGTCTCTGGACGAGCGGTGTTATCTGTGCCATGGATGGGGCATGGTGGCACCATCCGGAGGGCACCGTCCTGTGAACATAGCCCTCGCTGGACCTCCTCTCCTGCCCCCGGCTGCCCCTGTCCCTCTGAGGACTGCCCCAACGCCAGCCCCCCCAATTCCCCCCTCTGCCATCCCAGCGCAGCCACTCTGCCACCGGTGCCACGCTCCGAATAAACAGCCCCCTCTCTGCTCGCTCTGCCACCCCTCCACCTGTACTCCTCACACACCTCTCCACTTGCCTCACACTTTTCCCCTCTGACGGCTCGTCCTCACACCTCAGCGTGCAGACATGAGCGCCCTGAATCTCTGCTGTACTACTTGTTCCTCCTGTAACATCTCTCTGTTATCAGTGCACCCTCATCCTCTCTCTCTCTCCCTCTCTCTGTCTCTACTGCAGCACCCACACACTCTGCAGTAACAAACAGCCAGCTTAAAGAGACAGAGACCCCCCTAGTCCCCTCTCGCCTCTCCTTTCATACCCTCGCTGGCCGACTGAACATCATTCAGTAGCAGAGAACATGGTGGGATCTCCGACAATAGAGCAGAAACGTCAGACCACTGCAGAGGTGGCTGCCGAATCTAGCTTCTCTGTTCTCCCCCCGTCACCTTGGTGCAAAACCCTCCAGCCTGGTCGAGGGGAATGAGTCAGCCATCCTGTCCAACCCCAGAACACTTACATATCTTGCATCACCTCTATCTCCAGTGTCTGTATGTGTGGGTTGAGGTGATGCGCAGTCCGGCTGTTATTAATATGCACTGTGTAAGAGAGAGAGAGAGAAGGGGAGGGAGGGAGAGAGAGAGTTTTTCTGCCCTATTTCTAAAACTGAAGAGTTTGGAGGAAGAAAATGTTAGGATTTTACGAACGACTATATGACATAATCACAGACTGACATCAGAGGTTGGGGATCTGACGTCATCTCTCTTTCTTCTGCTTTTGTGCAGAGAATTCAAATGTGTTTCACTAAAGCAGGATTTTTGTAAACCCTCTTTGTGATGTCCTTTCTGTCCCAGCCACCTTGTCCTCTGCAGCCCTCCTATCACTATCCACCAAGGGCGACCTAAATATAGCCTTATTGAAAGTCCCCACAGTTCTGCCATACATACAGCTGAGCAGTGGAGCACAAAGGAGTGGAGAGTACCAAAACACCATGTGGGTATTTCTGAAAAAAAAAACAAAAAAAAAAACAAACAAACCTGATCTTGCCACTTTCGTTTCTAGTCGAGGTAAAAAGATGGAAATTGGTGGATGACATTGGTTTTTGAGAAACTGTACAGGAACGAATGATGAGCGGTCAATGGCTTTCAATACAGCCTTGTTTTCAGAATCTGTTTGTTTTTAGTTGAAGATATACGAGCTCTGTAGGAATGTTTTGGCTCAAGTCTATTTGAAACTATATCCATTGCAAGTCTGGCAGAGCGGCAGCGCTGGTATGCCGGGAAAAGAGGAAAAGAAGGTTATGAGCCATTTAACACAACCCTCCTTCCATGTTTTCTTCTCCCAGAGTGAATGGAGCTTTGAGAGCACCAATGTGACACGGCTGAAAGGGTTTTGAAGACAAGGTCTGCACTGTGTGGGCGAGGGGAAGAGGTGAAATAAGGAAAAGACGGGGTTCAAGGAAAAATATATCCTCTAGGGAGAGATCAGGAATGCCATGGGGCATAAAGAATACACTGGAAAGGTTATGCTGAAGGTCTCTGCCTAAAGTGTGTGTGTGTGTGTATGAGGGGCTTCCTGACAGCCATGTGTCGATGCGACTATCCCTCCTTGTCTCTGCAGTGACCAGCACACGACCTCACATCTGCGCTGTAACAACAACAGGCTTCACTCTTCATGCAAATATTTAAGCCCAAATACTTTTAACAGGGTTTTAGGAGATTCTGAGAAGTGTGGGAGCTGATATTGCTCACATGCAGAGTTCAAAAATGCTGCTTCTCTTGTTGTGAAATCGTGTTTGGAGGGGCTCTGGTCTCCAGAGCATTCACCTCATGTTTGGCAAACATGACCACTTTGCACCTTGAGTCTCTTGAGTACATATTTTGGAGTTTCTTTTTTTTTTTAAGTGAATTATTTAAGTACTAGAATAATTCAATACAAACTTTGGTAACACTTTACTTGACGCCTATCTCTATGACACAATGTAAATATATGTATAATGTGTTATAATCACGTTATAGCACTGTATGACTAAAGTTATAAACACTTATAAATGATCATAATGCCAAATAGTGATAATCATAATGCATTATAAAGCATTTATCATGACTTACAAGGTCAGGTATTATTATGTGTTATTACTGTTAACAACTCACCGACAATGCCCACATAGATAATGCATTCTACATATATTTATGATGTGTTATAATTTGCTTATAAACTTGTATAAATACAGTTATAAACACTCATAAATGATCATAATGCTTAATAGCAATAATCATAACACATTATAAAGCATTTATCATGACTTACAAGGTCATTATTATTGATTTATGAGCATTTATAACAATAGTTATACAGTGCTGTAACGTGATTATAACACATTATACATATTTATAATGTGTTATACAGATATAGGCATCAAGTAACTTCTTTGTTACTTGATGCCTATATCTTTCCATTTTATAACCTTTTAAATAGGAGCGGAAATCACCAGGTAATACTACGCTATGATACAATGCATAACATTGACCAGCATCTCATTGTCACAATGCAGCTATTCTGTTGTTATTGATAAATTACAAAACAGTCCAATGATAAGAGTTCACAATATCTGATTGACAAAAGGACACAGAATGCTACTATAAAGTGAAGTGCAAGATTGTTGTCATTCCTGCTGCTGCGTGGACTCATGAAGTCAGGAGTTGGTGACTCATGGTGGGCATGACATTTGTTTAAAGGGCTGTATCAATTCTTATTCTGGAAGAAAAAAAAGATCTGACTCATGCAATATCATAAAAATATTGCATGAGTCGTACTCATCCTGGTTTTAATATTCTATCCAATTAATTTGCATCTTTATACTCTTCTCAACATTAGGTAGTTTTACATAAAAAAAACACTAATACAGTTGAAATAAATTTAAGTACATATTTTCTTAGATGTTCATTCCCTTTGGTGGCAGAGTTTTGACCACTGTCAAATACAACTACGATATGGGATGAGTTGATATCAATGATGTTGGTTGAACAAGATTAAAATAGACAAAAATCTACATTTTAATGTGTATAAACTGTTCAGATATCTCTACACGTACAACCAAGCATGTTTAGTGCCATATAGTTAGATTCAAATAGCGACTTTATCATTCCTAAAACAGTGTTTAAGAGGACCAAACCTGTTATCAGAGGACTAAAACCACTGCCGCTGCTAACAGCATGACTCCCTGAGAGCTTTAATTAAATATTAATCTGATGTCTGACTCTGTCTGCTAGTCTGTAATCCCAACCGCTCTATCCCTGAGACATAATCCCAGGCCAGAGACACCCAGAGCTGGGATTAAGAAGGCTGCCATTACTCCCTGCCTCCTACCTGCCTTTGCTGACCAGTAGCTCTGGACAAAGAGACGACAAATCAAATCATGGGAGTAATGACTGACAACGCCTACTGACAACCCTAGTCTAGTGCACAGATTTACTGCACAGTATGATATCATTTATCATACTTTCTTTCATGAACAATATGGTAGTGGTAATGGTAATAATATACAAAAAGGATGGTAGATTATTTCCCCTACGTGGCTCAGGTTAGTCAGTAAAGCAGACAAATAATCCTGATAAATATCTGGATTTACACTTCGTATGATTTCATGTCAGTAATATACTTATGTCATGCACCATTAGGACTGAATAAACAAATCCCTCTCATCTGTGAGTGTATTTACGCATATGCAGTGGGGGTCGTTGTGAAGCAATGACATGCTATAAATCAAAGTAACATCCAACTCCCATGAGAAGCAATAAAGATTTGGAAAAAAAAAATCAGAACCAGGGCCAAAAGCCAGCAGTGTGAATACATTCAGAGGATTAAACATCTGCAGACTATGAGACTGGGAGCTCTGTCTGTGGATTGATAGATTCCCCTGCAGGGCAAGACCACATCACAGCAGCCCAGCAAGCTATCCACCGTCCCAGGAGACGAAAAAAAAGAGCTGCATCTCTGCTTCTATAAGCTTCAGATGCAACAAAACAAACACAGATAGAGATGATAAATGAAAGACAGAGACTGAGGCAGCGAGGCATACAGCAAGACAAAGACGCAGAGTGATGGTTGTTTACGGCTGCGAGGCCTCCGTCTTTCACTCCCTGTCATTTGCTGGGTGTAGTTGAAAGAAGAGCATGTGTGCGTGTGTGTGCTGTTTCTATTTAGGCGTTCATGGTTACGTTTCTTCCCACAAAAATACCCTGACATGCCTAAATTTGTATCGCTTGTCATGAATGTCCCGATGACCCCCATGACTGCGTACTACCATCACCTCTGATGTTTTCCAGGAAAAAGAAAAGCAGGAAAGGCTTTCAGAGGACAGCTGCTGGTTGGGGAAAACCACTGCTAATTAGCCCGGTCCATAAAGAGACATGTGAGGACACAATAACTTTGAAACTTTCGACCAAGTGTGTTTCAATGTGGGAGTGAAAAGTGTTCCAGTAATCTGTGCTCTCGCTCCACTGAGCCCTAGCTGATAGCACACTAAATCAGACAGCTCTGCAGTGCTGGACAAACTCTCACTCCCCCCCACACCCTACCCCACTCACTTCCACTAGCTCTCTTTCCTTCCCATTGCTCTTGTTGTAGCCCCCCGTCTCTCCTCATTTCTATCACTCTGCTTCCCTCCTCCTCTCCTCCTGTTCCTTCCACTTTTTTGTCACCACTGATTCCCCTTTTCTTTTCCATTTCCTTTCAGCTCTCTTTTCTCTTTATCTAACCTCTTCGCTCCTTATTTCTCGGCCATCGCTTTATTTCACACTTCTCTTCTGCAGAGCCAAAGTTTTGCTGACACAACACCGACTCAGCATTAACTCACAGACAGCCACATACAGAAGAACACTGCATCAACACAGCAAGCATGCATGATCAGTACGTGTACGTACAAAATCTCTGGTGTGTGATTGGACACATATAAGGACTGCAGGGTCAAACTGGCTTTGTCTTAACTCTCTTTGTCCCAGAGCTGCGCAGGTGGGAGAGATGACATCAGAGCAGCTCAGTATTTATATGAACAGCCAGGTATGTGGCTCCAGAGATACAAAGCACGGTATAAATAAAAAAAGGTTTGAATTGCCAATATGAGTGCTCAGACATGCAGCTAATACAAAAAAAAATGCATTCCCTGGTTTCAGCACATAAGAAATGACTTCCTTCTAACCTCATCCTTTTTCAGAGGGTCAACATTAGCTTGAAGGCTCACAAATCAGAGTGGGGTTTTAAAGATTTTCCTTGGTGCGCCTCTAGATTCGTCTATCTCTCCCAACAGAAGCTACAAATGAAAGAGTGTGAACTCCAGGAGGCAAAGCTGGAGGGACAAGATAATTGGTTTTCCATTTAAGGATTTTTGGCTTTGTCTGGGTGGAAATGGTCTTCATTTTCACACAACTCCATGCTTTCTTTACAGTAGAAATACACTACCAATGTGAAAGAGTTAAGCAGTGTATTACCTCATGAAATAGTCCAAAATATTACTGAAGAAAAAAAAACTATTCACATCATTTCTAGAAAGAAATTACTTACTGTGGCACAACTGTGAAGCAAAGTAATCATGTGCATATTTTAGAGCCAAAATTTCTAGAACAGTCTGTTGCTCAGGGGTTTAGTTTTTTTTCTTAGATGTAACAAATTAGAGTTGGATAACCACTACATCTTACTTTGACACTTCAGCGCCTGTGCAGTGATCAGACGGCTGCAGGCGTCACACCAGTCCTGCGCAACGGGCTTGGCCTCAAACCGGTGTCCTTCTCCTCTCTCGGTCCTCACCCTCGGGTCCAAACCCCGGGGAAAGATGGACCAGGCCTCCCTGCGGTGAGGCTCTGAACGGGCCAGCCTCACGACTCCTGTCCTGCCCTGAGTGAGCCTCTCCAGAGGGAGGCTGCCTCTCTCTCCCTTTGGCACCCGTGAGAAGATGCCATGGTGTCCGCTGTCTCGCCCCCTGTGTGGCGCGTCCCGGTGCCGGTGCGCTCCTTTGAGTCCGTTCGCACCCGATCCACCTGGCATGACATTGCACGACCTCCTGAGCGAAGTCCCTTTGCGACCACTCGTGTTGTGATTTGAGTCACAGCTGACGTTGCTGTTACAGTCACTGGTGGTGTCCCCGGTTTGACTCTCACGAGCTGTCCGCCTGTCGCAGTCCGTGTTGCCCTCTTCTTCTCCGTCTCGGTCCGGGCTACGTGGCGCGGCAGGGGCGGCCGGAGCGACGCATCCTACTCCGGGCATCTTGCCTCCTCCTCTCGCCGCCGTTTCTCCCTCTGGTACCGGAGACGAGGCATGAGTTGCTGTTCCTGCTTCAGGAGAGACCACCGACCCGCACTCTCCACTGCTGGCCGAGCTTCTCCTGAACATCATCTTCTCCCAGGATGATTTCCTCGGGAGGGTGATTTTCTTTCTGCCGGGCAACTTGAAGAGCAGCTGAGGTTCCGAGTCCAGCCTGTGCGGACTCGGGTGCTGCCCCACCACACTCGCAGACGCCATTATCCTGTCCTCTCGCAGTGCGTGTGTGTTTGGTTGTCTAGTGTGTGTACAAGTGCGTGTTTTCACTCCGTGCAGTGAATGTAAACTTGACTCACGCCCGCGACATCGTGTAGTAGTGACGCAAGAGATCTGACGGGTTTAAATGCCGCGTGCGCGCCTCCTGTACAGTGACGGGGCGCGCGCTAATCCTAGTTCATACAGTAGATTTGATTTGGCACAATTGACTTTTTAACCCTCAAACAGCGTTAAAAAAAGACGTCTATTAGCGGTATTAGTGACTGTTTTCAGCCACTAACTTTTAACTGCTTTACAAACATGTCCATATACATATAAAAAATGTACATATACACATATATATTTTTTTTGATAATTCTCTTTAGTATTTATCTTTCTATTTCATTCTTACACATACGTTTTATTTTACTGTTCTGTAGAATTCTTGTCTTGTATATATAGTACCTTCTTTCTTACAACTATTTGTACTTTTACTATCTTAGTTTTACTTGTCTATTGCACTGTAAAAGGAGAAGCTCTCCAAAAACTACTAAATACTAAACTCCATTAAACAGATACTGAAACTAGTGCTCTTAAGACTAGGGTAATATGTTAGTTGTAGTCCTTTTATCTACATTTGCATTTACTCAAATCAGCCTTTTCATGACCTAAAACCAAAATAGTATCTGCTTCAGGAGGCGGGCGAGCTGGCATGAATCAAAACCCCAATTAGAGATGAAAAATCTCAGGTGAAGGTACTAAAGATAGGATTAAGACTCTCAGTCAGTAATAATAGCCCGATAATGATGAGGATTAAGTTCCTATTTTTAATTGTGAAATCCTTTCAAACCTGAATCTTCTAAGAGGGAAATATCACAGTGCAATGTTATTGACCTGAGGTAGCCTTCCTGTTTGTGTCATTATTAAAATAAACTCTATAAACTCTATAGGCTTTGAGCAGGACAACCTTTAAAGCAGCTGGTACAGTCTGTATTGAATTAAAGCGGTGATAAAGACTGGGTTATAACATAATGTCACATTTGTTTGTGCGGGGTAAGAGGAGTACGGTTAAGAAATTTCCATTTGGCCATGAGCGCGTCACATGAGGGCTTAAAACCACTAAGGCTGCTGAATTCATCACCCTGAAACTGAATCAAGAAAGCCCCCAGGACACCCACTGCACTCCCACACAGTCTGAGTGAGGAACTTTCACTTCTGTACTTTGCAGCAATACAACAGCTCACTTGTATTCTGATTTTTGTGGGACCTTTCATGTTCCTGCTCCAGATACACCTAACCACACTAAGTTTAATATCAAAGTTTTTTAAATACATACTGAATATGGTTGTAATGTTACTGTCAATAACCCTTTTCTTTTAATTTACTCAAAGCCTAACAAGAGGCAAGAGCTGGAAACTAGCAATAATCTCTACATAAGAAACATCAACTATGAAGATTACTTTATGTGATGTAATTTAAACAGTCCTTATCAAATGAACTTTGTGAATAACAACAAATAATGAAGTAGTTTCTCTATGCTTGCTGCAATCTCAAATTCATTTTCACTTTCACTTTCACTTTGTAGCCTAAAATGTTACATAAACCAGCTAAAATATTACAATTTGTCAACGTAAAAATTAGGAGATACAGAAAATAGCACAACAGAGTGCACAACTATTTTACTCATCTCATGTATCATCTGTGACCCTCCTTCACAACAAATAGACCCTGGGATTCCCCACCCTTCAGACCAATATGACTAATGTCCTTTCGCACCTTTTATTCACCTTACTGCCACTTAACTGTGTTTGTTCTCTGTTCAGTGGTAAGTGCTGAGTTTCCCTGATTCTGTCACTTACACCTACAATTAAAAACAACAAAAATAATGTATCATACAAGTTAAACATCAACAGGAAAACAGACACCAAGACTACAAAGCACAGTGACTATCAGTGATGTAATCAGCCGTGATTTCCCAACAATACACTTAGGGGTCAACCTAGATACGACGAAGTCACATGAAACCATTTCCACGATGAAAAGATGACAGCTTCAGTCAGTAAACACAAACACAGACTCACACATACAGAAGTTAGGGAAGTTAAATTAATCATCTTAAGGTCCCTTTCCGCAGCGCTTTTTTTCCTCCTGGACAAAGAAGAAGCACAGCCTCAGATAAACACATGGCAGCTGACTTGGCATCTATCCGAAGAGGTCAATCAGTGCTGCAGCCTACTCGAAAAACAATAACACTAAAGGCATTAATGAGGTTTATATCGAGCCGCTTCACTCAGTAGTCCCATACACACAGACACACACTGCGTAAAAATCCATCTGTGGCATTTCCTCCCTCTGCATCCTGTGCATCTTATCTCTAATTCGAAATTCACATCTAATCGATTGTCAATGGCTGCTTCCGCTTCATGCTGCACTTCATGTCTGCAGCTGGTCCTTGAGAGAGGATCCACCATCTATGATTGTTCCTGATGGGCAGTTATAAGTGATTTTCCTGTCAGAGCACGTGTGTAAATTTGTGTTTTAGATGTAATGATGGTGGTTTGTCACAGAGTTGGCGGTCTGGCCTAGCTTGGCTCCAGAGCTGCTGTGGAGTTCACTGCTCCTAAACTAAAGGACAAAACATAATTAAGAAAAAAATAAGGCCAACAGTTTTATATGGTGGTGTAGGTTTCCACAGAGGAGAGTGGACAGAAAGTAACTAACCTCTCGATAACGCTGTTATTAAACTGTAATTCCTGTACCAAAATCTCCATTTCCTCCTTCAGATGGTGCATCCTAGAACAAAGGAATACATGTTAACATGGTAAAAGGAAACCCAGAACCTTCTATGCATACAACCACAGAGGCACACACCTGGAGACCATCTGGTCTTTGTTTCTGGGTGTGACTTCAGACTGTTGTGCTGCTTTGCTGGACTGCAGAGCGGATAAAGTTCTGTCCAGAGCCTGAAGAGGACAGACAAGACGTTACATCATCACATCACTGGGATGCTACACCAGTTACATCACCGACACAACCTCCAAATACTGCTCACAAATCTAAAACAGTTCCCTATTAGTTCAGCCATACATGTGCAAGCGGTTACCTAACAATAGTAATCAGAGAAAGTGAAATGATGACCTTATTTTGGCACTGATTACTCAGCTCCAGGTCTGCCAACAAGCCTGTAGAGAAAGAGCCAAAGTCCTGCAGGCGGGTCTGCATCTCCAACAAAACACTGAAAAGTAGAGCTCAGTTACTGTCGGTACATCATGCTAATTCTTGCTGCGTGGAAGAACAAGGAGAGATAAAGGTTATTAAAAAATTCAAACAGTATATGAATTAAACAACTGCACAAAGGTTCAACTTAAATCACGGATATCCATCTATGTCTTTCCGTTTATAAAATCAAAACCAGATATTCTCCTTCAGTCTAAGATTTTCAGGTCATATAATGATTATAAAATGTAAAATGAATACTCTACATAAAATTTGAAATGTGAAACATTAATTCAGACAATATAGAAAAGAGATTACACATACAGAGTTGATGGTGTACAACTTAAAACCTTATACCGCCTGTTTTACAAACCTTCTTGAGTGTTAACAGAGCTACCTCCAAACTTATTCTTCTTCTATTGGTTTGGACTTATTTCCTTCGAGTGAGCTTTCATGATCTATACCAATGGCTCACTAAAAAAACAAACGCTTATCTCTCTGTAGATAATCAAGAGTGCTTAGGTTGCAGCAGCTATGGTGAATGTGCTCTGAAGTCTAACTTGGTTTTGTTAAAATGCAACTCAGGGGTCTGCTCTGACCTGCTCCAAGTCCTGGTTGAGGTCAGCAGCTCTTTGTATCTGTGAACACAGTCTTCTCTAAAGAGAGATTTCACTCTCTTAATGTAGGACGACAGGTGAATCCTGGCAAGGAGGTTGGGAGAGTCAGATTAGAGGAGAGCTCAAAATAACTTCACAGGTGGGGTGAGCAGTACGGCAGCTGATACTCACTTCTCAAACTTGTGGATTTGCTCGTCATTATAGGCCAACTCTGGTGAAAATTAAACAATGTTGAAGCATTAACAACTTATACATGAACCTGAAGAGATCACAGTTTACTTCAACAAATAAACATACAATACGTACTGCCACTTAGTCGATCTTTGCGGTAATGCTGATGAATTGCCGTTATCTTCTGCAGCAGCATCCCCATTTTCTGGCAGCTGCAGGAGATAAGAGGTCAGAGGTCAGACACCACAGAGCTATCAGGCTGCCCTGAGGCTTTGAGTCCCATGTTACCTTTTGTCACTGGCGAGTGTCTCTGCCAGCTTGGCCTGTTCTATCTGAAGATGGTCCAGTCGATTCTGAAACTCTTGGATACCAGTGGCATAAATCGGCAGGTGCTGGTGGACCTGCAGAGAGAGCAGACACAGATTCTGATACCTTTACTTTGAAAATCTCAGGCAATAATGAGTGGTTCAAAGTTCATTATCTTAAAACCTCTGAAAAATCTAAGCATTCAAATGAAATTAGTTGGGATTTAGCAATGTTACTCTTTAGTTCCCCAGTGTTTATAGTTGGTACAGTCAAATACTGAAGAACAGCCCACTGAGCAATAGACGCTATTAGACGTCTAGTTTTTTTTTTTAGACCTAATTTCAACCATCAAGATTCTGTATATTTTTAGACGGAATTTAGATGTTGCACTTTAACACATTTTTTAAAAACTATTTATTTTAAAAAGCAATTGTGAGTCGCATAAACATATGGTGAATCATTGTTCCAATATTACGGTCCCAATCTGTGGAACAGCCTACCAGCAGACCTGAGAGCGACACCTACTGTTCATATTTTAAAAAGTAAACTAAAGACCGACCTTTTTAGTCTGGCTTTTAGCTGAATTTTGTTTTAATCTTTTAATCTGCATTTTGTGATTTTACGCTATTTTAGCCCTGGAGTAATACTTTTTTGAAGTACTTTTTTTGTATGCAACTTCAAAAAATCTTGTTTGCAATCAATGGCCTACATTTGGGGGAGTATTTTGTTGTACAGTCTGACATAGAAAATGTTGATTTTGAAAAGAAACTAAAGGTTTTCTGATAACTATGATGCAGTTCAGCTGCCGTTCTTACGCAGAGCACTGTATACTGGAGGACTTAAAGAGTTAACCTCAAGTGTTATAATTCACATGTATCAACAGCTTGGATTCAGCACACTTGCTCTAACGTAGCAATAATTTTAAATTGATACAATACTCAGTATCTATTTACTAATCATAATTATACAAACGCTGCATACAGTTTTTTCTCTCATCACATGTTTCCTTGTCATCAGTCATTCTCATCTATATACTTATTAACTACAGCATAGTGTATATTATATTGACTTGGAACTAAGCTTAAGAGTTATGGGATAAAAATATGAAAAGGTCACACACATTTTCCTTCGTCAACATGGGCTAGACTTCCTGTGAAGCTCTTTCCTAATGTCACTCACCAGCTGCAGTTTTTGATTGCCGTTTCCTGAACCTTGATTTTCTGAAGTCTGGTGGCCTCTGAGAAAAGAAAGGTAACACAAAATTATATATTTTTTTACATTCTAAGGCATTTATTATGAAAGCAATTCCAAAATGAAACCTGGATAAAGTCATGTGTTTAGCTCCATTTCCCTGAATCTTCTTTCATACAATGTCAAACAATCACATCAGGTTAATAAACCAAAGTCAATGAGCTCACAGCGTTTGAAGCCTGTGTTCTACACTGAGGCAAGACTGCAGTCTCAAGGTGATCATCGCAATACTGTGCATTGCCTCGACACACTCCTTGCGCAACCTCATCCTGCAGAACAAGAGGAGCGTGTTAGAGGAGGACATGGAGGAGCAAACATCTGACAGGGCTCATTACCTGGATGTACATTACTCAGTGCAGTAAAGCAAACGATCCTTAGTGAAGCATGTGTGTCTCACATGTAGCTGTAGTATCCTTGTAGAAGCAGCTGTCTGTGGAAATGCAGCAGCTCTACTATCCTGAGATACTGATGGACCACTCCCATAATTATCTACAGGGAAGGAGGATGTTAAAAGAATTATAAATAATGCATTAGAACTTGGAGGCATAAAATGCAAGTAAAAAAATGAGCAAAAATCTGCATCAGTGAAGCACCTTGGAGAAATTGTAGTCTGCCACAGCGTCAAACTTGGATGGGATGGAAGGCGTCTCTGCTACAAGGGATTAAAAAATCTACTTTACAACAAAAGTACACTGTTTATGTCCAACTCTACAATATAACGTGCATTTAACATTGGATGTATAACGATATTTGTGAGGGTATGTGTGATGCTGGGATACACCTCAGATGAAAACTCTTCCAAAGCTCCCTCAGGGAAACAGAAAAGAATAAAGACAAGGAATCCTGGGGACTTCACAGAAACCTATCAAACGTTTTCACGACTTTGATCGTCTTACGCTCTCTGAAGGGCAGGCTGCTGTTTGCTTCAGGCCCGTAGCTGAGCAGAATCAGAGGCTGGGCTCTTGAAGTACTCGGGAGGTTGACCACCTTCATGTTGCCTTCTAGAGGGAGGTCATGACCCAGGTATATCAGATGTTGCAGCTGAACCCCAATACCGGTCTGAGATGCCACCTCCTCAAAGAACACCGACACCCTGAGAGGATTGAGAGAGAAAGACCATTTTAAGCATCTAAACAGCATCTCACCTTTATTAGTTTGACCACACTGACAAACTAGAAAAGCCCCTTTTCCGGCATAATTCTCAGACTGCGTCATATTTTAGATTACTGGGAATTCATCAACCAAATTAGTCATGCTGTCCCACCACCTCAACTTCTGACAAAAATACAAACATCCCACTTTGTAGCACCTTGTTTGCATCTACTCACTTAGTTCTACATCCTACTTATTCTCGTGTCAAGCTGTGAAGTAAACCAAAACAGAAAGAGCGGGCAAAACACGTTGAGGGGTCGGGTCAGGGAAATATGATCTCTAAAGCAAAATATGTAACAGTCTTTGTGCATGTCCATGAAAACAAAGCTCATTTCAAAATGGAAATTAGGAAGGGGAAAAAAGGGATCTTTTCTGCAAACTAGCAGGTAAAAAATCCCTCTCATTTTAGTCTGACCGACCTCTGTTGGTCCCTTGACAGTGGTTTTCCCACAGAAAGAATTTTCGGAGTTTTCTGCTGATGTTTTAACCAGAGAGAAATCCATGGTGTCAAAATAACAAAATCAAGATAGCAGACAGAATCCAGGATAAACAAAGTAATCCATTCCATTTTTACAAGTGTCTTACAACGTAACCGTAACAAACAGTCCGATGATTAATAATGCTTTTTTGCTGTGTGTAAAGAAGCAACCTAACAAGTTTACCATCAAATCTTTTGTTATTTTGGATATATTGGTAAGAAGTAGACTGATCAATCAGTTTGGTCAGTAGTGGCATCTTGAAAAGATCTGCATATGCCAACGCCTGCACTCACAAGGTCGGTTATTTCAGAAAACACACACTGAAAAAAAATGTCAAATAATGTCTGCAGATAGTAGAAGTGGCCACTCTTCCTGGTGACCATTGAGCAATTTTGCAGACCTACCAAGGCTTGATTTCATGGGATGTTACCTCTGAAAAAACACTCACAATACTTCACACCTTTCCAAGAGATTTTACAGCTTGTTATATTCGATTGAGCCACATTTAGCAATAAATGAGAGAAGAAATATTACAGAAACATCAATCCCAGATATAACAACTGTCAATTTATTCATCTATTTTTGGAGAAATGACACAGCCAGTGACTCACTCTGCTTCGCATTGTGATTGATGCTCCCATTGTGCTGTGAACACATTTGTTTCACCCTCTTTGTTAATTAACTGTTTTTGTTTTTTTTCTGGATCTCTCCTGTCACGCTCTATTGTTGTTTTAGTGAAGTACAGCCTGTTCCAGTCGACATGAGGCACAATTAACATAAAATCTCCTTTGAAACATATTAAACGCAACAGATGTTCAGTCTTATTTCAAGAACACACAAAACTAAAGACAACATAAATTGGATTAAGTTTATACTAATGTACTGTTCATTTACAAAATATAGTGTTACCTTTTTTCCGAACTTTCAGTGTATGTAACGGTTCCAAACATAACTTGAGAAACTGGATTCCTGATTTTCATGTGCCATAAGTGGAAACTCATCAAAAATGAACCAGTAGAGATTTAGACTATTTAGTTTTATGTGTCACAGATATAAAAATGCATCGTTTTGAATTAGATCACAAAAGTGAAAATGAACAATTTTCAAGACTTCTAATTTTGAGTCTGATATGCTTAGATTTTTGTCTTGATAAGTCAAGAAATGCGACATGAAGTGCCGTCTGCCAAATGACAAACTCACAAACCCTCTGTCTCTGGTTGTGGCTTTGACTCTAACAAACATCAGAAAAACTTTTCACCAAAGAGTGTCAGTGAAAACTCTTTTTTTTTGTCAAATTAACACTGGAAGACCATGCTACTGCTACATTTCAAGTTTCTCCCTAATCCTCAACAAATCAGCTGTTAACTGCTTCATTTCTATTTGATCATGATATTGCACAGGGCGATGTGTTCATGAAGACCTACGTGTTGTGGTGGTGTATGTAGATGCAGTGTGCCTGGGCCTGTTGCAGAGAGAAGAGGTGAACCGGCTGCCGTTGTAGGATGTCTGTTGTGGCGGTGAAGAACTGATCAAAACCCCAACACCTGTCTTGGTCAGCCTCCAGTATACCTGCAAGTACTGGAACCAACTGCACTGTCAGACCCCTGCAAAAAGAGAAAAAGATAGAGTGGTCGTGAAAGCAGAAAATTAAAAAAAAAGAAATGTGCCAGATATTTGCTTTGAGGAGTCAAGATTGATCTTTTTAGCTTGATTTACTGTGAAAGTTGACAGCTGTGAGGTAGGTTGTAGCTCCATTCTATAGGTCCGTCTGCTACGCGCTGTACTCCAGCTATTGCCCCTGTTGGCTTCTCTGTAGTTATTTTGAACCTGCACATCCAAAGACAAGCGGATTGATAAAATACCCAAGTTCTAACAAAACCCCAGGGTTCCTGATAAAGCAATATTCATCACAACATCTGTCTCTGAGATGTCTTTAGAGGGTTTCTTTCAAATGCAAATGGAAAAGTAGACTTCCCTAGCTTCGGTGGAAGAGTTTCAGATTTCAAAAAGTGTTTATATCTTAAGTATTCAGTAAAGCGTCTGAGTTTTAACTTATTACATAGTGGGTTTGTTCCTTCGTGGTCCTCCATGTGGTACAAAGGGAAGACTCCCAGTGGCAGCGTGGTAAAATGTCACACCAATACTCCACAGGTCTACGCTCACTCCATAGGACTTCAGGTGTGGCTTGCGCAGTACAGCACGTTCATACATGTCTGGGTGCTACACAAAGTTAAAGAGAGAAAAACAATGAAGTCATCACAGATATTGTATCAGTGTGTGTTCCTAATGGTCAAATTTGTCTTAAAATCTTGTCAAGCGAAAGAACGATTCTCCAACCTATCCGGGAGAAGTTGCATTAAATTTAGAAGGTGGTTTAGAGTGACTTTAAAAACATCTGCTATAATGTCAATAACCTTTTATCATGTATTTTGCTTTTTAAGTTTGTCCACTAGAGGGCAACATAGTCATGACAACAAGAGTTGCTTTGGGGTAATAAAATCAGGCCTCTGCAGTGCCTGTCTGCCAAGACACATCCTTGAGTGGGAACAACATAACACTGGCAACTCATGATTTCCACTCTCACATGGATCAGATCAACATAAATTTGAGCTCATAAAAATATGACATTCTCATGTAAGATCAAGGTTTACATTACATTTTTAAGGAAAAAAAAAAAACATGTTTTTATGGCAATTAAAGGGACATAACTGAGTGGGGAAAGTTAAGCTAAATAATTATACCTTTGAATGTACTTGAAACAAACATTTTTGCTCTAAATAAACCTCCATGAATGCATTAACATTTGTGTGTCACAAAAGTTATCGTTATGACAGTAAAATGCTGTTTGTGCTGCCAAGCCTTAAGATCTTCCCAGGAGAAAAACCAATAAAGAAGGTTATGAAAGGATCAATAGTCATATAACTGCCAATCAAATGGGCTCTTTAGACCTTTTATTGATGCAGTATTATTCTATCACATTGTACTTGTCCTGATTGTTTTCACCCGGATTCTTCCCTGAAGAGGCCCTCAAATATTTCATGTTCATAAAGTCATGTTCTTCATGACAAAGTAAAATGAAAAGTTAAATTCTCTATCAATCATATCAAATTTAGATCTGACATATTGGCATATTTTAAATCCTTCTTACTAATTTATCAGTTAAGTTGCAGTAAATTATACAGTGCCCAGCATAAGTCAGTACACCCCCTATTAAAAGTAATGTATTACTCTATTTCTAGATGAGCAAAAGTACAACTTCTAAAGTTTTGACAAAGCTGAGTTTAATATAACATTTTATTTACCATAAGATTAAAAAAAGGCGATATGGTCACTAAAATATAGCTTTGCTCCCAGAACTTTGATAGGGGTATACTCATGTTTGTTTTTTACTTTTTTGTATGCAACTTAAAAAATCTTGTTTACAATCAGTGGCCTACATTTGGGGGGTATTTTGTTGTATAGTCTGACATAGAAAATGTTGATTTTGAAAGGAAATCAAAGGTTTTCTGAAAACTATGATGGGGTGTACGCATTCATGCTGAGCACTGTATGTCTGCAAAATACATATAATCGTACATTGGGATTTAAGTATATTTTAAAATTGACCCATAAAAAAATTGGTTTTGGAATACTGATAGCTTTGTAGAGACATGAGTTGAACCTTTTCTGAGTCACATTATTTAGAAAAAAAAAGCTGTAATTCCAGATGGCATATCCCTACAAGCAGAGAGGGCTGTTCACTTACAAGATACTCTTCTGTTCCATAAATAGAGACAAACTTCTCATCATCCTCCAGCTCTCTTGCTGCGCCAAAGTCAGTCAGCTTATAAACAGACTTTCCATCCTCCCCAACTTGCCGCATGATGTTCCCCGGCTTGATGTCCCGGTGCACCACTCCATTTTCTCGCAGGTGGTTCATCCCCTGCACTGAGAACAACAAAACAACAACAGGCGCACTTTATTGCGGATGTATAAAAGTATATAGCAGAAATACAAGGAGGAACACCCACCGACACACTGCAAAACTATGAGGAACTCTGTTTCGGGCAGGCCGAAGGCGTTTTCTGGCTCCTCGAGCAGACTGAGCAGACTCCCTCCTGAACAGTATTCCATCACCAGCACCTTCTGTCTAGTGGGCAGCTAAAAGGACAGAGGCAGCAGGTGAGCTGTAGTTTAACCAACTCTAGAAATATTGTTAAACTATAAGAGAAGAAAACACAAAAAATCTCTGATAAAACTTAATGAAACAGATTTGATCAAAAAAGAGATCATATCGCAGTTTAAAAAGTTATTTAATCCCAATCTTAACAGTGTGGGAACAGGGATTTATTCCATCATGGCAGCTCAAGCGTAAGCTTTGATTGAATTAATGCAGACTTTCACTTAAAGCTCAAGCCGTTCCACTAATACACTAAGCTTTGTCTAATCAACTCCAACCCTAATAGGGCTTGATGATGCCTGCGCTTGTGCGGAGGCAAGGAGTTGTTGGGCTGAAAGCTCAGAAGAGAGTGCTGTGATGAAGAAAACACCATGTCAAAGAGGAAAGTACAGGAGGAAAATCTGCTGTCAGCAGTAAAATTAACTCTTTAGAGCAAAGATAGACTGATTTATTAATTATGGAGGAGAAAATTATCAACCTAGTACCATTTCTAAAATATTGATGAAATAATTCTTGGTATTTCCTTAATGATTGATGAAATATCCTTGCTTAGTAACACTGTAAAATGTAAATGTTTAAACCTTTTTACACCAAAAAGCCAAGAAACAAGGCTACAAAAACTGCACCTGAGCTGTCCTTTTGGACTCCGCTACAGCTACATTAAGTGTTGCTGTTACATAGACATGGAGTGAACTGGTTCTGTGGGATAAATTTCCATGCCTACCACGCCATAAATCACTTCAGCCACAGTAAAGGAAATAAACTCTACCTGAGGTTTCTTTTTGCAGATCATGAGTTCACACTCTCACGCTAGCTTTACCTCTTCCACAGTGAACAGCCTGACGATGTTGCTGTGGTTCAGCTTCCTCAGCATCTCAAACTCTCTGATCTGGACCTCATGTGGGCGGTTGTAGCTCATTGCGTTAAACACCTTGACGGCAACCAGCTCACCCAACCTCTGTGCACGCACATACACACATAAACATACGCATAACACATCAAAGCATCATTTTATGTTATCAACTCTGTCAGCGCTACAACCACAACCTTTTCTTATCACACATCCTGGCCTCACTTTGAGTCAAAGTGTGGGCTGACGAACTTTAAGATGACGAAGGCAGTGGTGTAATCAGCCAGTCAGTCAAAACAACAAACTCACAGTTCAAGTTATAAGCAAAATCCTCCCCAGTGGGGCTTACTACCTTGTTGCGGGCCTTGTAGACACTGGCAGTAGCCCCTTGACCAAGGAGATCATGTGTGGACCACAGGTAGTTTGCTGTGCTGGCTGTGGTCCCTGACATGCTGAAAAGGGGGAGAAGTTTATAACGATCGATTGACAATATGTAGGAAAAACTTTAAAAAAGAGAGAGACCAGCTCTCTTCATGTTTCAGGGGAGTTAAAATAATAATAATAATAATAACTTTGAAATACATTAAAGGGATATTCCGGTGTAAAATTAAGTTAGGCTCAAACACACCGTAACACCAAGTTAGACACCCCATCGAGAGATTAATGCTTCTCTAGTTATACCAACTTTAGTAACGACTGTACGATAGCAATACACAGTGGTCTGAGGAACCATACACAAACCTCAACCAAAAGGCCACTCTATAGCCACAAATAATGCTCAGAACAGCACCTAACTTCATCAACAGTACATATAGGGTCCTAGCCATAGCACTAACAACCAAACATCATTTTAACTTTGCCTGATTTCCTTCGCAAAGAGACTAAACACAACTCACCTACTGTCTTCCAGCAGCCACTTGCTTATAGCGAGTCCTTAGGCCAGTCCATTACGGACTGCAGTGGGGTGACGCAGCCAAAGGAAGAACATTTATGATCATTTCTTCATGGAAATGCAATCAGACCGAGATGCTAAAGCAGAAGAACTACCACATCTGCAATGCAAAATGATGAATATGGTGATTATTACTTCAAAGAAATGATAAAGTAATGATCATAAATGTTCTTCCTTGAGCTGCGTCACCCCACTGCAGTCGATGATGGACTGGTCGAGGTCTCCCTACAAACGAGCGGCTTCTGGAAGAGCTTCTGCTAAAGAAATCAGGCAAAGTTAAAAAGATGTTTGGTGGCTAGCGCTGTGGCTGGGACCCTATATGTACTGTTGATGAAGTTAGGTGCTGTTCTTTATTTGTGGGTGTGTTTGACCCTAAATGTATTTATTTATTTATATCCCTTCAACAGGTTACTGTCAAATAGTAGCTGTTGGGTATCTTACAGGTTAAAATCCTTACTGGCACATTTAAACTTCTCTTCAGCAGCCGAGCAGTAAAGTAGGCTACATACACTTCCTATATATTTAAATAGGCAGCTGTGTGACAGTATTACAACACCACAAAGAATTACTTATTTTGTTAAAAAAATCTCAATAACTAGCCAGTTTATCAACAAAACTATCGAAAGTTAACTATTATATTAAACTAGTGAGGTGAACTAGCTGAATAGTTAGCTTACCTTGTCGGCAGTTGCTGTCACCGTGTAATACCTGGAAACTGTCTCGGACAGATTCACCTTTGCTTGTATTGAGCAGGATGTTTTGACCCGGGAAATATGGCGTCAAAATATACCAACTGTCGACAGTAACCCTCCCATTGAGTCCGTGGCTTTACAGTAAATTCAACTTGACTGGAAACAACAAACGCCCACGTAGGAAACTTCTTCCGTGCTGAAAAACAAACAGCTGCAGCAGCAGCAGCATACCTGCGTGAAGGGAGTTTTCCGTGCAGGTAAAAAACACACACAGACACGGGTGCTGAGGAGGCCTGCAGACACGTCGATTACGAACACTTTCTATCGAGAAACCATGGGTGTCCGCACAAGCAACTGCTGATACTTCTGTAATGCGGTTTTGGGAAGTGTTGGTTTCAGTGAGCACGGGGCGGTCTGTGTTTAGCTGAAGGCGGAAATAGCTCAAAGTACAAACTACACAGTTTTCTCTGCATGAATTTCCGACCCGGTGTTCTGACGTAGATTGCACCCCTGCCGTAGAATGCACCCCCCTGACGGGAGCGCGGTTGAAAGTACATAACAAAGCGAAATAATCCAAGTCTCGGTTTGGCATCAGGTTCTTATTGTTGGCAGGCTCTCTTAAATAAGGTTAGAGATGGTCCATGTAAGACTTTGAATTTGGCTTGGTTTAAATTTCTATACCCCATTATAATTCATAATCAACAGGGGTGTGCTCATGCAGGCTGTTTAAGGACCAGGCACCTGCTGTATAGGAAGGGGCACTTGTCCATAAAACTTCTGATCAACAAGGATTTCCCTCATTTTGTAAACTCACAAGTGTTCTGTCCCTCTCTTTTTCATAGTCTGTTATAGTTGCAAAGACCAAGATGTCGCCCAACAACACTGGGCAAATAAAATACTAATAAAGTCATCATAGTAGTTCTGGAGTAAGTTAAACCAGTGGCTCAATTGAGAAAGTAAAGAAGTCTGATGAGAGGATCAGCGTTTCAGTTCAGATTGTTGAATGTGTTACTTTTTCTTTTCAAAAATACAGCTGTGAATGTTCTGAGTCACTTAAAGACATTCTTATGTTGAAATGGCTTTTTACAAAACAGCTTTTTAGCAGTTATATGCAATAATAATAAAAAAATTATTGTACCAGTTGAATAGCGTATAATAGATAAAATTTCATATGACACGGGATAAGTTGACTATAGGAGACCACTTTTTTTGGCATGCTATATTATCAAAACAGTTTATGTTTGCACTCTTTCTGTTGGTTGGCAGGGATGCACAACATCTTTAAATGTATGCAGATACACTACAAAACTATGTTTGCCTTGATGTAGTGTTCCGAAATATGAATAATGGCTCATCATACCCCACTCTCCCTCATGTATCCACTGAAAGAGTATCCTGGGGAATTTTTAAAGATATATTTTATGTACTGAAGAGGCATCCAGGGTGCACTTTTTCATGTTTTATACACTGGAAAGATATTTAGGGGGCACCTTTTGTTTTTTACTCACTGGATAGGCATTAGGGGCACTTTTATGTTGTATACACTGGAAGGGTATCCAGAAGGCGTTCCGTATTCCTTTATGTTTAATACATTAGACAGGCCCCCTTTTTTAGACATAAGGGCAACAGGGGGAAAAGTACTGACCCTTGACCCCTAACTGAATTCACCACTGTCTGAAAAACCCAGGGTGGCACTTCCAGGCTGATGACTTACAGAGAGAGGATTAGTCATTGTCAAGACCACCCAGAGGGTTGTGTTTGAGATATCATTCTTTTGCTGTAAAATACAAAATATTTTTGCTTTTGCAAGATGCTTATAAATGATCAAATCTACAACACCAAGACAATGACCTCAGAGTATTTGACTGTGGTCTTGAGAGTTCAGTCAGCTCTGAGTAACTGTTTCATAGGGTTGCTTCATGCTTATCGAGCACCCTATTACATGTTTCAAGAGACTGAGGATTGCTAAAAATTGTCCTTATTAAAAAAAAAAATGTTATCCAAGGACAATTCAAATGAGATTAAATGTGATTTGTTTATTCAATGCAACAAATGTCAACACACGCAAGAACCTTTATAGCAAGCAATGTTTATTAAAAAACAGATCTACTACAAGAACTACACATAGAATTATATAAGGCCTATTTGATTAAACTACTATTGCTATTACTGTACAATATTGTACCAAAAAAAGAGTGTACCTCTGCAATGTACAACATTGTATATACACAGTACATCTGAACACAGGATTCTCCAGTAATACAGAGACAACTATAAATAGATTTGACATTACAGTCTTTTTTAGTTCTGCCATTGTTTCAAATGGACACAAAAATGCATATTTAACAAATATTCAAATCCAACAAATCATCCCCACGCAGTTAATCCACACCCAAGCCAAGTTGTTCAAGTGCATGATGATTGATTTGAGATTTTAGAGGGTCCCAGCTCCCCTTGACAGCACATCCAGAACAAAATACACCAACCAACCCCCCTGCATGTGTGTGTTCCCTCCAGTTGTCACAATGAGGTAAGAGCAAACTCAGGTACACCAGAAAATACACAAACATTATACAAAGATTAAAAAAACTTATAATTCATTACCTGGTGGAGAGCATAAAAGAATGCAGTATGTGCTGTATGTCTGGGTGAATGGGAGAGGCATGGAACAGGGCAGCACAAGGATAGTTGAATATTTTTTCAAGAAGGTGATCGAATCCAAAAAAGGCTTTACTCAGCATATGCCAGCTGAATGGCATATGTCAGTCAGTGTTTGCAAAATCATCCACATAGTCTTAAAGTGATAATCAGATCTGATTTTGCAAAGGTTCGTAAAAACAAAAAGACTAAAACTTAGTAAGTCCTTGAAACCGGTTTCCTCGCCCTCCTTCTGCCTAAAGCTCGTCTGCCACTGGAGTTGTAACAGCAATGACTGAAGACAAGACGTTTTATGTATCCCTGCAGGCTTTTTTAAAATCTGATTACATATACACAGTGCATTTCTACTCGCTCATGAACACAGGTGAAGTGTTTCTTTGTCCTGCGCGTCTCCCCACTGCTGCTGTCGGGTGGCATCCCTTTTTGATATGTGGCAAGGGGCAGGACTGATATGCATACATACTATATATCCACGCATGCTCACGCACATGCACACACCCAGACAGCTACACAGTAGGACATTTAACCATTAAAGAAGCTGAGTATTAATTAACAACAAGAAAAAAATAATAATAATAAGAGCAAACTTTGCTTAAGAACGCATTGGATGAGGTGGTTGGTTGTGCTTCTATCTAAACACACTCTGGAGGATCCCCAGCTCCATGCTTCCAGTTATCATCATGATTATTTAACATACATACACACCATGACATACACACTATAAACCCTTTTTTCACTGTTAGGTCTGAAGTATATTATTAAAAAAGCAAGCCGTAATGTTGTTTAAGTTGTTTTTGTTGCTTGTAATGCAGATATAGACACGAATATAACCAGCAAGCTTTGCCATGTTAGCTGCTGTGTGTGGCCCCAGCATGCAAGGAAAACCTGAACGGCATTTAGCTGCCACAAAACACCACCACACACACACACATTCGGAGGAAATGTTTGTGTATGTGTGTGTACAGTCCGACTTAAAAACGCTGGGTTTCAGTGGTCCTCTACATACATAGTAGAGCTGCAGAAAGAAGCAGCTTAATGCCTCAAACGACCAGATTTTATGCAGTTTTATTGCTATGTTTGAATTTGAATTTACTGTCGGCCATGTTTGGTGTACAACACTTCTCCTGCTATATGCTCCTGTCGTGATGCTAGTACTGAACAGCATTATAAAAAAAAACACCAACATATCAAACACTGGAAGAAGAAAGAAAAATAAAGCTCTTGATCACATGACTTACACTGATATTTGGCCCAGTTTTCTTTCCTCTCATCATCCAACAAGTCCACCTTAATCACTACTCGTCTTCCTCTTCTGAAGCAGCAAGTCAGTGAGTTTCATTTTAAAACAAAAAGTGAGAGCTTAGCATTTCACAGTCTATCACCAGGAATCAAACGCTCCTTTCTTCCAGTCTGCTAGTCACGGGTCATTGAAAAAAAAAAAAACAAAAGCAGAAAACAAAACCTGTCTCGTCTACTATACAAAATCAAACAGTGCTTTTTGTTCCTCACTTAGATCTCTGTGTCAAGGCAAGTAACACTCTCGCATGCCCACTCAAACACAATTTCAAACATCACAAACGAGTGTGTGTAAGCTGTTCTTGTCTAAGTGTCCATCTCAAGCTCTGTTCCCTTGTGATGGATGGGGAAATCCAGTGAGTCCTGGAATCTCTGTGGTGGCAAAAAAAACGAGTCTTTGAAGGGTGTTTCCACTCATCTCCACCCTTTGATAGTTTACCTGTAGTAAGCAGAGCTGCCAGGAGAGGGCAGAGATTACTGTTGATGGTCTCAAGGTAATATGATGCCTCTAGGAACCCAGCTGGGAATGAAGAAGTGTATGCTACACATGAGTAGTGGATTAGAAACAAATGAAGTGCTTTCTGCACCTGGTAGAACAGCTATTAGAATCAAAGTAAGAATCAGACTGGAGTTTGAGATCCTAAGCAGGGCAAGATTTGTCATTGGACTGGGGTGGAGGTGGAGGAGGAGGGGTGTGAGGGAGAGAGTGTGTATGGCCTGTGGGTGGAGGAGGAGGTGTAGGTGGAACCGTAGAGGTTGGAGAACCCATGGCTGGGCTCCCACTTCCTCCTCCGCTCTTTGGGAACACCACCGGCTTTGGCCTTGTTGCTGGGGGTCGCAGCTCTCTGAAAGAAGGTACGGATGAAGAGAGGGAGGAGGAGGAGAGAGAGGGGGAGGTGGCAGATGGCAGGGGGCTCCGCGGCTGGCTCTTGGACTGGCGGAAGGAGGAAGGCACGTCGCTGGCGGAGGAAGCGCTGCGTTGTAGCGGGTGCACATGTGTCGGACCCCCCTCGCTGTCCCTCAGCAGACGGGAGTGGAGAGGACTAGAGGGCTCTGATGCTCCTCCCCCTCCACCTCCACTCACTCCTTTCAGCTGCTCCAGTGTGTCCAGGACCACGTCAGGGGTGTGTTTGGAGGAGCTCTGTCTCTCTAACTTACTGATCTCTCCTAACCCAGAGCTCACTGAAGCCTCAGTGTCCTGCAGCACAAGAAGCTGATGTTAGCCAGCGTGAAGAAGATATCTTGAGTTATAGACGGGGGAACGTAATCTGCAAAGTGGAGTTGTACCTGTGAGCTGTGATCCACCGGGAGGAAGACCTCAGATTCCAGTGGTCTGTGGTTGCTGAAGCTCTTGGAGCGCCCTGCCGTTGTCGTCTTGCGTAGCTGTGGACTCTCCACCTAAATTTAACAATACCCTTCATTAGATGCCTGCCAAAGCAATTTCAACCATTAGATGTAGGGAATGAGATATTACACTACCTTGGTCTTCAGGGAAGAGTGACGGGTGACTGAGTTAAGGATGCTGTGAGCGCTGACAGGCCGTTTGTCTCCACTTTCTTTGACTAGAGCCCCTCCAACAGGAAGAGATGCCGTTCTCACTCCTCCTCCTCCTCCTCCACCACTCGTTCCTGGACTGGTGCTCTCGCTCTCTGAGCCCCTAAATGTTCTTCTGATGCCGCTAGACTCTGGACGTTTTCTCAACCTGTATGAGAAAAGTACGTCACATTTACATTTGCTCCCCTGTGCTGTCATCTGGACTGACAAAATACTTCACAGTTTTGAGTTAAAGAAGCGATCCTGATGTGACTCACTTGTTAAGATTGGCCAGGTAGATATCAGCCACATGAGCTCCAGTGGGAGAGGCAGCACTGCCTCTAGTTGAAACCCTCTCCTCCAGCAGGTCCCTGCTGTCTACATCCGGTTTTGGACTTCCTCTGCCCCCATCCAACCTGAAACATTCAAACAACAGTGGACCAATCATTGCTAGGACTCTTTCCCACATCAGGCCTTCTTAAGAGGAAATGACGCTCCTGCTGATTCATAACCTCACTTTGAGGTCACTCATCTTCTTAGCAAAAACTGCATAGTCTTCTGTCTCATAACCAAAAATGCTGAGGTAGAATGATGTAAGGCAGCAAACTTTCTGCTGTCCTAAATAAATGACAAACACTGAAATTATCATAAACTTTAATCTTTCAAAAACTTTAGAGGTACTGCTACTTATAACAGAAAAAAAACAGCAACCTAAAGGGAAAAAACGACACGTATCGAACTGACTTTTTTCCCACTTTTCGTTTTTGATGACGATGAGAAACAGCGATGAGTCACGTTTTCTTGACTCATCGCTGTTTTCTGTTTTTAGCTAGACTCGAGAACCTAAACTGACTAACTGCACTTGCTTCAGTTCCTTTGTACTGTATGAACTAAACTTTAAAAGAAGTAGATGTGTCACAAGCTCTAAAACAACATATCATTGCAGATCAACTTTTTTAGTAACAAGGATTTCCAGTCAGTGACTCCCACTGTGGACTTTTGGTCAGATTAAAAAAAAAGGAAGTATCACGTGTCCTTTAACCACGGCAGTTTGTGACTGCCTCAAGGGTCAGATTATCACAATGATATGAAAGCACGTTAAGTAAATACTGTAATTTCATGTTTTTTTTTGTAATTCTAATCCGTATATAAAGACCAGTGATGGTAAAGCATCTTACATGTCTTGAACCACAATGTACTGGTGTGGCACCAGTCCATCCACACCATTATGTCGTCCTTCCCACCAGTCATCAGAGGCTCGCTGGTACAGAAGCAGAGATGCTCCCTTCTTAAATGAAAGCTCCCGAGGGCTCCTGCCAGAGTAGTCGAAGCGCGCGATGGCTTCTATCGGGTCAGCCTCTGAAACAGCCAAGGAGCCTGAGATTCAGAGGAGGGTGGACAGACACAGGAAGCAACAGCGAAGAGAAACAGGAGAGGTGGGGGGTGGGGGATGAAGAAAGAGGGGGCCGTGTTAGTGCTTAGCAGGTTAGTGCTGCAATGTTTGGTGACTGCACTGGTGTTAACAGCACTCAGCCGTTACAAAAGCAGCAGCATCATTCACAGGTTACTGAGAGCAGGATGTTAGCTGGTTTTAACAGTTAGAGCCACACAAAGTGTCTGGTGTGAAAGAGGGACGAGATCTCATAAAAATTAACACAAGCTTGCTGTCATGTGTCTCATATATTAAGCACAAGCATTGCAAGTGTCCAACTTTGCGTGGTATCTACCATCTTCGCTGTTGTGGCGAACAGAGACGGTGTCAGGCGCAGGCTCCTCCACCAGGGGGGGCTCACAGTGTGGACTGTCACTACACAGAGAGAGTAGATGAGGTTAGAGGACAACAATACAAAACCATTAGTCCACCATGAATCAATACTTGACCTCATATTTGTCTAATAAATCACAAGTTCACATGATAAGCACCTCATCACAGTTACAGTAAACTTTAAATTTGTTTATTCATTTATATGTAAAAAGAGTCAAAGAAGCTCAAAAATCTTTTTCAAAGCATCCATGTGAGTGAGAACTACGGCCCAATCCCAAACCGACCCCAACACACTCGCCCTTCACTACCGAGTGTCACCGTAATGAAGTTACACTCGCAGCTGTGGAGTGAACCTCAATTGAAATCGAAGGGTATAAACAAGACATGCGGGTATGGGACGCCCTCCTCACTCCACCGGAAAACGGATCCATCGCCATAGCAACATAAAGACGCGTCCTGTGCATGGCAGCGTTCCTTTTGTAAGCAAACGGGCATCATGTAAAGTTCTGAGCCGCACAGGCTGCCTTGTTTTTTCTTTCTCCCAGTGAAATCATAAATCCAGCAACCATCACAGTGACAGGAGCTAAACTATACTTCTGATTGTTAGTGATTCTACATGTCTTTGAACACCATTACTGTTTGACGTGTGTATGCACAATCAAATCAAACTTCAGCACAGAGAAGATTTCCAAGTTTCATTTGATGTTTCAAAACCACGTCTTTTGAGGGGGGCTGTCAGTGAGACAAAGGTGGACCCATACAGAAGCACTATCTGCAAATCCTGCCGCGCTCAAATAGCCAATCTCGCTATTTGAGGGCTGAACGGTCCACTCACCCTCTGCACTCTGTGGTTTGGGACGGCCTTCAATATGGGGACCACGGGGACGGACAGGAGGGGAGTGTGTAGAGCGAGTGTGTAAGGGGCAGTTTGGGCCTAAAACTCTCTGTTTATACTTTTTTACTGTTAAAAGGTAGAACTCCTATATTAGTCTAAACACTGCACTGACTGGCAGCTATCATAATAACTGGTGCCCAGGCTTGTCGTTAAAGTTGAAAGGTGACCCCTGAGTGCATTGTTTTGTGTGTGTTTGTATGTGTGAGTTTGTCCTCCCAGGCTGAGGCAGTCAGACGGTGCTTTTGTGATAGAGGGTAAGCTGATCCTTGTGGCCCCCTCTGGCCCTGAGAGGGGCACACAAGCTGGGCCCCTCATCAGTCCATGGCAGCCTCTAAATCAAAACCCGAGACGCTCCCTCCCATACACACACACGTACACCTCCTCATCATCTCCAAATCCCCTCTAGTTAGACAAAATTAAATTCAACTCCCCCTGCTGTATCACTAGCTTCAGCATAATGAATTCCTAACCCACATGAACTCTAACTCAAGGAATATTGAACCAAGCACTCACCAGAAGTCATCTCCTGATCCAGGGATGGTGTAGATGGGGCCCTGAAGGTCCTGTGGTCCGGGGAAAATGGTGTCATGGTGGATGATGATGGTCTTAATGAGCTCGTTGACATGAGCCTGGCAGGAGACCTGGTCATGGCCCTCAGGGACAGACATGAGAGTGGGGCCAAAACAGATGGCCAAGTTGTAGGGGTCCATCATGTTCTCCTCACTGTACTGGGACAGACTGGAAGGAAGGGAGCAGAGTCCAAATTCAGAGTCTTTCTCCACCTTCATTTCTCAAACAGATTATATATACAAACCTGACTATGCCCACAAACACCCAGGACAGGTCATTTATTTCCTTCAGGTATCTAAAAGTTAATCCCACACTGATGCATCACTTCATTTCTACACTGTAGTGTGGGTGATGGATGCTCTGATGATGTGTGTATATCAGTGAGTGAAAAGAAGCAGACGCACTGGGAAGAGTATTAATCACTCAAGTAAAAGAAGAAGCTCCCTTCTGTCTGGGAAAACTTGGTTTACCCAGGAGTCTCAAGTATCACGTCTCTCACTTCCTATTTCTTGTTTTTCACTTCCTAACAGCTATCACCTACGAATCAAGGAGTTTCTCATGGATTACAATTATCTAGATTGACTGATTAAAAAATACATTCTTCTAGATTATTGCTTTGTGTGCACTGGAGGAAAACCAGTGGAAAGTATTAGAAAGTTCTGACACATGCGTCCCTTTGGCTCTCTCTGATGATGCTCCTTAAAAAACCCTTATCAGCAAAGCTCTAGGGAAGACGTCTTTATTTGTTTGTCCTTTTCAAGAAGCTTTGATTTGTGACTTTTGTTAACCACAGACACTCCATTACAGCGTTTACACATAAACTTGACTTGAAGTGAAAAATGAATCATTCCTCTGGGTTTTGGATTACCAGTTTCTTCTCTGTTAAAAGAGGAGAAACAGCTAGAAATATTCTTTGCACTTTTGGCCTTCACTGGGGTTCACACTTGACATCTCAAAAAGGTCAGAGGATGTTTAGATCTGATGTGAGGAGGCCAAATGAAAGCCTCTTAACCTCATTCTGGTGTTTATGAAAGTACTCAGAAGAATCCATTCGATTCACTTAAGCTTAGCTTTGAGGCAATTTCAGTGAAAGTCCCTTAAATGTTTTTTCTCTTTTCCATTTACAACTGTTTACATGCAGTTTTTGGAATCATCTCTTCCAAAAGACTTTTACAAACTTCAGCTGATATTTAAAGTGACTGAGTTTCTGGGTGGTATCTTACTTCTGTAGAAAAGGGCTGTGAGCTAAAGTCACCTCGACTGTACATTTAGTTCATTTTCACCCTAAATTAAATCACAAGTCGTATTTTCAAGTAGTAGAGGTAGTCCTTTGAAGTAGTATTTGGTTCACAGTGATTTGGCTGTTTTACGTCAAGTTAAGGGAGCCAGGTCCTGTCCAAGAACCTCCGTACTAAGGCTTGTTTACTGTCTCAGAGAGAAAACAAACTACTGATAATAGTTTCAAATTTGTGGAACCTTAATTTAAAACCCATCAAGGCTTTACCTGAAAAGGACTGATATGCTTTCAGAACAGTAAAAAGCACAAACATAGCGAATCAGATGTTGTGAGCTGCAGGTTAAGACTTAAACTTTCTTTAATTGTCATTGCACAGAATAAAACACATTAGTGATTCCTCTCTGCAACAAAATGTTGTTGCTCAGCTTTCACATCACAGTATGATGGTGTTTGATTTAAGATAAGAAAAATACAAACAATAAAGACTTAGGGTAAAATAGCAGTAAGGTGAGTATTATTGCATTTTCTGGAGGTAGAGTGGTAGTGGAATTAAAACAAATAAATAAAAGTGTATATAAAAAGATGTATGTTCTTATTTACACAGAATAAATAGTAGATTCCTTTCTTTAACAGTTGAATAAAAAGCTGCAAATTAGAAGTTAAATCCTACGACATAAACTACTCTCAGTATGTTAACAGTGCAGGTTTGTAGAGTGTCAGATGAAATACTTGCAGGAATGTATCAGGGTGTAATGACTAACCTGAAAGTAACTGTGGGTGATGGTTCCTAGAATTATGTTATTTCGAAGCAGAGGGCGTCTGTCTGCCTTATTTTCTTCATTACTGGGCAGCAGTGTTGCTACACGCTTACATAGACTCAACGTGTTCTTATCGTCTCTAAAACTACAACAACAAGCAAACATTTGGCCTCCTTTGAACTTTACTCCTTAGGCCTCAGGTAAAATGAAATCAAATATTGAAAAATAGTGATTCTTGCGCCTTTTTAAAAGTAATATTGCTATTGGCAGTTTAAGGGGAGCTGACTTTGAAACTTTTATTTCATTCTTTGTTTTGAAGTTAGATTACAATCATTTTTTTAGAGAACACCTTTATTTTTACATTTCACACCCACTGGTTTAATCTGGATTCATGGTGGGCTTTTGTGTGTTTATTGGTGTTTATGTCTGTGTGAAGCCACTTACTGGTTGAGGAAGGCAAACAAGTATCTCATAACAATGAGAGTTTTGCTCGGCAGAGATTGCAGACCTTTCTTGATGTGGACTGCTCTCTCCTGTAGACTCTCCATTGCTGGAAAATAAAAGCAGCCACGACAACATGGAGATTACTCACACACATTCAGGCACGAAAGTACACAATAACACACAAAACAGGGATGAGACACTCACAGACGCAGGATATGAGGTCATGGAAGACTTCCTTAGGGAAAAGGGCTTGGTCCAGTCCTCTAAAGTAGAGCTTCAGAACGCCAGCGATGGAGTCCATGTCGTGATCGTTCTGGTCCCCTGCCAGCGGGTCTTCACCTTTGTTCGGACAGGAAGTCAGAGAGGAGAGAAAGGAAGAGAGACAGGGACAGAGAGATAGTAAAGCAGTGGAAAAACTGCTTGTTTTTAAGTGTTTTTATTTTTTCAAATACACGTCGTACCATTCTCAAAAGCATTCTTGATGTCGTTGACCTCCACCTGGGAGCCTGAAACTCTGAAGATGCCCTCATGCTGCAGGCCTACACACAGAAAAACAAGATTTTCATTTAAGGGATTTTAAAGTGTCAGAGATTGCGCATTTTTATTTATGTTTTGGAGATTGAAAGGTCCTGGCAAAATTGATTTCATAAACGAAAAGCACACACAGAACATAAAACAACACAACCAATCAGTGCGTAGAAAAAAGCTGATGCTTAAACCTATCACTTCACTGGAAAATTTCCCTCACCATGGTGACTGATGAAGCGGATGCAGCTTTCCACCATTAGAGGAATGGCTTCACCAGAGCCCTGAAATAGAGAAAAATTATTATTCCTGATACGGGGGGAGGGGGGGGACATCAAACAAATGTGGAAATAAAACACAAAACACTTTTTATCGGGAGGATTTCCGCACACATATCTGCACACTTTTATGAGTGTGAGGTAGAGAGAGATTGGGCGCAGTACCCAGCAGTTGCTAGGAGACAGCGCCTTTTTTTTCCTTTTCCCTTTGTTTGTTTGGGATTACCGGAAATCTCCAGGAGGTAAGGCGGGGGAATGAAAGTCAGATGACACGTATCCCTCATAATGTTAAGGTCACGGTTGTGTATTGGTCTAATAATCTAAATGCCAGTTCAACTTAATATGACATTAACATTTACAAAAATTTATCTGTGCATGTATGTAGCAATAATGGCCGAAATGTAAACCGACCACAAGGGGGAGCCCTAAACATGGGGTTCCCCTTTGCATTTGCTCACTAATATGTTATGTCAGTGCAACAACAGACTGTACAGATTTAACAGTAGATATAAATGTTTAGATCTGTGTGTCGGGTACGAAGTGAGATAAACCAAACTGCTGTCAACTACCGATGCCCATACATTCCTCTGCGGAGGATGAGAAAAACAGGACTGCGTGAGGAAACATGTGGTTCGAGTTTAAACTACAAAGCTGCAGCCACTTTCACTGACAAGCTGACGGTCACTCAGAAACACGCACACACAGAAACACACACACTTCTGACAGATAATTACCTGCTTCCGCACTGACGAGTTTCTCCGTCCACTATTCAGAGGGGAAGGAGAAGAAAACAGTACTCTGTCATTATGTCTCCAGAGAAAGTCTATTTATACCCACAACTCTGGTAACGATCTATTTGTATACACAGACTCATATGCGTATGTGTTGATAATATCTATAAACTGTTATAGAGGGAATTTTGCCCAGGCTGCCGAGAAATCAAGCTTTAATTTTGCGATGGTATACGTGTGTGTGTATGCGTGCTTGTGCTAGCATATTTCCTTCCTTCACCACACCTACCTGGCAAGGCAACAGTCAGTCTTCTGACCTAAAGGAGGGAGAAACAGGAAAAGGGGGAGGGGAGAGAAGAGAGGAGAGATAGACGGTTATAGTAGCAGCAGGACACGTGAGGAAACAGCTTCAGACAGATAGAAACAGGGAAACAAACTTCCAGAGGAGCGGTAAATACACACAACACAGGAGAGTGTTTCCTGTCAGGTTGGGGGAAAAGCAGATGCATTTGACCACTTCCTCACATTTACACGCAGCTGCATCCACATATGTTTATTGTCACAGTGACCTTGCCCTGTAAACACACACAACTTACTCCACTTCCCTGCATGGGCCACACATGTCTCTCCTCTGCCCCCTATTCTGCCTGGTACTGGGATTTCCCTGAATTTATGTCCCTCCAGCTGGGGAGCTCCAAATATACACTTATATACACACACAGAGGACAAAAGGGCTTAAAACATATAAATAACACAATGTCACAGTCCCACTCACTTTCTCCCAGGGTCTTGTCAATAAGGTCATGTTTGGCCTCCAGCTTTGTGATCAGGTTCCTGCCCTCAAGAAACTCCTTCAGCTTCTACAACACACAGAGCCCACGGACAACACAGTGAGAAAAGTTCAGACTCCCATTTTTGACAGAGGATTGCTCCTGAATAGACACAGTGCAACAGCTGACACCCACCGTAAAGTAAAACTGCTCCGTCTCCTGCTGATTGGCTCTTCGTTTGGCAAGGCTGGGCTTACTGAGATAAGATTCACTGAAAGTGGACTTGACTGACTCCATGCTGTTGCTGTGGTGGAAGCAATCAGAGACATCATAGTCCTCTACAGTCACCATGTCCTGAATGGTGGACAGAGTGGCCTCCATGGTTTTCTTCACCTAGTTTGGAGACGGAAGAAGGAAACCAAAAAAAAAAAAAAAAAAAAGCTGTGGTTAAAACGGACATAAACCAGACGGATGAATCAGAGAAAAGGAATCAGAAAGCTGTCTGACCTCTTCGTTCTCAATCTTGAGCGTAGAGAGGCGAGACTGCAGCTGTTGACACCTCTGGATCAGCTCTCCTTCCACCGGCTGCTGTGCACACATCACTCCCATCTACACCCACATAAGAACACAGAAAAAGTGAAACTCAACCATCTGCAGCACAAAAAAAAACAACCTGATTCAGTTTTCCTCAGTTTACACAAGCACAAGCCTCAAAAGAGTGACTTTTTATTGAAGCTGAGACACAGATCATGATAACGCCTTGAGCCAAAGAAGTGTACCGTGTCTCCCATGTGGGACTGGAAGTCAAAGCGAGCTGGGGGGCAGAAGACATTGTTGTAGGTCTCCATAAGCTTCTGTTTGTCCCCGTTGGGCTCCAGACTCTCTGCAGCTCCCTCCAGTGTCTCCAGGCCAAAGTGTTTGGACGTCTCTACATTCTGCTCTGCAGACAGGTAGGTCCTCAGGGCGCGTTGCAGGCTGGCATGGTAGCCCAAATCACAGCACTGTCACACACACACAGAAATGTGAATACACATGTACTGACAGGCAAACACTTCAAGAAGAGAAAAATCAGGTCAGGGATTGGTTTAGTATGGTAGCATGATATTTTTTTTTACCACTGTGGGGGCTAATATGGTAGGGGTGGGAGGAAAAATCGATACAGCATTGGTGATATATTATATCGACTCATTTACGAAATATGGATTTTTCAGATTAATTGCTAATATGAAGTCAAATCTATGATAATGGAAAATTAAATCAACTGTTTGTCCAATGAGGTTGCCAGAGGTGACATCATAGAGCAGGAGAAAGTTAGTACAACAAATATATATATATATGGTTGGCAAGATGTGCTACATGAAAATAAAATACAGGGTCAATAGGACAAACATAAAGTAAAGACAAATGCTAAATTAGCTAAAGAGTTGAAAAAAAGTATACAAATCGCAATTTATTGTATCGCAATACTCACTGTACTGCAAAATGTAAAAAATCACAACAATATCTTATCGTGGCCCAAGTATCCGGAAAACGCCGAATCGTGGAGCCACTAGTGATTCCCACCCCTATAATATGCAATATTAATCCAAAGCTTGTGTAATGACAAATGCGTATCATGCTGTTAGAGCAGAGTATTACCTACTCTGTATGATTAGAATACACTGGCTATCTATATTTAATGACAAAGCTCAGTTTCAACTGCCTTTAAAATATGAGCAAATTTGAGGTAGCACTATTTTATTTAATTGCCTTTGATGACCTTATCAGTTAAAATTAGTCTCTCTTTCACTTGTGTTGTCCAAACAGTTTCACAGAGGTTCAGTTTTTACTCTTATATTCATCCCTACTCTGTGCAACACAGTTACTTTCCTTCATGCAATAAATGATCTGAGTTCATCTCATTTTTATCACTATCATGCAGTATTTGTCAATGGTAGCACTGATGTATTCATGGGGATCTGCTGATAATGCAGCTGTTTTGTAACTGCAAAGGGACTTGGGTGTTTGCTGTATTCTGGGTTTGTGCTAAGCGCTATTGTGACAAGCTTATTGGTTATTTTGGATACTGCTACACTGCAAGTTTTATCCACATGTAAACAGTAATGGCTCAGATGTCAGTGAGATAGCAGTCCTCTTGGTGGAAGGGCTGTAGCAGATGCTGATTACGTTGAAAATGTATCCACTAATTCATCTACCTTTGAGTATACATAATGTTGTAGGGTTTAAAAAGAGGCCAATCCTCTATGGCAATTTTTACACCCAGAGATCTGCAGGTTTTTTCTCCTTCTGCCTCACATAACCATATCCTGTGTACTGTTTCCCTGAGATAGCTGGAGGTAAGAGAGACAATGTTCATGCATCAAAATGATGATGATATTCCAGGCTAAACCTCTTCGCCCTATTACCCCTGCTGTGTGAGCGCTGGATCAGGTTGAATACCTTGAGCAACAACCTCGCTCTGATATAAAGAGAGTTTGGAGGCAAAGAAACAAAGAAGAGAAAGCATGCAGAGAGGGGGCCACTCTGCTGCCTTAATTAGGAGCTGTGACACTAATGTGAACAGACTGACTGAGGGGCCACCACTGGCTAAGACACAAGGGCACACACACAGACACACACAAATACATACGCAGACAATATGCCTGAAAAAATGTAGGCCTGCAAGAAGAGTGTGTTCAAACTCACATCAATGATGTCGGAGAGGTCGTGGATGTAGTATTTGAAGACACAGCTGTTGGTGGCCTCCAGCGACAGCAGGTACTCGTTTCTGGCTTTGATGGCCTTCAGCCTGTTCTCTGTGTACTTTGCTTGTCTCTGATAGAAGAGAGAAAGAGAAGGAAACCAAAAAGAAGGGTAAGGTTTATGACAGGGAGAGGGACAGAGAGAGAGAGGATGGAAGAGAAGGATAATAGGTGTTAGAGTGAAACACCTCAGTATTGATTATGGATAATAATACAAAGTGCAGAACCATGTTAGTATGACAGGCCCTGCTGTGGCAGACACGGTTAGCAATAAGCCAGCCGTGCACTTGTAAATCATTCATGAGAGAAATAGATTGTAAGTTAGTGCGACAACAAGTGAAACAGCCCCTCCTTCCACTCTTTCCCCTCCCCATCCCTCCTGCTGCTTCTCCTCCTCACCTTCTCCTTCATCTTTTCGATCTTTTTGACACTGGAGCGTCGCACGGGCTTTTCATCCGTCTTGATACTGGCTAAGGTGTCCGGAGAGCGTGGCGTCTGGCGGTCAGATCGTCCCATCTGCTTCTCCTCCTGCTTCTCCGCCTCTTTCAGCTTGGACTCGGCGTTGATGCTGTCAGTGTTGTAAATGTGGTACGTCTTCATCACCTGGGAACAGGGGATGAGATATGCAGAGAAATAATTAAGCTTGTGCTCTCCCATTGTGTCTCTTACTTTAATTACTTGGCTATGGATGGATCATAGAAGGGATTACATCCTCCAGTATAATGAGGAGAGACAAAAAATGAGGAACAAAGCTCTGACTTTTTTCTTTTTTTTTAGGAAAAGGAACCTCCAGAGTTGGCATTTAAAAACTACAGCAACAAATGAGCCACAGCCTCTGCTACTGTGTACAAAAGAGGATTAGGGCCACAAGAAGAGAAAATAATCATTACTGGAGGGAAATCTTTTAAATTTCCATTTCGAGATTTAAGTCCAAATTTTAAAAAGTCAAAATGAAATGCTGTAAGGCTTAAATTTGTCATAGACATCCATGTGCCAGAGCGCATTGGGTCCTCAGCTTTGGTAATGCCTTGGCCTCAGGCGCCAAGCTCGTCTGTGCTTCATGCTTTCAGGATCTATCAACTTGATCAGTTGTCTTATTATATCTTGCAATACAACATAGCCTTGATGTATAGCACGCAGGTGTAACCATCAATAACCCTGCGTCTGCATGATAATCTTCGGCACAGTCTTTTCAGAGTCCGATTACTCATGACTAAACTGTGTTTGTGTGCTAAAAGAGCAAGGATTTCCTTGTTACTAAATCTGATTGTAAAGTACACCTTCACAAATTGTTTTACAGAGGACATGTTGTTGAGTGACGAGCGACAATGCTGTTAATTTATTATCATTAATCTGAAAATTACAACTTTATTCATGATATTTCGACTTTATTTTAACTTTAATCTTGTTATTTCAACTTTTATCTCAACATTCCGATTTAATTTACGAAATTTCCACTTTATTAACTACCAATGTCTGTGTGACCATTGGTAGTTATCAATCTGCTTGAGTACCTATGACATGTGGAGTTCCTCAGGGGTCAGTCCTTGGACCCCCTTTTGTTCAACTTATATATGCTGCCTTTGGATCAAATTCTGCAGAATTCTAATATCAGCTATCATAGTTATGCAGATGACACTCAGATAAATTTTGCACTGTCTCCAGATGACTCGAAATTTCAACTTTGACATAATTTCGACTTTAATCTCCAAATTTCGACTTTAATCTCATTCCTGTCATTATTTTTTATTCTCTTCATGTGGCCCTAATCCCCATCTTCACTGTGCAACACTGCAGCGCTTGACAAGGCTGCATGAGTTTGACTTGAAGAGTTAAAGACATGAAACAAATGAGTGAGTGCAGTGTCAGCCTTATTTCAATGGCCATCACCGCAGCCATCATTAAACTGCCCTAACCCCTCTACAGCACAGCAGACACACACACTGCTCTGTGTATGACTATGCATGTGAGCATGTGCGCCTCACTCAAACCAGATCTATTTCTATCTCTTACTATATGCTATAATTACAGCATAAGACCTGCATTTATGGGCCCGGCTGAGCTGAGGCCATGCAGCTTGCTTGCAGTCAGAGCTGTGCTGCGGGAGGAAACTTTGCCCACTCACACTTGCAGACACACAAACAGAGAACAGACAGTGAAATGCACTCTGATAGCCTCAGTCTATTTGGCAGTATTATGGCAATGAGTAACCAGACATTATGATGCCCCTGACAGTGTGAGAAGACCAAAACAACAGACAGCGGAGATGATGTCTGAAATGCGAGCAATCAAATGAGGCTTTCTGTTTTGGAAAAGTGGCTTACATAAGCATGAGTGTGCAGGAATATTTTAAGTGACATCCAGATTTGCTCAGTGAGATGTATTTTTGTCAACAAGAGTCTACAGATTTAGCAGCAGCTCTGTCAGGCCGAACTAAAGCACTGCAGTACTTGGAGCTAAATTCTGACGTCAGCCTGCATGCAGACCATAGCCTGTATAATCATAGCACTTGCAGACACGCTCACAATGACATTGCTACAGCACAGGATTATGAGTATGTAGTTATCTTTGCCAATGAACACCTTGGTACAAATACAGCTGAAGTTGATAGGAATGATTTTGATTTCACTTTTGCAAGAACGGCTATTGATAGAAGTGATGAGGCATCAAAATACTGACGACATTCACTGAAACCTTAGAGTCACAGGTTATCACCATGTATGGGGCCTTAAATGTGCACATTAACGTTCCACTCTGATAGTTTTTATTTTACTACTGAAAGTGTTCTCAGTGGTCTTTAAACTGTGATTATGAAGTTTTCAGCCAAATCCACATTACCTCTGTGTCATTTTCAAGGGCTTTTCTTCCGCAGCGCTCCAGTAAATCATTAGTAATTCGCCTCTGAGTCATGGGCAGAGACGGCGCTGCTCAGCACACTTCTCCTAGAGTTAGCTTGCAGCCTAACATTGCCGCTGTAGTTGAAGGAACAGATAACATAGGAGCTAAGATACAAATGTCTTTAGGGACATGATGAAAGCTAATATCATAATTAGCTTTCATCATGTATAGCGGGGCTCCAGGGGTGGAGCTTGGATTGGTTACATAGGAAATCTCACTGTATCTGATCCTGCCATTTGGGTCTGTCAGAAATTCACAGCGATTTCAATGTAGAAATACCCAGAAATGCAATTTTTTCACTTCTTTTTCTCATGATATGTCCTCTAGTATCAGAAAAATGTAATATGAACATGTAGACAGCAAGAAAAAACATGATTTTCATCGGAGCGGGTCTTCAAATTCTAAGGTAATCACACCAGCAGTTGTGAATAGAGCTAAACTTTTGTACCCTTTTGCAAACTTATTCATGGCAAAAGAGGAGATGGTTGGGGCTTTTTGGCAATCCACCCAAAAGTGTAAATTTATATGTTTGGACCAAGTGGACAGGCTAAACAACGGCTGTTAAACTGGGAAAAGCTGCTGCTAAGACTGATAATCCTTAATCCTCTGCTGATTGTGACCAAATTGCCTCCCTAATCTCCATGTTAGGTTTTTATTTTAGTCTGCAACACTCTGTCTCTCATCTTCAGTTGCTAGATAACGTTAATCAAGTCCACTTCATATATATCAAAATTGATGTAGTTTTATGATTAAAAAGGAGCTTTTAATTTCAGTAATGTAGTCACACATTGAGTTTTGACTAATTCTGTTAAAAAGTGAGGAACAACTTTTTAAAAAGGAGGGCCAGGCTGCTGATTCTGACGCTCAAGGTGCAATGATCACCAGCTGAGCTCGACAAGGTGCAATAGTTCACAACACATAATTATATACCCACATATTGTGGTTGCAGTGAGTGGTTTCTCTTACCGTGTAAAGCTCATTAAGAACTTTCATCAGGTCCTCTTGCAGCTGTACACCGACCTCTTTGCTCTGAAAAGACAGGGAGAGAGAAAAAAAAACGAAAATATAAGATTAATGTGAATAAAGGATCTCAACCATTAGCTCAGAGTCATTACTCGCAGAGTCTAACACCAGTCCATTTCAGTGGCCTTTGTTAGGTAAAGACAGCTAAACCCACTCAGTCATGTGGCCAACAGGTTCATCCGTCAAGACTAGATTTTCTGGCTAATAGGAGTGGAGGAGTTGCTGGCACAGATAAACGAGCAGGACAGTAATGGAATCGACGGATGTGGAGTTTAAGGAGGGAGCTGCAGATACAAATCTTTACGTGTTGGCAGGGAGAAGAAAAGAGGGAGATAGAGAGTGAGAGAGAGGACGGCAGAGGGATGACAGAGGGCAGGATGATAAAGATGCAAAAGATAGAAAAGAGACAGAGGGAGGACAAAAAGAACGAGAAATAGAGACGGACAAAACTGCTGAGTCTGTAGTGAACGATGAACCTCACAGGAACACATAGATCAGTAACACGTAAACTGACTCAAAGAGAAAACAGTGCCAAGCCATTTTCTTACAGAATGAACCATCGCTATAAACTGTAAGAAAGTAGTACAGCACTATAAAATAATGTGGAAAAATTCCTCTAATACCCTGAATATACTTTACTCTTGTTTGTCCATGAAAATAAGATGATCCATTATCCCCCTTTTAAAATTTCTTAAAAACTGAGGAAATTCCATGTACTTTATATTTTTTTGTGTCTTGTGTAAGTTTTTTTTTTTTTAATTCTCTTCATCTGTCAGAGTTTCTTTTGTGATTTCTTTTAGTGTGTTCTTAGTGTTGGTCGTGCTATATGTGCACAAAGGCATTCACAACGAAGTTAGATAATTAAACCTTAGGAATCATCCAGACTGGGTTTTAATCATAGACTGTATACAGAATGGACAGAGTCTGCCTCCTCGCTGGGTGAAGCCACTCCGAGAACAGCACCCTCTGGTGACAGGCTGCAGTATAGGTCATAAATCCTGCCTCCGCCAGCAAAGCTTATGGGGCTGTGGACAAACTTTAGAAATTTATTACACAGAATATACATTTTTTCTCCCCCCTGCTTGTGATGTTGACATGTAGTTATTGTAAGACTGGTTTGTGCTCAAGTCCTCTTTTTTCTGTGAAGCTCCGTTTTTAAAAGTTATTAGGGGGTTCATATTTGCTATGATTGACACCTGATACAGCCTATGGGCGTACGAAGATTGCGTAGCTCTCCCAGGGGATACGCTGTTTAAGCCGAGCGTCATCACAGCAACTATTAGCCACTGCGCGCCCGAATGCACGCACCACTACTGCGCAGCGCTGGTTTCAGGAAATGAAGAAAAATCCCGTAAATAACAAGAGCTTTTTGGCTTCAAATCTGTAGACAGGCGGTAGGTGGAACCAAGTTGTCCATAATACAGTCTATGGTTTTAATACTGATGCTTAAAGAAGCTCCATCGAGCTCAAAAGGAACCCTAAATGTGGACACAGCTTCACAGTAAAAAAACAGACTTAACTTGGAAGCGCACAGGTAAGAGGAAGCCAACGGCGATACAAAAGAGGGGTAAAATAATAGCAAAGAAAGTTAGATGATACATATTAAGGGATGTAAAATGAGCGCTACTGCAGATGTGTGTAGCAAATGTAGAGCATCTGTCTTCTGCTGGAGGAGGGCAAAGAGTGGGGGGAGGTACAGTGAGGGTGAAAAGGTAAGGTAAGACTGTGAGACAGGTGAAGGAAATGAAATGCGAAGGAAAAAGGGTGTCATGTGATCAAGGTGGGAAAATAGAAAGAAAAGTAAAGGGAAGAAAACCATTGACATGCTGCAGTCGAAAAAGGAAACAGAAATCATATTTATTACCCAAAGAGGGGGAATTAAAGAGAGCGGGAAGGTCAGGAGTGTGCAGATTGCTGCAGAGGGAGAAAAGCAGCGTCAGAGGAAGTGATTTATGGTTGCGCAGTACAAGACAGAGGTAACAGGATAACAGAGTTTGTCCCGCCTTCACTCCTTAAAGTGCCCGAGGAGGCTCGTATTGGGTGACAACCAGCAAGACTGCAGCCAATCAAAAAGCAATCAGCAATGGCTTAGCCCTCCTACCTATCAACTGTGGACCTTAACCTTTGCCCTTCTACTCTTGCCTGTGGTCGCCTGTCTGGCTCAACGGGAACGCAACAGGAACTGGCAACTAGTGCACTTCACCAGTCCTGATGTGTGTAGTCTAGGTCGAGGCTGTACACTCATTAAGACTGTTTGACCCATTAGCGCTGCGTGTCTCGGTGAAAAACTCTCATGACAGTATATTTTTGCACGAGCTTCCACACCAGCAGAGATAAATGTGTTGACGTCTTAAATATGAGCTGTGTGTGTTTGTGTGCATGTGTGGCCCCCGGCACTATGAGCATTCATGCCAGAGACTGGAAATGTCGTAAATGAACTAATTATCTACTTAATTAGACATTACAGCTCTCTATGTGTGTATGTGTGCAGCCTGTTTATGATGGTAGCCACTGTCGTGCCAAAGAACATCCACTGTGATAAAAATGGAAACCAATGCCAATGACTTGACAAAGAAGAAGAAAAAATGTGGGCAAGAGTGCTGGCTCGTCGGTTGATTGTGTGTACATTCTCAAAGCCTGAGATCAGACTGTAAGCGTAGCTAAAAGAAAAAACCCTATCGTCTTTTAGATCTGCAGCCTCTGCCATGAAATTCCAGGCGCAGACTACTTCACTTTGCTGTCAGCATGCATTTGCACTTACTACACTTGTGAGAACTCTCACACTTCTGCATTTTTTTCTCACACCCAGTTCTTATCCTCATCATCAACCAGTACGACAAACTCTCTAAATCTGGATTTAAAGGGATATTCCAGCGTAAAATAAAGTTAGGGTCAAACACACCGTAACACCGTGTGTGTTAGACGAAATAAGGCAAAGCTAAAAAGATGTTTGGAGGCTAGTGCTGTGGCTGGGACCCTATATGTACTGTTGATGAAGTTAGGTGCTGTTCAGAGCAGTATTTGTGGCTATAGAGTGGTGTTTTGATTAGAGTGGCTTGTGTATTGCTATCATGCTGTCGTTACTAAAGTTGGTATGACTAGAAAAGCAAGCGGTCGGCAACATCCATCTCTAAAACAGTGTTACAGTGTGTTTGACCCCAACTTAATTTTATGCCGGAATATCCCTTTAACCATTAGAATTAAAACTTTGTACAATGCATAACCTCACGGAAAATCTTAAATAGATCAGAGAAAGCACAAACATCTGATTCTTGCTTGTATCTCAATGGAATGCTTCTTCTCTCCATCTTGCCCTGATTCAGACAAGGATGAACATCTCAAGGTAAAAGCATGGCATGGATTGACCTTATTAGACTATAGCTGCAGATGGATGTTATTTCTAACCATAATTTGTGATCTGCTGTGATTTGAATTGTTTGTCATAAGAACTTAAGGTATCTGACAAACACCCATCCTTGCAACGCTCTCTGGATGCGTATAGACAGACGTCAGGTCATGACACACTACAGAGCTCAACACAAAGATACTGCCATAGCCATCACTAGAGAGGCCTTTTAAATACATTCAAAGTATCACACAATAAAACAGCATAAAATGGGAAGCACAAGAGCATGAGTCATCATATGACTGAATCCTGTGTAAAAACTGTTATAGTTTCAGTTTAAAATGATCCCACTCAGGATCCAGTTTGAGTTTTGCAGGTGATACATGTTGATCCCCTGAACTGCCTTCTTGCTAATACAAGTTTTAGCTAGGTTTCATGCCTTTATTTTCAGTAGTTTGAAGCTAATATTGGCTAGAATTTTACACATTCCATATTGTAATTAATAAATCTATAAACAGTTGTCCCCACTAATACTCATATTAGCTAGGAAGTGGTTACAATTTCTCATTAACCTAAGCTAGATGATAGCACATGACTATCAAATATGTTGTATAACCTGAAATTGTACAGCGTTGTCATCGATTTTCACTTCTTATTCTTGTGTAAGTTACTGGTCAATTTATAGGAGGAAGAACAGTCATGATTTGTCAAATTTCTTTCGGTTTAGGGACTGAGAACCTGAAATGAAAAAGTAACTTGATAATACTGATTTAGTTTTAAACTCTGTGGATGATGTCGGAGGAGAACAATCTTTATCTTAATGGACCAACAGGAGCCTGTTTTATGTTAGCAGATGAAGTTAGTTGCCAAGCTTAGGGGTTGAATTTACATCCATAATTCTCTGTATCATGATGGGGGCAGCTGTGATATATCAGTTTAGTAATGGAGTATCCTTTAAATGCTGGCAGCTTATCAAGTAAATAACACCTGCTGTCAAAATATAGTTCTTTTTATTAGAGTATTTTAGCCTCCAACTTCTGGTTTGTGTATCTATGTGAGTGTATGGAAGTGGTGTGTGTTTGTGTGTAATACTAACCGAAGCTCATGCTTTAACAAACTAACTGCATTACTTTATTGTCCGTCTGGTGGGCTAATAAATTTGTTTATACAGTTTTCATGAAAAAAACTTTGCTGAAGTAGAGACACACTGCCACTACACTGATCTACGTACTTCTCCAGTTATGATTTACTTCTAGTCTTTACCAGCCTGTTGTGGCTTAGCTAACTCTGTTTTACAACACACCACTTCACTTTTTTTATTTTCCATTCAACTTGATCCCACGCTTACGGCATTTTCTGTCATTTCCACTGGAGTATGTTGTTTTTGCTCGTCACTTTTCTTTCTCTTCCTCAAAGATTCGGTCCTCTGTGCCTTGCCCTTATGTTACATTAACAGCCCACTGTGTCACGGAAACAACCATCTATGTAAAATAGGGGTGTTCTGATACAACTTTTTGACTTCTGTTACAATACCGATATTGTAGTCTTCAATACTGACTGATATCGATATTGATACGATATAAGCACAAAATTGTGCATGACAAGTTTCGCACTCAGCTGCAATGTCTTTTTTGGACTTAAACAAAAAATACTGCCACAAGGCCAATATCACTCCTACTCCTTGATACTTTGTGAATACCTGAGTACACACTGTTGTTGTGATTATGTGGGCTCAGCTTGCTGGATCAGGGTACTGCTAGATAAACGTGCTGAAATGGAGTCTGGAATGGACTGCTTGTATCAGAGTGCTGATATCGGAGATTTTAGATGCAGGCCGATATAAGCCAGTATTCGTTTTTTTTGCTGATATCGGACCAATATCTGATCTAACTTATTTAAAATACAGTGCCCTGTGTAGTTGTCTGAATTTAAACAAAGCCTTGAGGCAAACAATTTGTCTTGACACTTTTTAGAGGAGTCATTCCGAGGCCAATCATGAGACCAGTCTCATGAGATTGCAATTGCAACTCTGAGGTTGATTTGTATCCCATCAAAGTGACATTTGACACATGAAAGCTATGTTTTAAAAGAGGTGTGAGCAACAACAAAAAAAGTGTCTGTGTTACCTTTTTGAAGAGGCGTCCTGAGTCCTCGCTGATCTGTGCAAAGCGGGGAATGATGTTGTTGAGGTAGAGGTCGGACAGAGTGGCATGGTCGCGGCTCTCCCTCTTCACCTGAAGCAGCAGCAGGTTCCAGCAGTTCACAGGAGATAAAATGCTCTGCTCCTTCCTACGCACAGAGAGAGAAACAGACGCTCTTAAATTGTATTCAAGGACCTTGAAGCGTTATTTTTCTAGGTAAATGACTATCATTAAGTCTCTTTCATCTTTAAATTCACCCTTTTTATCCTGCTGATAGATGTTCACATACACACGCACACACTTCTACACTACAGTCTTTTCAGGAAGGTGACACAAGGGTTTGGGATAAGGGACAGGGAGGGAATTAATGCCCAGACAGATTCATGCAAAAAAAACAGCATCTCATTTCACAAATACACACAGACATCCACACACACAGGCACAGGGTCAGAGAGCCAGCCCAAACAGGGGATTCAGCCAGGGTACAAAACCCAGCAGGAGGAGGTTAGACTCCCCCGTGGGCACAGCTGTCGCGAAGAGAAATAAAAGGAAAAAGGAGAGACAGAAGAGAAAAAGACAGAAAAAAAGGGGAAGATTTAAAGACTGGAAGGATTCCACCAACAGTCTAATGGCTCAATACTGTTTCTTTGTCTTTGTTTCAAGTGCCCATAAAGCCACTACACAAATACCCTCTGAATGCCCTGCTCATGAAAGACCACAACACAACACAACACAACAGAAGCCCTTTGGAGTATGTGTGCACGATATGTGTGTGACAGTGTGTGTGTGTGAGAGAGAGAGAAAGAGAGAGTGTACATTATGTGTTATGGATGATCCATGGATGATCTAGTGGGTAAAATGGATTATGAGTGAGTGTAAGTGGATGAAAGACGGTCTTTGTGCTGTTAAGAGCAGCTTTAACTGGATAGAGACAGAGCTGCGAGGCATTTACATCACACACACAGACACACCAAACACACACACACACACACACACACACACACACACACACACACACACACACACACACACACACACACACACACACACACACACACAGATGGGGTCAGGAAAAGTAGAACAGTGACCCAAGCACACACAGGGTCAGACAGACAGAGAAAGTCTTTGACCAAAGGGAATAGAGAGGGGGTGGTGTTGATAGGGAGGTGTGTGCGTATAACTCAAGTGTGTATGTGTGTGTGTGTGAGCATATGTGTGTTTGTATGGGAAAGTATGGTCCGATGAGATGAGTCAACCACAGTGATGCGATATGCTGGTACTGGCTGTCACTGGTCAGATGGTCAGATGACTAACTGAGTAAAACAACAATGAGTTCAAGGAAAAAACAAAGCCATCATGATTTTTTGCTCAAGTTAACCAATCATCATGTGGACTGGACACACGTGTGTTTGTACTTCTCGCCGCTGTCTGTCTCTTTTCCTGCTCGCCTGCTTACACTGATTGCACAACATTTCTCTCTGACTAAAAGCAGCACCACAGTTCCTCTATTTGCTCCAGCCAGCCACCTCTTCCCCCCCATGTGACATGTCACCCTCAGATCACCAGTGATCACCTTGGTGATCGTACAGCAAGCACCCAGTGGACTATCAGCTCTACCCTTCAGCTATAACAAGGTAGACACTGAAATGCCGCTAGCCCTTCAAAGGCCACACAGTGCATGTTGGGAATAGGGTCTCTACTCGGGTCAGGCAGTGCCAAGTGAGTCACATTAGAGGGAAAATGCTAAATGGTTATTTACGTTCAGGGTCAAAATGCACAGCACCAAGTCAGGCATCACTGCTGGTTCTTTTCTGCAATACTGACGCAGACTCATCTGTTTAAAGCTGAGAGTGAACAGAAGATTAATTACCATCAACAGATACACCGACAAGAACTTTATAAGTTGATGGGCACTAGGAAACTGATTGTTGAAGTATAAACAACAGGAGACCTTTAAAGCTCCTGTGAGGAACTCTCACTGTGTATCAATTTTGGCGCCTCCTGTGGACAAAGTAGTCCTTGCTAATATGGTCCTTTACATACGGTGTCTTCTTTCATAAAAAATCTCATCCTACTGATTTTTCATTGTCGAATGTCAATTTACAGAAAATATTTTGTGTCAAAAAATGCAGAGAATTACCGTGCGCTGTCTGCTGAAGCAGATGTAGTAAGCAGTGCTGATGAAGCAGTTCTTTACAACCTTTTAATTAGTTTTATAAACAAATCAGGACCAATCCCACCAAACTGAAACCATGTCTGAATTCAGAAATGTACAACTTCATAAGATTATTTGTTCAGTATTCTTTTACCCTGAGCCCTTTTATTTTAAAGGATTTGAAAACCATCTGTCCTACATCTTCAGTAACAGAGCAGATTTTGGCCATGTGTGCAGGTTAAAAGTCGGAACCTTTAGCTGGATTTTCCAAATCTGAATTTTCTTGGTTTCTTAACTTAACATCCAGCTGTAATTCTGAACAGTAGAATTTAATTAAAAAAAAAAAAAAAAAACAGTTTGGGAAAATTGATTGAAGATTATGAATTGAGTCTAGGAGGCTCAGCTGATGGAAAATTAAGTTTCAGATTCTTTTAGACCATGAACCTTTAAATGAACTGGTTTATGGTCATGGTTTATGAACTGTGTGAACTAAACCTGATAGAGGCGTGATTGTGGCTTTAGCTGATGTATGCCCATTATTACCACTGATGGGTAGGGTGTAACATACACCTAAATTCAATTTTATCATGCTGCACAATTGCATACCTCACTATACAACACAGACTGTCCTTAAATGACGTGATTTTTGTCAGACAGTTATTTGTTGTTTTGATTCTGTGCTAAAAAGCAGCAACTTTTACGATTAAAACACAAGGATCAGAGAGGTACAGATTTTTCAGTTCACATGTGGTCAAATGTTGGTGTGATCTCTAACATCAGATTAAAAAAAAGAAAACACACTGAACTCATGTTACTATGGTAATGTGTTGTTAAAGGGCTAATCAGCAGAGACACTGACCCAATATTTGGCATAAGGCCACACTTTGAATCAGGGTGAAAATTCTGAGAGTTTCTCCATGTGACCAATCAGCATGTCAGCCTCAGGCCACACTCATGCATACACACAGACATACAGAGACACACACAATACAGTTAAACTGTGTAACCTCCACCACCACTGCAGCATGCAGTCTGCCAAATAGCGGGAATACCAGGGGTCTCTATGGGATCAACATGCACACACACACACACACGCACCCCACATTGCTCATAGCTCTACCAAGGCCTGGCTGTATGGAGAAGCAGCCACACACACATTCACACACACACACACACACACACACACCTACATTCAGACACAGAAAAAAACACACACACATAACCGGAAAATAGCTGAAATTCCTGTGTGGCACCCGTGCTGAGTAGCAGCAGATGCAGAGAGACTGTTGGATACACAGATGTTGGATGAGGAGAACGGCAAAAAGACAGACTGGGTGAAAGGGAGAGAGGAATAAAAATGTGAAGGTTGAACTCTTGTCAGACAGAAAATGGTATTTTGATAGCTTTATATCATGATCAGTTATGACGTTTGCTCTTTAGCTTCTGCAGAAACTGACCTGCTCAACTACATATTCAGTTCTCTGTCCTTTGCCCTCCCTTCTCCTTTGCTCTTCTTCCCCTCCCCCAACATGAAACACAACACACACACACGCATCTGCAACTGTCTCAGTATTGATCTAAGCTGGAGGGTGTGTGTGTGTGTGTGTGTTGTAGACGTGTGTTTGTGTGAGCTGGGGGTATGTCCTCTAGGTTGGAATTGGGTTTCATTCAGAGGACCTATCGATTGCTTTTAGTCTGTGCCCCTGCATGTGTGCATGTGTGTGTATAAGGGCACAGATTTGGGGTTTACCCTCTTACAGAGAAATAATTGTTTTTGTAAGAGAGTGCAGTGCGTAACAAAAGAGGAAGAGGAATTAGGAAAGCAACAGCGAAGAGGATGAACAGGAAGTGTAGGAAAGAAGACAGGCAGGTGAGGAAAGTGCACTGGCCTGTAAGAGGTGCTCTTAAAGCAGGCATCACAGAAATCAACATAGAACATTATTAATATTGTGAGAAAAAGGCGTTCTGAGTTTTGGCTGCAAAGCAGAAAGTTAAGTTTGACACTCATGCAACCCTAATGATCTTGTATTTTTATATGAAGTGTTGCAGCTACACAGATGATGATGTTCTTCTATTTTGTTAAAAAGTTGAAGAATTCCCATCAAGGCATAGCGAAAAGAATCACATTTACGCTCATTTCTTCATGGACATGCAATCAGACCGAGATGCTAAGTCAGAAGAACTACCGCGTCTGCAGTTCAAAATCATCAATATGGTGATTATTACTTTAAAGAAATGATAAAATAATGATCATTAATGTTCTTCCTTGAGCTGCCTCACCCCGCTGCAGTCCGTAATGGACTGGCCTGAGGTAACAAGCGGCTGCTGGAAGAGAGTAGGTGAGTTGTGTTTAGTCTCTTTGCTAAAGAGGCAAAGCTAAAAAGATGTTTTGTTCTGGGACCCTATGTGTACTGTTGATGAGGTTAGCTGCTGTTCTGAGCATTATTTGTGGCTATAGAGTGGCGTTTGGTTGAGGTTTGTTTATGGCTCCTCAGACCGCTGTGTATTGCTATTGAGCGGTCATTACTAAAGTTGGTATAACTAGAGAAGCAAGCAGTCGGCAACATTCATCACTTGAGGGGGTGTCTAACTCAGTGTTATGGTGTGTTTGACCCTGAATTAATTTTACGCCGGAATATCCCTTAAAGCCTCTAAGTTTCACCACCCCAAATTCATAGTGATCTTGTGACTTTACCACATAAGCTGCATGAAAGTGTGTGATACGTCTTTAACTGAAGACCATTTTTATTCAATCCCACCTCCGGACAAATAGGAAGGCTGAGGCACGGCTCCTCTACAAACACTGACACACTTGCTGCAGCTTCCCCCTGTCCCTATTGGTTCTTTGAGAAAACACAGAGCTACAGTAACGATGTATTAATGATCCTGCAGTAATGATCACAGAGCCCTCAAGTCTCTTTGGATCAGCAGAACATATTAATCACTCAAATATTTCCATTAAGAAGTGCTGCCAGCTGTTTCAACTCTGTTCTGCACGGTCACACCTGTGTTTTCTCTCACAAAGCCTCTCCACGAGACACCTCTCTCCTCAAGGATGGGGAGCTCTCATTACTGGCAAGAAGACACAGGAGTAAGGACACTGTGGTATAATCAGCTCAAATGGATTCTCTGGCTTCATTTACATGGAGGACACTTGATGAAAATGTTTTGTGTATAAATAGCTGAGCAAGCAGTTCGGTGAATCTTTACCCACAGAGAGACAGACTGCTCTCTTAAAGTGAAAGACGCCGGTTTAATTATACAAGAACACACCCTGCTGCTTAAGCTGATGAGCTCTAGATTGTTATTTTTGTGCATGTTGTGCATCAATAAGAGAGAGAGAGAGAGAGAGAGAGAGAGAGAGAGAGAGAGAGAGAAAGAGAGAGAGAGAGATCAAACTTTTTTAGAGAGAAGGAGAGAATCCCTGTTCGGGCAAGGTTATACACGCAGCAAGACACAGTAAAGTAGTCAAGCACAAAACCATCACCTTCGTACACACACACACACACACACACACACACACACACACACACACACAAACACGTATGTTCTCAGCACCTCGGTGAAAGAAACAAGTATCATTACAAACTATTGATGAGTTGAAGTTTCAATAGATCAAATGGGGAAATACAGACTGATGTAAGCGACACTAATCCGCTCACCATCACTCTCGGTCATCCTTGTTTCATTTCTTTCCTTGTGTCTACTTCTCTTTTCTCAACAAGGAAGTCAGACTAAATCAGCTCTGAATCCTGTCTAAAGGGCTAAAAAAAGACAGTCTCTTGTCTTTTTAGTTTGAGAATCGAAAATTTCCCTCATCTTAAACACTTCAACTCCACTAAGGACATCTGTAACATCATATCAACAGGCTTCCCGGAGTGTGATGCATTTCTGTGTATCTTGTATGCAGCTGTTTGTGTCTCATACTTGAGAAGGTGGTCCTTGGTGCTGCGTGTTTTAGTGAGGAACCTCTCCGCCAGCTTCTCTAGGTTGCGGCTGTAGTCCACTTCGATCTCGGCCTTCTTTCTGAAGAAGTCCTGCAGGTCCTGCAGCAGCTGCACCCTCAGCTCGCATTGCTGGTCCAGACACTTGAGCTGTTCCACCAGCTGGGCACGGATCTCTGCAGGGGAACAAAGGAAGAAAAGAGACAGAGTCGGGTCAAACATTGTTGTTAACTTTGTTATTCCGAAGCGTAATTAACACCTGGGAGTCACAAAGCGCAGACAAAGCAGGATGTTTTTCAGCCGTCACTCTGAAATCAAAGGCATCTTTTACCACAAATAATATATATCCACCATGTAATTAACTCTGCATACATTACTGATGACAGTGCAGAGCAGTCTTTAAAATGTGTTCCACAGCAATGTGTCAGAAAGTCCACCGCAGTTTCCTCTTTCCAGCTGATGTGGATGGAGTCCAAATCAAGTGAAACACCTGGCAGAGCTTAAACACATCAACCCTCAAGATTTGGCTGAAATCCATCTGCACTCACACCAATCCGTATTGCACAAACTGCTATGTGTATGTGTGTGTGTGTGTGTGTGTGTGTGTGTAACATTATCAATAGTGTGTATGCTGTGTATATCGGCTCTCCTTTTCCACACATATCCAAGACATCTCCAGAGGCAGTCATTTATCCCCGCTTATCACTTTTCATTTTCCTCCTGCCTCCTTCCCCCCTCTCCCTCCTTCCCTCCCTCCCTCCCTCCCTCCCTTCATGCTGCTCTCCAGTCTGGCCTCAAATTAATAGAGAGCACTCAGCACAGACACACTCAGAAACCACATTCAATCACCGGCTACAAGAAAGTCCTCTGGAGAGTCCAACCCGGTGCAGTTACTCAAGATTGGGACGCACAATCCAAGACAAGCGTGCATTTTCCACACGAAAGGACACGCACACATACACTCAAACACACACACACATGATGGTGATAAGCTGGATCGGTGCTGACAGCTGACAGATTAATGCTATGCTCTCATAGCTGCCTGCCAATGCTGACTAGGCGGTACATGCATCCTTTTAGAGAGTTGACAAACACTCACACACTTGTCTAGTTTCTGTCCTACCTTTACAGCGTTGTCCAAAGAGAAAGCGGATGGTTTTATCCTCCATTCTGGCCTCACACTCACACTCTGTCAAACACTCACACACTCTCAGACAGTCAGCGAGTCAGCCATCCGTCTGTCCGACCAGTTGACAGCGACTGTTGATGCTGCCTTTGTGTTCAACAGCTGAGAGAGCAGTTTCTCATTACCACAAAGAGAAGTGGGATATCTAAATCGGTCTGTAACACCAGCCCCCCTTCAGTCAGTCGCCTCCCACTTCTCTCTGTCTCTCGCTCATAAACACAGACCTAAACAATTTGACACTCGCTGGCGGCTGCATGCAAACACAGTCGTTCTTCACAAATTAAAAGGCCCGAGCAGAAGAGGGGGAGCTGTGCGGCATCATGACACTACGGCACAAACACCCATATACTCAACAAATAAATGCATACACACACACACACACACACTGTGTCTGCACTAAAGACCTGGTGTGAGTATTTGTTTTGACAACAAGAGTTATTGACTCGTGGTTTGTACATGTGTGTGTGTGTGTGATTTCGTCTTCCCTCCCTGCTGTCAATGATGGGTGTTGAGTCAGTGCCCTGCCTCCTGAATCTGTGACATGTGAATGAGTGAACAATGAGTGAATAAATCATCACAAAACAAAACACAGTAACTTCTCACACACTACAAACAAGTGCTTTCATTCATGAGGAGCTTGAGCAGGTGACCGAAATTATGGAGTCTGGAGCGAGACACTTGACCTCAATAAGAAATCAGGTTTAATAAGAGTAAATTTCTTCGACTAATTTATTGTCTTTCTGATCATTTATGTTGATCATCATTATTTGTACTTCATGAGACCGATAAATGAGACTTGGAAATGCCTGGACAGGAAACTAAAAAACCTTTTGGCCAAATTGAGAATCTGGGGAAGTACAACTCCAACATAACATGTTCTTTGAATAGCTTTAGCAAAAAGTGAATCAAAACTGAAACTTTTACCATCATACAGACCCAGAGGGAAAAGCCACATCAGCAGTACAACCGAGGTAGCACGCTTTTTAATTTATCGATTTTATTGGCCATCTATGAAATAAAAAGCAGATACAGCTAATCGGCTGAATTCCAAATATTGGCTCCAATAATCAGCCAAGGGGCCAATAACCCTTTGTTTTAATCACATGACAGCCTTTTCCTCTGTTGTCAAGCTCAGAGTAGGAAGAATAATGCTATGACACTGTTAATCTGTTGTGTTTTACAGCCGACAACTGTTGTGGTTACAGCAAAGTGAAAGCTATACAAATTGATCAACTAGCTACTGTCAGACAGCAGCTGGTGCTTGCAATCAACCACGTCCTGAATTGCTTTATGGTTTGATAGCAACAAACATAAATTCTAAGCAAACATCACTTCTTGTTAGTTTCTGTGTGTTTAGCACATCAGTCGTAAACTCGGTCAGCAGTGCTAACAATAAAGCTTACCTAAAAGCTAGATTGGAAACAAAACTGTTGGTAAGGGCACAGGGTCTTTCCTCTCATACCTGGTAACTCATCAGTCGGTGAAAATATTTTCAGCTAGTTGGTTGCTAATGCTAATATTAGCTCTTATCTAGCAGTAGCCAAAGAGTCATCCAGTACATTGATTATCTGGTAGGGCTGGGGTGATATGCTTTTCTCCCGATTCAATTCTTCCAGGATTTTTTTGATGCCGATTCAATTTAAATTGTGATTCTACGATATTGTTGATTTTCTCAATTTTTAGTCTACATTTTTAATACTAGTGAAACAGTTAAATGACTATGATTGTCTACTGACTATTCCAGGGATCATATTTCCCCCAAAAAATACACATTACCTGTAAGTCAGTTTTTAAGATTTTTTCTTCAATTTGAAAAAAATGTGGGGTTTTGAACAGAAAAAATCAGTTTAAAATCTGTAAAACTCAAAATCGCAATACTTATGTGAATCGATTTTTTCTCCCACCCCTATTGTCTAAGTTTTTACTTTCTGCTGCTCCATCAGGAAGTGATAAAATAACAGCAAAGTAAATGGCTATTGGGTGAATATTGTGCCTCAAACATTAACTGTACAAAATACTGGTGATGTCTTAGTAATGTAGCCCAAATACAGTGGCTGTCATATTGTAAACGTTGACCCCGACCAATTTACAGCTAATCTTGAAGCTTGTAAAAAGGTGTCAATATGGCCATAAAAACAAGCCTGACAAACAGCTATAATGAACACATCCACCTGTCAGTCAGCTCAGCCACCCCCTGACGCCAAGTCTAGGGGCGCTTCATTTTACCACCTCAGAGCTTACAGCTTGCCCCTCAGACAGCTAAAAGTCATATGATGAAGTCTCAGTTTCACATTTAAGCCCCTCACTCCGTATGTTATTTATACTGTTAATGCCAGAGGGATTTGAAATGAAGACACTATTATAATTGTTAAGAAAGACTGATGTAGGTCTTTCTTTAGGCCTCATCCCTCTGTAGCGGTCATCACCCCACTGAGCCAGCATGAAGTGTGATGTGAACTGGAATGTGAACTGGAACCCACTCCTCCTTCGTGCAGACTAGTCACATTTTCCAGGCGGATGAGAGCAGGTCTTGTAATCTGGCTCTGGGATTCTACTCTCTGATGCTCTGGTTTCTTTTTCATCCTCCTCCTCCTACTCTGTCTAGAGCTGAGGGCTGTCTGGCTTGATCTGCCCAAGCCTTTCCCATACGCTTAGCACTCTCAGTCTCCTTTTCCTGTATAAAAACCTACTTTGATACTCTCTGAGATGTTTCATTCTCTCCTGTTTCAACTCTACTTTGGCAGAGGAACCACCTGTTGGTTCGTTCTGATGAGTTGGTCAGTTTTAGTTTGGATATTTTTTGATATTTAAGTCTAGTTTTGGCAATTAAATCAAATCCTTCTGCTACTTTTTCTAAACAGAGTCCTCTGTTGGTGACTCTTGACACCTACATGGGGAAGTACAGACACACAAAGAGGAGAGAATATTGGTGAAGCGACATGTTTCTGTAAATTGACTTAGTCACAGCTCATTGATAATTCCTGACAATGTTTCAAATTATCAGCTAAGGTGAGACACTGTGCTGGAGCTTTATATGAGTTTAATTGGCCTGGTAATCCAATTGATCTCAGAAGGACATACAGGGTCAAAAGGATGTGGAAAAACTCCCTGGAGTTAACAGACAGTTTATCTTTTACAGTCAGTGACTAACATTCAGATTTTAGTGGTTGGAAAGGTTAAAGCACTTTCTGGAAAATCCTCTACAGGTGAGTAAAACGGACAGTGCATTCAACCAGCCGATACCAGTTTATCATGAGACGGGTAAGTCCACAATCACATGACCAGGAAATGCAGAAAATACAGCAGTTGCACTCAACACTGGAATATACAGGAAATGGAGCCAGCGTCACTTACCTTAGGTCACATGATTGTCATAAAAGTCTGTTTATGTAACACAATGTTCAAATGAAAGGCCTATATTTTTCAGCCTCAACATATTGTATAGCTTCACCCTTCACGCATCAGTCTCTCTATGGGGACAAAAGCAAGAATAAAATGGCAGAAATTTGTGGAGTCCACAAGCTTTTTCTGTTCTAAACCAACTCACCCATACCTGCCCCTCCTCAGCATCCATTATTGATTAGTTTGCGTAGTCTGACCCAGAAAACGGAAGACAAAAACAGAGAGAGAGATGTTGGATAGAGACAGCTTAACCATGCTAGAATGGCATTACCACCATGATCAATGCCTGCAATTAATTTTGCTGCAGGCAAAGGCTGAAGGCAGGGTCGGACTCGGGCGTGTAGGCGCATACAAATGTGTGTCTGGATGCTCAGAAGGGAATAAAGCTAGAAAGGGAAAATAAAAATGCAGCAAAAACATGATCAGCTTTGGTCTGTCTAGCTAAAAGCTGACAGAAGTGATGGTTGCCCTGGATGCTGGCCTAGATACAAGAACCACACATGCTGCTGCGATGAGCACTCATTATACCTGGAAACACCCTGGGCTATGGGCACACACACACACACGCGCACGCACACGGCCAGCCCTGTGACACCCATGAGTCCAAGCTGTCACCCCGAGCTATTTTGAAGGCAGCTATCCAGCTCTGGCCCATAAAAAGCCCCACCCCAGATCTGTCCTCCTCAATAACTGGACACGCTCTGGAGACACTGACACACACACACTTACACACACATGGCAAATGTTCACAAGTAGATGTGATGGGTGTTGGAGACAAGGTTAGAACTGGCAGGAGAAGGAAAGCAAGAGAGGGGGCGAACAGAGAGACAAAAAGAGCAGAGATGACTGGTTAAGTTTTTACAGGTTATGGCGGTGATTCCTATGGCATAAAGTACTCATGAAGGTCACCTGATAAAGAGGAAAAATAATGAAAGGGCACATTAATTAAAGAGGGAATTAAGTTCAAGAGATTAAATGATCATCTAATAAATCAGAACAAAGTGGTTTAAATAATTTAATGTTAGTGTGCTTTGTGTTTGCTGTCTTTTTTTCATATTTCAAAGAGTATTTTTATCAAATAAAGTTCGGTAACACTTTACTTGACGCCTATTTATATAACGCATTATAAATATATGTATAATGTGTTATAATCACGTTATAGCACTGTATAAGTATAGTTATAAACATTCATAATTATCATAATAATGCTTTATAGCAATAATCATAACACATTATAAAGCATTTTATCATGACTTACAAGGTCAGGTATTTTAACGTGTTGCGCTTATTGTTATAAAGCCTTATGATAATTAATGAGTGTTTATAATGATAGTTATACAAATTTCTAAGCACATTATAAAACATCATAAATATATGTATAATGCATTATCTATGTGGGCATTGTCAGTGAGTTGTTAACAGTTAAAACACATTTTAATACCTGACCTAGTAAGTCATGATAAAATGCTTTATAGTGTGTTATGATTATTGCTATAAAGCATTGTGATTGAGTGTTAATAACTATAGTTATACAGCGCTATAACGTGATTATAACGCATTATACATATATTTATAATGCGTTATATATATTGCCTAAACTTTTATTAAACGTTAGAGAAACACAAGTCAAAATTAAGCATTTCAGACCCTGCATGAAATGGGATCATTTCTAAATGAACGCCACATTGCCAGCCTTCGCTTAGAGTGCCCACAACTTGTGCCAGGTAATCAGTGACCACAGTGTGAACAGACACACACAGCCTCTGTTACAATTAACTCGTTTAAAGATATCCTGCAAATCCAACCAGGAGGTGTAGCTCGTGGCGAGGCGGACTATTACCTGTTGTGTTTGTGTTTCTGTGTGTGTGTGTTTGAGCAGGCATGCACGCTGTGTTTATGCAGTGAGGCCTGGTCTTTGTTGCTCCGGGGGCTGATACTGCAGCACGGAGCAGAGCAAAGGAGAAGAGGAGGGGGTGGTGGGTGGTGTGTGTGTGTGTGTGTGTGTGTGTGTGTAGGGGGGGTAATGGTTTTGAGTTGTACCACTGTGAGCTCATGCTATTGTCCCCAGAAGAATGAAAGAAGTAAGGAGCAGAAAGAAAAGAACAGAAAGCAGTTTATAGGGGGTGTCGTGTGTGTGTGTGTGTGGGGGTGGGATAGGGGGGCACTGCGTCACAGTGAATAATATGTCCATTCATCCCTGCACACAGGAAGAGAGGACAGAGAGACAGGAAGTCAGCCGGAGCGGTTCACTGCCAGTAGGGAGCACACAGGAGGGGAGGGTCATACTAAAACAACCACAGGAAGCACATGTGTGAGTAAAGTCTGACAGGATGGGGGGTTGGACTAAGGTGCGCACATGTGTGCGTACGTGTGAATGTGTTTAAGTGTGTGAGTTTGGGTTTCAAACAAATGAATGGGCCTGAAGAAAAACAGGCAGCTGTGAAGGTCCACCGATGTGACCCTCAGAACCTGAAACCAGGAAGGAAAAAGGAGAGAGAGAGAGACTGACAGAGAGAAAAACTAGGCCAGAGGTGTGCAGGTTGAAAGGAGAAAAAGCTGGATGTGTTTGTGTGTGCATGTAGGTGTGTGTGTTCAAGGAGATGGCTGAACTACGAGATGTGATTTTTAAGGCCGCTGAACGGGTATCCCGAGGCCTCAGGTTGAAGGTAACCTAATGAGATTCTTCAGCGGGGTGGACTCTATTAGTTCCAGACATGCTTAATACTACCTCACAGCGCACACACACACTCACACTGACACACACACTCACACAAGTGTGTGCAGGGAGTAGAGGAGAAGATAGAATTACAGTACAGTAAGTGTTGGAGGGAAAACTATTGCCGGAATGGAAAGATTCCAGTCAATGTCTTTTCCTTGGGTCTGGACTTTCCTGTGAAAACAAACACACACACAGACACACTATACACACACACTCACACTGAAACTTGTGGAGGCATTTCCTCTCTCACCCGGTTTTTGAAACCTCTAGGAAAAGCAGTGTCGTCCTAAGGAGGCAAGTTAATGAGCTTAGTGACTTTTAGACATGGAAAAGTATTGGAGCCAAACCGCTGCAGACCTGCTCTGAGCAGTCTGGAGAGGGAAGAGGGGAAAGACACTAAGGAGGGAGACACGCAGACAGACAGACAGACAGACAGAAAGCATAAGATGGGAAAGTCACCTCATGCTGAACTGAAGCATGAACGGAGTGGATTTTGGAGGTTTGGTACTTTGTAAATTTCACTTCTGACCTGATTCATGGAGGAGAGCCGTGCACTTAAGTGTTCCATAACCAGGCAGGGAAGTATTGTGTGACCACTCTGCTTTTCTACACACATATATATTACACCCACTCACACACAAAACACCTATAAAAACAAAGGAACTCTGCGTGCAGCAATAAAAACAACAGAAAAGATACAAAAATTGATTACAAAAGTTGGACCTCTTGACAGAAAAGACAAAAGAAGGAGTTCCAAGTGTTCTGGCTTCACTTACTGTTTTCTCTTTGTACAGTTTATGACTCAGTTTATGGTTTCTGACTTTCTAGGCTCACTTTCAGGCAAGCTGCATATCAGCAAAACAAACATACTGACAGCAACCAGAGTGTCTATATACAGCCTTACTTCTAAATGAAGATACAGAGTTTTGTCAGCAGCCGCAGCGTGTCTCTAAACCTCAGAGTTGATGACATGTTAAAGCTTTGCTATCTCTTTCTCTTCAAGCTGCTAGAGTTGACAACGTGTTTGCAATGCAGTGTTTGCATTAATAGCGCCAAGTCTGCAAAAAAACAAACAAAAAAAAAACACGGTGGTCTTATCTTTCTTTAATTTTATGCCTGGACTGTTTTGGAAAAATGACACATCCCGGACACTTGCAAAAATAAGATCCAGTAAACAGGAACTGGGATACAAATATTTATCATGTGAACTGGGATATGAATAACCAGGTTTCTCTGTGTGCATGTCAAAATACAGACACACAGACCATTAGGGCTGGGCAATATGGCCTCAAATCAATATTACGATATATTGAGCAGTTCACCTCGATAACGATAAATGGACAATAACTACTCCACAAGCTGCTCACCCCCTCCCACATTAACTTCGTCTATTTCAGCCGCTACAACTTTTGAACCTCCATGAAACCATAGCCTACCTAAACACATCCAAAACCAACTTTTATTGATTTATTTTTTTGACATTGAATAAACTGACATGAGCGAAACAACGTCGGTTATTGTCGTAAATTAAGGTATCTGTAAATTTTCGGTTAATTGCCCAGCCCTACAGACAATGCGCTCACAATCAATCTTTTCATGATAAAGTTTAGAGCTAGCTTAGGTGTAAAATTCCTTCTTTTAAATCTGTATGAGAAACGGTGAAACTTCTAGGAGTGTGAGCAGGGACAGAGAGCAAAGTGACTTCCTGAAAAGTGGTATTGATCTTGAATTAGTCCTCAACAACAAAACTAAACTGAGTTTACTAAAATGTCAAGCTACTTCATTTAGACCTAATTAAACTAAACGAGGACACTGGACAGCCATCATGCCACACTGCAAATCTGTTTTTCCTCAGGTGATTAATGACTGTCTGCAGACGCCTGTTGATATACTTCATCACCTCCCCTTATACACTGTGTAGAAATCATCATTCCTCATTTCTACAGCACCCCTCATAGCACTTGAAAGACGCAGAGGCACCCTGGGAAGGCGAGAGAAAAGTAGGTGACAGGGAGGTGGAGGGAAAGTTATAGTGAGGGGTTGGTACTCAGTGGGGGTACATTCCTCCAGACTACTAAGATCAGGAAGTCATTAACCCTTTACTGGCTACTGAGATGCTTTATCTGCAGTGGCAGGAAAGAAGGAGGACTCCCATGGAAGATGAGAAGAGTGTTTGTGTGTGTTGCTGCATCTGTGGTCTCAGGTCTGAGCCGTGCAGGCTCCCGTCAGGGTTCCTTGAGCTCCCTGAGCCATAAGTTCAGGTTAGGGGTCAGAGGTCGCAAAGCTACTGGAGAGAGGTCAGTCTCCCACATCAACCGACTGGTGGAAAAACCCCAACAAGAGCAGGACGATCACTTTCGGACACAAACTGGATCAACCTAAAATAGTCTCTCAAATGATCAATATTTGCAGAAGTGTGTTTTTCATCTCAACTGAAACACTTTTCCTTCCTGCAGCCATCGCACGCTCTGGTTCCTCTCTTGAGTTTGCGGAGGGTTTGCGTGGTGGGGGGGCTGGGAGTCTCTATACATAATAAATGAGGCTGCTTATCAAAAGTTAACTAGCTTTTGCCCATTTACAGCCCCTGCCTGCTCTACTAACCCAGTATATAAAAAAGCGCTGAGACACAGACGGCGAGTGTGTGTTGGGGGGTGGGGGTTTGTCTCACACTGATGGCGGGATTGAAAATAAATGAAGGAACTTCAATGAGACCAGAGCTGCTACCAAAGACTGTGTTCATTCATGATGTGCTTTGATCAATGGCCTCATCTGAAGCCTGAATCTGAAACGATTACAAGAACAATCAGAAACTTCTTTGATAATCTGTTCATCCTCAAAGTAGTCTTTCAAGAAAATATGTCAAACATGACCATTTTTGAGCTTTTCAGCTATACAAACTGGCTGCTTGTTCACTGTGTACTGTTTTTAATTGATGACTTTGTAGGTCTTTATCCAACAGGCATTTGACTTATCCCACCTCAAATACATCATAATGTCACTGGCTTTTATCCTGCTAATACTGAGATGGATTTAATTTATCTTTCTTTTTTTTGCTTCAGATAAACTTTTCCTGTTTCCGATGACAAACTGGCTGCCTGTCCTGAGTGTACTCTGCCTGTCACTTGATGTTGGCGAGGACTGTTTCCAGCTGCTGTATCCTAAAAGGATAAGTAATACAGATAATGGATGGAAGGAAAAATGAGCCAAGCAGCAAGTCTTCATATCTGAAAACTGTGGCCTTGTTTTTTTTTTTCCTTTAAAGCTTGACAAATCAATTCACAATTATCAAATTCAACATGCTTGATGGTTTAATTCCAGCTTATCAATTAATTGCCCAGCTGCATCAGCACTAATAGAGGTCGTACTCTATCTGACAATTCATCAATTTACATGATGTGTGACAGGCTGCGAGGCTAATTTATTTGTGTGTGTTTGTGTAAGTGTGTTTCTGTGAGGGTAGTTCACCCTCAAGGGTAGCATCCACCTGGTGTCACCTCTATTTCCTGTCTCTGCCGGACATGGCCATCTGGGCTTCAGTCTGTTCCAGCAGCCTTCATCTCCCTCACTCTCTCCAACCCACAGCACACACACACACGAACACACACATAAACCATTCGCCGTAGGGATGCAAACCATGAGAGTGTAATGTTCTCTACCATCTGTCTGAGGAGGTATGGATGGATATCAGACAAGACCGCACAGACATATTTTACCATCCTGGACAAGCAGGACAGACAATATTAAGCTAAAATGTCCCTCGGTGTGTGAGTGTGTGTGTGTGCACGTGTGTAAGTATTATTAATGTGTGGGTGTGTGAAGCATTCACTCTTTCCAGTGTTTCCAAATGACCAGTCCATAACACCCCCCTTAATCAGCTTAGCAGCCAGTCAGGGGATTTGACTAATCCACAACACAAGCATGGGAAGGAGCCCGCTGAGTGCGAGTGTGTGTGTGAGTGTGTGTCTGTCTCTCTAAGCAAGCAGCCTGTCTGATTGTGTGTGTAGCAACTTAAATCAACCTCCACAATCTTGAACACAACTGCCGCGCTCCCTGAGCATTAAGCATTACAATAATCATCAAGGATATTAGACGACTTTTAAATTTCGATGCGCGTCTTTCATGTGCGGAGAAATCTTCAAGCACACGCAAAAAGGTTCAATCCCGTCTTAATTAGCAGGTTAACAGTCAACATTATTCCTGTGAAAGAGTGACGGTGTGTAAATGAGTCTGTACTTCTGGATTAAGCCGTCATCAATCGTCCTGTCAACTTTCTTCATCTTCCTTCCGCTCCTCTGTCAGAAGAAGTCTGGTCAGCCTCAGTGATTCACAGGGTCCTCAGCTGCTTTTTGTGCATGTGCGATGCATTCAAAGACTGCCCCCCTGAGGGAAGTATCAGCGCTTTGAAGCCTAACACAGTGTGTAATAGCCACCCTCTGTCAAGCTAGTAGTCGTGCATGACAGCCTCTGTCACACACAAAAATCACCGGTGGGAGAAGGCTGCATGTGAACGTGATGGGTGTCCTCCTGACGCAGCAGCAAACTCCTATCACTGCATTCCAAGACACACATCAGCGGCATGCTGAAAAATGGCTGGGGGAGAAAATGGTAGAGATCGGAGATAAAGTGAGAGTCAAGAGGAGAGGGCGGGCAACGGCACCAGGAGTTAAAGGCTGTATCTGCTGATGGCTGCCAATCTTTATCTGAGGGCCAGTGGAAAATATGTCCCATCAGACAAAAGATGAGACCCAGAACAGCAGTTGATAACATGAGATATTATCACCGCATCCACCTTGAGGTCACATCACAGCGCAGATACAACCTCCTACCGAGATAGAAGAGATGAGGGAGGAGAGATCTTATGTGAAGTTGGTGTTTGTATCAATAATTCTTTGTCCTACTGTCTAACTTCATGTTTTTATTCATCAATGTGTGCTGCCACTGTGGCTTGTGAAGAATAATACAACTACTAAAACAATATGGTGGAAATTTTATCAATTTTTAAATCATTTTGCTCCTCGTTTCATTTTGTACCATTGCAAAGTTACTCCTCCTAGAAAATACAAGTAATCTGGGGAATTCTCAGTGGGATTTTTTTCTGACAAAATGTGAAAAAGTATTCATTGTAAAAGCCAAAAAATAAATTAAATGAATGCAGCTGTGCAATTAAATAGATAGGGGATAGGAGCGGTTTTCAGCTTTTAAGAGTATCAGTCAGACAGAGGGGAGCAGCGAGGGGTCAGTCTGAGGTAAAAGCTGTTAGCAGGGTTCCTACACAGCTGGAATACCCATACTTTTCCATACTGTATTTTTTTGAATTACTTTTGGAAATACCCACTCTTCTATTTTAGAAAACATTTTTTTTTTTTTTTATGTGGTAATAGTCTGGAAACCTAAATATTTTTCCATACTTTATTTTTCCTTTACCATACTTTTTAAGACCTGGAAATTGATCAAATCCACACTTTCCATAATTGTGTAGGAACCCTGCATTCGTCCTTCTCAGGTACAGTCAGGTGAACTTTTTGGCTCCCGTTCCTTAATCACTAAAGGTGGAAAAAAAAAGCTGACTCAGGATTAGTCCATGCAGCAAAAGCTATCACAAAACCCCTCCTGCCTTCTTTCTGTTTCTTGCCTCCATTTCACCACCCTGTCTCATCTGTTCCCCATTAAAAGGTCTAATTCATCCCTGTTTGTGGATGTGGGCATATATGTGTGTGTACTAGAAAGTGGCCTTACAGTGTAATGAGTACTGCAGAGGCACAGCTCAGAGAGTCCGGGTTGCCAGCAGTGACAAGCTGTACTGTGAAATATGGCCACCATTTCTACAAGGCGGGAATCTGTCACAACAAACCCCTGCAGAACTGCGTGTGAGAAGATCAGAGCCACGCCCTACCTTTACCCCAACCCATTAAGAATGAAGCATTGCGGTACAGGATGTACTACGGCTTCGAATTCGTGAGGCATGAGATGGATTTCATGGCTAATATGCGGTTTACTTATCCACTTAATTTCATCGTGAAGATCACATTCAGCCGGCTAGTTAAATTCTTTCACCCTTTACATTCCCACCAGCTCAAAGACATACCCACCCAGGCATTCAACCGAGTGCTGCAGAGACATTTGGGGGGTAGGAAGAGAGGGAAAGTGGGCCAAGCAGCATGTAGAAACTCTCTGGGAGGATGACGACTCCACACCTCAGCACAACAAACCTCCGCAGTAGAATCGAGTCGAGCAACTCGAGAATGGCACAAGGGACTCGTCGGAGAAAAAAAGGGGGCTCTTTTTTCTCCGTTCATTCTGTTTTTCTGCTGCTTTGTTTGGTCTTTCGCTGGTTTACATGCAGTTACTTTTATGATCACATAAAAACTCTGCTCCCTTGAGGTAGACTAACAAGAGTTGCAAGAAAAGATGAACAGAGTTTCTCATGCAGCGACTCTCTTTATCCATGCGGTGTATTTTCCAAAAGGACTGTCCCTGGAGAGTCATGCCGAAGATGAGGGCCAGATCTAATGATAGAAGAAGATGATGATGATGATGGGAAAAGTCTTTAAAAATAGCAAGGGACCACAGTCTACCCAAAAGACTGGGAAATATCACTTTCAGATGAAAAGTTATGCTTAGACAGGTTTGAGCTGATATAGTCTATTCCACAGAAGTGAAAGCATAATGAGATAACTGGAGAGCATCAAGTACGTTGCATTACCACAAAAAGCAGCCCACCAAAGAGGCTTTTCTGGGCTGTAATGTATACACTTGTTCCACCGCTTTGGTTTGCGGCTTGTTTAAAAGGTGGGCTGCAGTCTCAGCCGTACTCCCCCCTTTTATTTTGAAATGCCACCACTGGATCCTACGTCTTAATAGTGAGAGGGGTCTTAAGCTTTGAAGATTTAACCACTCAAAGAGGCTCAGAGTAATCCACAGACAAAATTAATTACTTGTGGTAGTGTCGACGCCTCAAGGTGTAGCTATGACAGATAGTGATGTACGGTAAGTCGGACATACACTGATCATCCTGGCATGGCTTCAACGTGTGATGATGTGATTTAATATTTCACCAGGTTTACTCGAGATGAACATAGATGCCAGGTGTAAAAGAGGTCTAACAGAAAACTCTAGTCATTGTTGAGTTTACACACTCGCAGGTCAAAGCTCACTTTCTATGGTAAGAGATTTAACCCTTTAATGAATATTCGAGACAAAGTAGGGGAATAAGATTATAGAAAATGCATAAGACGGGTCAATTATTACAGCTAGCTTAATACGAAAGTGAAGCAGATTAGACTAGTCTGCACGGCATGATGCTTCCACAAACTCTGAATGATTTTCAACTTTAGGAAAATTCTTATACACCTCGGTAAATAAAGTATCAATGAAAAGGTTGTTAAATAGGCTGAGATCGTTTCCTGCCTTTGAAGACCACAGATGCTGTTGCAGCAGCTGTCTGAGGGCAGCAGGGTGTCATATTAGAGCACCACAGTGTTTTCTAATTCCTCTAACAGGATGAACTGCAGCACACTGACACTCTATTAGACTTTGTGGGATTGTATTAGACACAGACTAGTCCTTCACCAAGCGACCAAAGCTCATGGCGTGAAATGTGCATAGAGACCTCACAAAGCAAGACAAGAGTTAAGAAAAAAGAGTGGGTTACCACTCCAGTTCATAGCTGAGCTTTCTGTAAGGCAGGTGGGTGTGTGATTCTCATTTAGTGGTTGAGTTATAGCAGCCCAAACTAACCTCCCTTTCTGCCGCAGGGTGAATAAGGGTCGGTTCTCACTGCTAAATTTAAACTCTGGGTCTTTCTATAGCTTGGCATTAAAACCTGCAATTCTGCAGTGCGGAAAACACAAACAAGCTTTGAGCGCTTTTGTTTTTAGTATGAAAGGTGAAAAAAAAAAGACAACAGTAAAGCAGTCAGAAGGGGGAGTCGATTAAAGCAACCTTCCCAGAATCCTCAGTCTGACTGAGGGGACACTTTAAATACATTTAAACTTCAGCTGTGAGAAACACTCACCTGAGGTCAGCTTGGGGACACACTCATACAATGGACACAGTGTTTTTGCAGCCCAAACACACATACACTCTATTGTTTTGCTTTGTCACACATAACTGCCCGCTTAGCCACATGATTGTCACCGTGGCTCAAGTATCATCATCTCATGGGTCCCAACAAGCATCTTCACAGCCCTAATGATGGCCACAGCCCACTAAGGACAGACTGTCAGCCATACTTTTAGCTGCCTGGTCCAAAGTAAAAACAAATAGAACTCAGCAGCACACTGCAATCCAATTATTATAACATGCACCACTGTGCCAAATCTGCCATTTACTGTATCTCCTTTACTTGGATGGAGAAGAAATATGTGGCCATGATTTATTTCAAGTCTTAAATCCTGCCTTAAAAGGGAGAGCAACCTGCTGAGTGAGAGCAGTGTTTTGGCATCCAGTAAGCCTAAAATCTCATGGCTGTATTATTCAAAATGGACTTCCTGGTTCATATTTCATTTTCTCTCCAGTACCTGCAACGACACGCTCACACCCACACGGCTTTTTCCACTTAACTGCCGCAACACTGTCGTCACTTTGAAAAGTCCTCCTCAATGACTATCCAGTTTCTTTTTAAATGTACCATGAGTAAGATGCTGACCAGAGCTTTGACTCCCCCAAGCAGGACAGCAAAGGATGTGATTAAGTCAAGGTTGTCAAAACTTTTGCAACTTTGAAACTTTTCAGTATGAATGGGACCCATACGCTTTAAAATAATACATGATCGTATCAAAATTTGCCAAAGCATATGCGTAACACTCATCTCTTACAAATTGGACACCACTTAATGCAGAGGAGCTGATGAGTAGTGTTGTGTACCACATTTTCAGCGATATCAAACCACTTCAGGTAGGGATGTCCCGATCCGATATTGATATTGGTCCGATATCAGGAAAAAATGAATATTAGATTATATCGGCCTGCATCTCAAATCTCTGATATCAGCTCACTGATACATGCAGGCCATTCCAGACGCCGCACCAGCACCTCTAACTAGCAGCGCTCGGATCCGGCATGCAGAGCCCATGTAATCACAACAACAGTGTGGACTAAGGTACTAACAAAGTTGCAAGGAGTAGGTGTGATGATGGCCATGTGGCAGTATTTTTCGTTAAAGTCCAAAAAAGACATTGCAGCTGAGTGCAAAACTTGTCATGCACAATATCGCATCAATATTAGCAGGGCTCAAAAGTGCGACCGGTTCACTCACATTTGCGACTAAAAACAGACATGTGCGAATTGTAAAATGTATTAAGGGGCACATGTGGGCATGAAAAAAATAGCCGTGGCAAAAAAAGTTTTTTCTTGTAAATACCGCTATGAAGTTAGTTTTAGGTTGGATATTCGACGGACGTTCACTGCGGATCTACCGCTGTCTTCTCACTCTCCACTCTCTCTGCATCCTTGCTGTCAACGTCACGTGTTGAATAAGGGACCATCAATTAATTACCGGTTGATGTTCTCAGAAAAGGCTGTTTTCCTTCAATAGCTTCCATATCATGTGACCAAAAGACCTAAAATTGATTTCAAATAATAGTACTTATGTTGACCAATAAAACAAACATTATATCATCAATTTTCATTGTGCCCCTAAAGTTCTTTGTGTGCTCCTTACTTTTCGACTTAGTAGCACATGTGCCCTTTGTGAAAAAAGTTAGTGTCATACAATATTGGTATCATATCAGACGTAAAAAAGTCGCATCATGACACCCCTAACGTCAGGTGCTGGAGCTAATATCTGAGCAGCTTCACTCCTATCATCTCCATGATACTCGTTTTGGTTAAGTCATTCTTTGTAGCTTCCTTGCCCTTTGACACCAGGGGAGCCTGGCGTCTAGGAGGCCTTGGACACATGATGGAAAACAAAGCTATCTGCACCCAGGACCGGACAGCCCTGATACCAGACGAAAACTCCTCTCCAATCAGAAGAGAGCAAACACAGGGTCAGTGACTTCACACAGCATGTGTGTCCTATTTTGCCTGTGATGTGTGTGTGTGTCAGTAAAAAGGACATGTCAGAATCAGCAAAACACAATAGAGTACTGCAGTGTGGGCGGCCACACCCTTTCCTCCCCTCCACAGTCTCCTCTCCGGCCCCTCAAAAGTAAAAATTTCAAAAGAAAAGAACAGAGGAGGGAGGGCAAAAGGGAGTGGACATACAGGCGGACCAAGAATGCCTGATATAAGGGGAGACTGAGAGTAAGGAAAACAGAGGGGGAGAAGAAAAATAGACTCTAATGAATGCAACAAAAAAAGTGAGAGATTTGACAGCTTCTCAACTTAACAAGGAAAAACATGTCAAGTGAAAGGAGAGAGAAAAAGTGGGCAAAAGTGAGCAACTAGGGGCAGGGGTAAAAGGAACAAAACGGGGGCACAAAATCAGTCTAACAGGAGACCGAAAAAAAAACAAGGAACTCTACAGGGAGGGTAGGAGAGAGAAAGGATTGCAGTGTGGAGAGTTGTGTTCTGCAATGTGTTACTGAATTATTGATGCTGCTTCAGTGTTGAAGGGCGAGAAGAGGGAGCACTTTCACACACGGTGTAATCCCTGCATCATAAACATGCATCGTACACGTACACAGAGCTGTCAGGCCGGGGTGAATTTTATGTACAGTGATCACCAAGCCTCAGAGGCTCGAGCACACCCCCTGAGACTGTCTGGGCCCGGCAGGGAAGAGTTGAGGTCAAAGGTCATGGCAGACCAGAAGGAGACATGTGGTCCACACCTGTTCTAAGCTTGCTTCAGTGGAGTCACACACACACACAGATAACACACATGTCAGACACAAGGTAAAGCAAGACATTCATTAGTTTGTAGTCTTCTCCTGGTTTGAAAGACTACAAAGAGCTCTCTTCTTGCTCTGCCTCTTCCCTCCCCTGCCTGTGTTTTTCTCTCTCCCTGCCTGGCTCTCTTTCTTATCCGCAGAGGAAACCTGTTTGATGTAGCGGAGTCCTGCTGTTTCGACTCTTCAGCTCCCAGATTTCATGCATATACTCCTTTCTCTCCCTCTCTTTTCTTTCCTTCTGGATCGTTTTCCCTCAGACACAAAAAAAACACAGATCCTTTCTCCTCCTCCTCAGTAGAAATCAGACACATTCTGCCCATTGTACCAAAGACAACACAATAATTCATGAATTTAAAATGGCCTCAGTGTAATAAAAGCTTTGCTGGGGCCAGCTGTGCTGTGTGCATATGGACGGCACAGAATGTAAGCTATGACGGCGATGTGTCTCATTCGGCGGACAGTGGCCATCATTGTCATCCTCGGTGAGAGCGGGACACAATGGAGAGGGATACGGCCAGGGACCTGACTCACACATACTGTAAGCCTTCCTGGGCATTATGGGTAACAAAGACACTGAAAACAATGGACATTAAGTGTAAACGTGCTGCATGAGGACACAAAAGCAGCTTTAATTTGCGAGTCCTGTGCCGAATTGTTGCTGGATTATCATTTTTCTTTGTTTTACATGTTGCGCTTCTTTGCTGATTGACTTCGTTTTCTTTTTATGTAACAACACTTTCTGTCAGAGTTTGAAAGCATAAAATCTGGTATAAGATACTCTTAACCAGGCTAATGACGTGCAGTTGTAGAAAAGCCCTGGAAGGACAGCCAAGAGGAAAATGTCAAATCTGAGAAGAATGACTTGTTTCCAATATTTATCACGTTGTCATACTTTCTCTACCATTTTTGGCATCAAACATCCAATGGATTGGTATCCTCGTCTAGAAAGTAGTTTCCATGGATACAAGCAGAATCTGCCATCTCCTTTAAGAACCAGACTGACTGATCTAAATCTTGCCCCTCTTAGCTACCACTGATGGGTCAGACATGCTTGTCAAAAACAGACATGGTGAGCTTGCTCTCATTCTTTCAGGAAAGTTTTCCCAGTCTGTGGTCCTAGCCGTCCGTCCCTGTAAACAATATATTCACTCCATCTAATTCACTCTGCAGTGGCTCCAGATCAACGGAGGATCACAGAGTCTGTGAGACAATGTTAAACAGTTAGAGTGGCTAACTTTGAAGCCATTTGCTGGCACTGCATTGCTACAATTGAGTGGTTACTAGGAATGAGTGATAAATTACCAGTCACGATATACTGTCAGAAAAATTCTCCATGATAAATACTTGCCATCTCATGATTAATATTTGCTATCTCATGATAAATATGATAAATGCAAGTCGATGACGTAAGCACGAGCGACGGACACGAAGCAGAATAACAAACATGGCCGACAGTAATGAAGAAGACGTTTCTGAGCAGCTCGTTACTGAAGGCCCTACATGAGGGATTTTCTTCAAGATTGGGGCTTAGATGAGTGCAATCAGGTATAGCTGACATCGGACAGTGGATCTGCTGCTGTTCACTCTGTGCAACAGGAGTTTTCAACAAATGTTCAAAATTTTTTCACGTTTAAGACTTGATGTCATTAGTTTTCTCCATAACTTACCACTCAAACTTGTTGTTAAGTATCTTATTTGACTATTCCACCTGGTGTTCTCAAGACAAAATAAGTCAAAAATTTAGATTGAAAGTGTAATATTTTTTATCGGTACTTCTATCATTATCGTCAGAACGATAAATCTTATCGTGATACATTTTTTAGCCCATATCGCCCATCCATAGCTCCAGATCACCGGAGGATCAGAGTCTGCAGGACAATGTTAAACAGTCAGAGTGGCTAACTTTGAGCCCACATGCTGGGAGTACTGCATTGCTCCGATTGAGTGGTTACACGCCAGTTTAACCAGACAGTGAAGTCAAAGTCAGCCATCTGATTCCAACCAGCAATTTAATTCTAAATAATGCCAAACTGTGCCACAAGATACAATCATGTCATCTGTGCTGGTTTACATCGTGGCTGTAGGGCATTGTTTCCTAGGACTACAGCCTCTTAGTACTGAGCGGCTGCACTACAAATTAGACACAATACAAGACCGGTATTCAGACCTTCAATAATAAAAATATTAATGATCATAATTAAATCAACTTAATGTTTGCCCCTTGTTGTTTCATTCTTTAAAAGTAAGATTTTCAGTCATTTAAAAATTGTAGTTCCTGGGATCAAGTATTTTTGTCACCTGTATCACTGATGAAGAGTGCTGTGTGAACCTAAGAAGTTACTCAGGGTGTCACTCTTGGTTCAGGACCAACATGATTTACAGGATTTACTTTTTTTCAGTCTTGATATTATACAATTTTTATTCTTTATTGGCATCATTTTCCTTCATAATTGCTGTTCTTTGCAGCCTGTGGAAAACAAAATTTCCTACGAACACTTGTTACATTCATGCTTCAATCCCACAGTGGGAATGCAGCACTCCAGACTGGGAAATTCTCTCCTCCACATTCCAAAGTGGGAATACCATCAGCACATGACAAGAGCCCCACTCACACTCTGCCACTTAGCCTTCTGCCTCCCACTGCAACCTTTCCACACAGAGAATGCTTGTGTATATGTGTATGTGTCATGGACAGCAACCTTCAACACGCAATGTTGCCCTCGGACAGAGACGGACTGCACAGAGGACGGGGGTGAGAGGAGAGACTTGTGAAAAAAAAGACGTGTTAGAAGGAGTGATGGAGGCCCCAGAAATGCTTGTGTTGGGCTGCTATGGTGCATATATGATGGAATGATTGATGGGAAGGTTTGTTGTGCTCAAAGGCATTCCTCTCTTTCACCTCTTTTCTTTGTCAACTTCTCCATCACTCGGATATCCAGAACTCACCACCTTTTTTTCAGAAGAAGACTGTTCCAAGAGGATCCACGAGATCTTTCTCAACTTTCAGCTTAGCACATGCCTGGGCAGGGGTCTGCTTCCAAACAAAGTGACTCGACAGAGTGTAGCACACTGTGTATAATCTACAGAGAAAGCACCCATCAGCTCCACAACAACCCCTGTCCTGCATGGGCCACTGCACAACAGGAATGCATATGTGTGTGCGCATGTATAAGGAGAGGGATGTTCCCATTTCCACTCTGTTTGAAGCACATGGACTGAGTCGGAATGTGGAAGGGGGTAGGGACAAGGGGGAAGGTGGAGGCAGTAATCTGAGAGGGGTATCCCACAAAGCAGAGCAGCACATGGTCTATACTCTACTATGGACTCAAAGCACAGAGAGAGAGAGAAAGAGAGAAAGAGTGGCCTTTCAACTGGCCTCAATGGTGAAATACTCTAGTACTTTGTGGACCTTGCTGCATCAAAATGTACAATGCTACTTTGACAACAAAATTAAAGCATGACAGCCTCGTTACTGTAGCTCATATTTTAATGTTAATGTTGGTGAATCTTTTCGATATATACTCCTGAAGTTAACTACAATCATTGCTACAGTCTATTCCCTGTTTTAAACCTCATGTTCACATCTCACTGTAAAGTTTTTGGTCCAGTTATTCAAGAAATGAGTTGGCACACATGAAATAGATTTTATGTCAGTGATGACTGAATGTTTCCAGATCCCAGCACATTAGATTTCCTATTAAATTTGCCATTACTTATCTGGCTTACAAAAAAACACTTAAACCATTTTGGCAACAACATCGCTCTCAAAGGTATGCCACAAAATATATACGCCTGATCCTGTTCTGTTGGCCTCTAACAAATTATACCAATCTGGAACTGTACCAATAGTCATAGTAGCTCACACGGTTATAATTTACAATTTCATAATGGTTTATAATTATCAGTCCTCTGCTGACAACAAGAGGCTTGTTTCAATCTGTACACACATGCCTTGTACAACATCCAAAAAGTTAGTGTTTGAACTTGATCTATTTGAATACTCCTGTACTATCTGACTTTCTGTTGCACTTAGACTCAGTTAAATGGTAAATCAGTGTTTAAATCTTGAACAACAAAGATCTTCACTCCTGTAAGTTGTGTTTGACAGGTTCAGGGGCTGACAGTTCATATTCCACAGCCTGAAGACATGCTTAAACATGCATGAGTGAGGAGCACATATCAGCATGTTCTTGTCACACACACACATACACAGACACCATCGCCTCCTGGCCATGCTCACTGAAAAGGCAGAGCGAGAGAAAAAGCCAGCTAACAGGCGCCTGGGAGAGACTCTGAGATAAATATCAGTCTTTAGGTATGTGCTGCTGCCGTCGGCTGGAGGTAAACAAAACTTTCAGATCAGCTCCTCCATACCCAGCTCAGTCCCAGCACTAACATGCCAATCCAACAAACACCCAATATTTAAATTCACACACACACACACAAGGGCAAGCAGCCTAACTTAGTCATACAAACACACCCTCAAACCTGTACCGAGAAGAGCTTTATAAGGTAAATAAGGCACGTCCTCTGGGGATATTTTTACTTATGAAACTCTCGTCACTTCCTGTCACCACAGCATATCAACATATGTTTTCCTTACACATACCCAGAATAAATTTTAATTTAACAAATGATCATTAAAAGAAATTTTATAAAGTTTTGAATCAGTTTCACTTCTGTTTCTGTCAGGCTGCCAGTCTCACTTTTTCCAGAGAAGATGCTATTGAGTCATACAGTTCCTGTGGGTTCACTTGAGGTCATTTACTTTACAATAAAATACGAAACACACAGAAAGAGCACAAGAAGAAAGATATACCAGCAGTCCTGACAAGAGTCAAGTGCCCTTCATTTGAATTTTGCAGATACTGTGGATAAATGTGCATCCTGACCAAGTTTGAAAAAAACATGAGTAGTTTGTACAAGTATTGCAAATTGAAGGTCAAGTCACTAAACATAGAACTGCTACATTTTGGAATTTCTCAAGTCAGCATGCTGTGAAGCCTGACGTTTTCAGGTTTTTTTTAGATGGTGCAACTGAGCCACTTTTCTCTACTCAATCACAAAACCCATGTTAATTTTCTTATTTTCCTACTTAGCCAATGTAAAGCATCCTGGAGTAGATCCTTGAGGTACACCAAATCAGATTGTGTTTTTTTGACTGGCTCATTACCATTATTAAGTACATACTGTATCACTTCATGACAACTCATGTCACTGAGTCAGGTAGCAGGTGTGACATTGAGCCTTTCTTGCTTTGCACACATTTCCTCGTTCCTCTCACACAGCAGCGGGGGCCTCTGATCAGTGGTTTACCCACATGGGCAACTACAGGAAGTCTGATCTCTACTTCTTCTTCCTGCAGCTTCATAACTAACCAACAGTGACCCTAGTATAACCTCCAGCTGGGGTCAACATGGTAAAACTACGCACACCCAAACACAGCGCAACAAACAGCCAACAAAAGTGTGTGGTCACTGGTGCATCTGGTTTGAGTGTGGAGTAAGGGGGCCTAAGGCAAGGAAAGGAGGGCTGACTTTTTTTCTCAGGATCGCAGAGGAGAGGATGCTTCTTTTCAACTGACTTGCTTCCTATCAACACAGGAATGTGCGTAATTTTTGGGTTGACTGTTGGAACAAAAAAAAACTACTGTATTCCCACACTGAAACTCAGTTTAAAGTAAAACCAGGATTCAGCATTTTTAAAAGCCTCTCTAAGCGTGCATATTTGCTGCAAAGACAATGTAAAAAGAATAGGGAGAAAACCTCCACCAGAGCAGATTTGATGCTGGGAATAAACTGAAACTAGTGCATCCACATGGCAACATGAGGGGGAGAACACCGTGTCCTCACACGTATTCATACAAGAGGAAAGAGAGTAGGGATTGAGTGTGTGTGTGTGTGTGGGTAAATGCAGATGATTCAGCTGAGAAAAGGTGATGAATGGCTTCATTAAAACAGCATTAGCAGAGGTGTGAACCCCGAATGGTGAGTGAGAGCAATTGTGCATTGATTGCCTTCGTCCAACAGACACATGAACTTGTCACAACACTGAAATTCTCCCTTTGATGGCGGCACATCCCGCCCACTAACCCGTCTCTGCACTCACTGAAGTTGCCGCAACTCATTCATTGGTGTTAACTAAAGTTCAAAATGCTTCCTCCAGCTTTTATAAATATCAGGAGACAGGCAAAATCATTTTCAAGAAACAACAGCAACGATTAAAAAATCTCCTTTAATCAGAGCTACATCACTCTGCATCTCACACAAAGCTAACCAGCCCACAGCCAGGGGGAGGTGAGGAAACAGCAGTGACACCATGGAAAAACCCAGGCGAAGAAAAGAAGGAATAAAAGAGACAGAGGAGGAGAGTAAATAAGGAGAACAGGAGAGCACATCAAGAAAGAAAATGAGAGAGAGAGAGGAGAGAGGGGAAAAAAACTGAAAAGAAAAAGGTCTTAAGGTTCGAAATGGAATCTAAGTGTGTGTGTCTAGTAACCTGATTAGCCAGACCCTACAGGGGAGACAAATCTACATTATTCTTCCTCATTTTCTCTCTACTCCTCACAAACCCAGAAAAATGGGGGCAATTCAGTAACCCTAGCAACCAAGTCTGCCTACGTGCAGGGAGAAGCTGCTGATGGAGGGGGAAGGAGAGAGGAAGCGGAGAAGATGGGGAGTGAAAAAGGATAACTCAAGTGCATACTGTACTCACACACAAACTGAATAGAGCAGATGGATGGCACAGTGTATTATAAGTGGGGTTTCAATTAATTTGTGCTTCCTCTTGCACATTTTCCAAATCTCTCCCTCCTCTTTCCTCCTGCTCTGTCCTGGCTTACTTTTTTCTCCTTCTGCTCTCTGGCCATGTATGAGAGCTGTTCAAACACAACCTGTTTCCTCTGGCCTCCCTCGGGAGTGTTACCCAACCTTTCTACTGTTGTGGTTTCTCTGCTTCCCTTCTTTTCTTCATCCCTCCTATTTATTTACAGCTGGACGTCTATCCTCCTATTGATTGTTTTACAGAGGATATGAGTGGGCTTTGTCTCTGCCCTGCTCAGGCTTTATATAGATCCCTATGTTCTTAACCATGTTCTCACCAACACACACACACTCACACAAACATCCTTTCAGATGGTTGTGAATCAGTGTCCGGTGCAGAACACGCTCACTCACACAAGCAGCCGAAATGTGTCACATGTGTTTAGATCAAGAAGTGACGAATATTGGTTTCAGCGGCCGTAAGACGTGTGTCCAAAGCGTGTCGTATTTCATCCCTTCTGACAAACGCCGTCAAGATAGCAAGAGAGTTTGAAGGAGACAGTAAAAGATGGAGAAAGAAGGAGTGAGGAAAAACAAGAGTATGTTTTCACAAAGGTCGGATTGTTCATGGGCCGTAGGCTGACGGAGAGAAAAAAGATCGAAAAACAGGGAGAGAGAGAGGGAGAAGTGGATTGACAGACCCAGAGTGTGTGAGGGGGGGGGTTGGCCAGAGCGCGGCTCTGCTTTCTACATTTTTACACACTCTCACCGGTTGCTCTGCTGTTGCTGTGTGAGTGTATGTCAGATAAAGAAAGTGAAGGTTGAATGAGGCACCCTAACAGGGGTCAGGGCCTCTGGATCAACTCTTGGCTCAGGTCACACATACACACACACACACACACACACACACACACACACACACACACACACACACACACACACACACACACACACACACACACACACACACACACACACACACACACACACACACACACACTCACACACACACACATTCTGACAAAGGGTTGGGCTATGTAACCTTTAGAGTTGTGCCTACTTCAAATCGACAATCCTTATGAACAAATTGTTCTGAAATTTTACCAGTTCCGGATTAAAAATGTAAAAAAAATCAGCAGCTTTTTAATTTCTTAAATCTAGAAGTCGAATATCTTTGTGATTCTGTCGACTCTGAGATACTTTGCCAGGTGTTATCATCTATTTGCTGACTATTTCAGACTTAATGGAATGTAATAGAAAATCAATACATAGAAGAAAGAAGCACTAGTAGTTACAACTCTTATGGACTTCAAATGCAAGAATGTAAAAAAGGAAGAACTTTCATATACGTGATTGTGTAAACTGGTTTTGAGAGATGTTTTAATATCTTGGTAATGAAATAAATTGATTGAAGAAAATGTATCAAAGCACTTCTGTTACACTTAATAGAAGAACCACAATTTTACTCTCGACAAAGTGCACATCATTACATGATTACACATGAACTGATATGCCAAATCTATGCACATGCTTCTCCACTACTCTGCTCATCATGTTTAGTTTTGTTAGTGCACTTCTCAACACCTCGCACCACATCATTCTCACACAACCACATACACATACACACAACTGATATTACAGACTAACACACCCCCTACCTGTAGTTTTTGTTCGCTTGCTTTACTTTAAATTGTAAATGAATGAATTCACTTTTGTCAATACACACTCCTCCCGTCCTTTTGTCATGACCATAGAGCTAGGTTATGACATTGTCATCATGAAACCAACTGTGTTAGTGACGTGTTACAGTTCACAAAATGCAAATAAACCCACAGTGGCAATCCACAAAGTCTGCCAGGCAGGCGAGTGGGTCTACATGAGTGTGCGTATATGTGAATTTGTGTGTTTTTTGCATAAATTATTATGACACCAGCTTCATCTTGTCTTGGAAAGGTCACTACAAGAGGCAGCCCATTGATTGCGCACCATCAAGTACATGTAGGTGCACACATACACACACACACACACACTTCTTCTTTCTGACAGTGACAACACCTGAAGAAGGAGGGGAGATTTCAACCAATCCTAACACACCCCCAGTACTGGAGGCCTGGAGAAGGGGCGGCAACCTCTAAAGTGTTGAGATTAGCCAACCAGGGCCAACTTAACATCTGTTGCCCAATCAGAGCATCTGGAACATCTGGCACCAATGAAGAGCAGTCATCTCCCAGCTGAACTCTGACCTTACCCACTTTACTTCACAGACTGACAAATTTCTTTTCTTTTTTTTCCTTCTCCAGTCCTCTGGTTGTTTTCTTTATCTCAGCGATGAGCAGTTTGTTTGAAATCTGATATGCTCTATGTTGTTGTACATCTCTACCTCTTCATCTGCATCTTATGGTCATAGCAGAAATTCCTCTTTTATCTCCCAGACATTGACTGTATCCAGACCGTAGGCGGGTGGTTGGCAGGCATCTCAATCCAAATCGCAAAAACCCACCCACTATCTTGTAAGCAATGTCTGTTGATGTGCGTGTTTGTCTGTGTGGATGATATTGGTAAATTTAACACTGTGTGCTTTCTCTCAGGTGTAGCGGCAGCACCGTGGTAAATTGTGATATTGAATTCTGAGGAAACAGATAGGTAGAAGAGGATTAGAAAATCAATGAGTGTTTTCGGCCAGTCGTGTCTGTTGCTGACACAGCAGAAGGCGACTGCTTCTGTGTACAGACTGCGCACACACCGGAGGGACAGTGGGACCCAGATATGGAACACACTGTTCAATTGTGACTCATCAAAGGGGATGGAGGATTCTCACCTACAGCGTGTCTTCAGTTCCTCTCGACTTGGAGCAGCAAAAACTGCTGACTACGAACTTAAAAATCCTCACACAGAATACTGTGCGTGTGTGATGTGAAAGGCAGTCGACTCCTGTGCTCACACACAAAGCCATGGGCTCAAACAGGAAGCTTCACACTCCCCTGTACAATCACCATGTGTGTTCCAGTCTGACTCCTTCACCTTAAACTCACACAAACATCCTTCCTGGCTGATTATTTTTGGCTCCATTTGCATTTCTAGTGCCGCTCACTACACTCATACAACCACACAGATCATAATAGTGAAAAATTATGAGCGTTTTTCAAATCTCAGCACTGTCATTAAATGTGTTTTTCCATGACCCAAACAAGTTTAATCCCCTAAAGAGAAATAAAATCTGGAATGTCCCTTTTAAGAAGCTAAAATTTGAGATCTGTTCAATTTTATTTTCCTTCCAAAACAACTCAGATCAAAAAAATATCTGATCTTTTGGGTATAACTTTGAAATAAATAAGACCAATTAATAAATGATGACAGCCTCACATATTGTTGGTTTAAAGGACTTGTGGTGGTCAGCACCACTGGACCTAATCAATAAAGTCCAACCCTAATTGAGAAAGCCTTGTTAGATAGAAGACCTATAAACCAAAGACTCGACAAGCTACAGCTGAAAGATTATCTTAAAAACGTCCCACATCCCTCCACTAGCATTCGATATTTGCTGATTTAAGGTCAGCTGCCAAAATGAATGCACAACACTCATCTTTCTTTTAATCCTTGTACTATTTTACCAACTGTTGGTGAATGAGACAACACAATTTATGCCAAAGCACTCCCATGTGATACCTCTCCTCTTGTTTATCAAATATACATCAATCAAGCACAGTGCATACACACAAAGAGAAATATTTAGCCCAAGCAACGAGCCTTGCACACACACAGATTTAAACCCATCGTCCTGCTTGCTGTGTCACCACCTTTCCTATTGTGCGTGAGTGAAAGCAGCCATTTATCCTAAATCATATGTTTCCCTGGCTCTCTTATAAACAAGCAGCTTAGTAACGAACACGTAGGCAGGCAGACTCATCATCTGGTTCATGGCCACAGGCGTTCATCATCTCTCCTTGTGGAGACCGATCAACATCATATCTGCAAGGCTGGATCCGTTTAGACACCAGACTGGAAAATTATAACAGTCTGCATGTGTTTGGAGATATAGTAAAGCATGTGCATACCTCTCTGTGTAAAAATTCAGGAAATTGAAAGGACTGACACCTCACTGTGTTTCCTAACAGACCCCAACAACACTGTTATCAAGAATCTTATCAGTTGCAACAGTGATAGCCACTCATTAGCACTCCCAGGTGTTACAAACCTTGACAGATGCTGACTCTATGAGCCAAAATGTTCTTGGAAATGAAACATCTGTCAAACGTATTAAAAACTCAGCACTCCCCAATTTTCCACTAAAATGTTTCCCCCTTGCCTGAATTAAAGCTTTCCATTTAAATATTATGTCATCCTCTCTGACTGAGGGACTGTGATAGCTGCTAGAAGTGCGCTGACTGGATAAATCCAACAGAGCCTGTAATAGTGACACAGCTCAGAGCAGTTTGGAGTCTTTGGAGTAAAGTAGCTTTCCAACGAAGAACTCTGTGAACTACCAATTGTAGGTGATAAGCTCATTCCTTAACTGTCTCAGCAGCACTACATATAACTATTCACATCTGTGTTAGAACATTCCTATCCTGGTTTAAACGTGTCTGTCTCACTTCTTCTGGCTATATTTCTTTTTCTCTCTCTCTTTCTGCCTCTGAATCACTTTGCCTCTGTCTTTTATACACACACATTCAAGCTGTCAAACACACACCCTTTCTGAGGCAGTACGAACATTCCTGCTTGCATCAGCCAGAATCCCATATCAGAGCATCAGCAGCTCTGCTCATGTGAAAAAAAAACATGGACAAAGTGTGAATGTAGGTGTGTGTGCGTTTAAAAAACAATGTTTATCTGACATGTATACCGGTTGGACAACTTAGTGCCTTCACCATAACTTTGAAAGTTTTTCCACCTTAAAAACAAAAATCCTCAAAAGCGCAATAGTGTTACATATAATGCAAAATAACTAAAAATTTCATTTAAATGCAACACAATTGGTGCTATTGTGCTGCTCTGGTGCTCCATCTCAGGCCAGAAATTGTCAGGGGAATGCCTTCCAAATAATTAAAACAAAAGCGAGCATCATCGCCTTCTGGAGTAATTTTTCAAGCCCTTGTCTCTGTGAAATTGTGAAATTCTGTGTGTGCATCATGCATCTTTCTCTGCTGCAGCACAGCTTTCTGAATTTAAGCCATGGAGGGATTTACATTTATTTCCACTATGATGCTGCAGTGTGGCCGCAGCATGGAAGTAGACCTCCTGTTGCCTTTTTAAACTAAAGCAGAGACACTGGTTTGATTCTGCAGCTGAATGTATGTCAATTGTACATTTCTTAAAGGTTTGGGGAAATAAGACGGACCCCTGTTTGCAAACGCAGGGCCTCAGTGACATAACCTGAAGATGATCATGTGTTACTGCTTGATACCCTCCATTAGAGAATCTCTAACTGCAGTGCACAAGGTAATGACAGACTGTTTGTGTCTCTCTGGGAGGATAGACTGCTGGGAATGTCACTGCAGACACCTGGTAGACGCCTCCACCACACACACATGGAAAGACGCACTCGTATACACCTCATAAAGCTATGTGGACGCACAGGTTTTTCCTTTCATCTGGTAATTTCAGTTTGGGAAGAGCATGAATGGTATGTGGAAAACATGTGGACTGAGTAGGGAAAGAAGCTCCGCACACAGCTGTTCACCAGGGAGCAGTGAGGTAACTGACAGAAGGAATCGATGCAGAGGGTCGATGAACAAACACTAAGTCCACGAGCTGACAAACACAGCAGACAGTCCTCATAATGCAGCACAGACACCAAACCTTGACACGGGCTGCCAAGCAGAAACAGCTCGTCTACCGGGGCTGTGAAACAACAACGCTGATAATGTCACTGTGGTGACAGCTGAAGGAGTACGCAGAGAGGCAGGTAAACAAGAGGAAGTGACAGAGAAGAGGTGGTAAACATGTACACACAAGTGGCCAATTGAAGGGAATACTGGGATGAGGAGGAAAAAGCCTACATGCTGTACAGAAAACCCGTGATTTGCATTAATATTGTTCAATAATGATATAATGTTGCAAACCAATCTGCGTAGAAGCTTTTACTTTTCTGTGTCAATTCAATACTGTTCCTTTTGTCAGTCTCCTGTCTCTTCTCTACCATCTGGGCTAGGTGACAGCTAGCTGGAGCTATGATGATGTGGTGCAATGAACACTTGGCACCATATTTTAACACTACGCTGTTTTTTCTTTTAATTGATTTCCCGTACTTATGTATTTGAGAAAAGAAATTTCAGTTTGCCAACATAGTTTCAATCTAGGGTTGCACTCTGCACATCCCTGCTGAGCTGCAGGTTGCCACAGATCTACAGAAGCCTTGTAGGGCCAAGACTCAGAGGGCAGTCATTTTGGAGACATGAGAGGATGGCTGTTTTTACATGGACATGAGAGGTGGTATGATAAGGCAGCCTGTTTTATCTGATGATCAAGCTCTGCAGCGGCAGTGGAAACATGCTGCTCATGAAGAAGGCAATATCCTGTCCTCTCTCCTTTGCAACATCCCTCTCCCTCCTTCCTGTCACCTCTGTGCTTCCCCTCTTCCCCCTCTGACTACATATGACCAACCTAGATCTATAGATCTGATAAACAACCACTGCCACTGAGTTGACACCAGCAGTATCAATACAAGGAGTCTACACACATACACACAACACACACACACTGTTCAGCCATCAAACAGTTAACATCTGAACGCCCCACTCTAACCACTACAATCTGCTCTCCCACCCCTGCTGCTCTCGGTGTCCTTGATCATCAGTAGAGGCAAATCCCAATGAGGTGTGATCAATAGACAAGCCTCTGCACAAATTGATCACTTAATTGCAATCTGCGTTGAAGCCATAGGCTACACATAGAGAAAGAAAGGCGTACACACATATTTGCAGCATTTTTGCAGTGCACACCAGCAGTGAGCAGCACAGACACGCAGGAGACAGAGGGGGAGAGAAAACGCCCTGCCTTGTTCCATGTCGAAACCCCAGCCCTGTGGGTAGTCCACACACACACATACACACTCATATACTTACTCTCATACATACACTACCTCTAAGATAACCTATCTCAAGAGAGCATAAAGAGGCAACATCTGTGTAACAACTTGGTTTGTGATCGGGTATTTTTGTCTGTCTTTGTTGGACATCTGTGTGCTGCGTTAAAGGCGAACGATCACACGCTTGAAGCCACGCTGATCACAAGGTTCAATTTATGATTACAATTATTGATGTCCTATTGATCTGCATGTACGCACAATGAACATTAACATCCATGAATGACTGAGGAGAATACGGAGGAAAGCGTACCCTTTACGCCTGATAGGAGAAGTGAGGGCACAGAAAACCATGTTATTAGCCGAGTCGAGGAAAACGGACCAAAGGACCAAAATCACGGCATATAACTTTAGCATATCTCGTGGCAGAAAGTGTAAAAAGCTTTAAAAAAACTTTTACCTTTAACTTGAGTTTCATATTCGGCCACTATCTCCTTGTCCTTTCGGAATTTCGCTGGGGACGTCATGGCTGAGTTTGGAGATCAAACCACTTGCCCTCGGAGCGAAGTCAGTTTTGTATCAATCAATCAAAAAGCCGCCACGGAACGAGGAAATGCCACACTGGAACAGGGTTTGAAAAAGAGAAAGAGAGCCCAGATATAAGAGACTGCAGCTCCTCAGTGTGTCCGCGGATCTGTATTGTCTCCCTGCCTCTGTTCACTCCGGGCGCATTGTGAGTTTGGCGCTGCTGCTGCTCCTGCTCCTGCTGTTGCTGTGTGTTCCCATCCGCCGCCGCGCCTCACCGCCTCCTCAAAACCGGTTATGGAGCAAACAACTTCAAGTGGAAGCTGATTCATTCCCACCTTAAAACACAGACAGGGGTAGCTTGTCAGTCAGCACTTCCGAAAGTTCTTTTTTCTTTCTTTTTCCTGCCCTGAGAGAGGGGTCTGTGTCAGTAAGTGCTGTCTGTCCGCCTGTCTGTGCTAAACTGCTCTCCTCCTCTTCACCCCTGAAGTGAGGGAGAGGAGGAACCAAGTGGAGATGAAGGGGCTAAAACTGGTTGGTCCCTGTGCGCAGGCATGAAGGCATGGATACATTTGTGGTTTCAATTCACTTCGCCAATATACTGGGTTTTTCTATGTTTGTATTAGCCAACCCGCAGTGACTTTCATTGAAGTTAATACAGGGAATAAACTCAAATATGAGGGTAGAAAATGTATATTAAATCGCCATTTTACTGTCTAGCCTTATCAGCCTTCCATAAAAAGTAGCAACAGACTTTCCTTCACACAATAATTCATAATCGTCAAGTATTTGGTAAAAAGAGTTGCTGACAATATGCTAAAACGCCAAAAAATGATAGTAACTTCAGCTTTTGGTTGCTAACAACTTATTCCACAACTTTAGGTGTCTTTACTCAGTTAAGTTTTAGTTTGACACATTGAAATATCTTCCTCTTGTATCCCCCTGACAATAATATTAAACGAAATGCACCTATTTGCATCTGAAACCGTTTCCTCAATATCAACAACCGTGTATTTTAAACGTTTTTTGAGTTAGCAAGAGCTCAGAGAGAGCCCCGCCTAATTTCATATGACGGAGTTGTACTTCCTACGCCACGATTGGTCGAATGGATTTTGAATGGCACGCCTTTACACCCGTCGGTTACCAGTTTTCACGACTCTGGGCGTTTCCTTTAAAAATTGTAACCAATCAAATTAAGAGTTTGTGCATCGGCGGCCAATAAGCATCGGTTACTATGGAGTGTATCCAATCGGAGTCCAGTCTAGGGTCTTTTAAAGATAGTTTCAGGAAGTGTCGTTAGACACCAGGAAGTTGTAAACAAAGCTGACAGCTATTAAGTTAACTGTTAATTTCAGCACGAATGAATGCTGAGCCAAGTGGGTAAACCGTGAAAAGGCTAGTCCCTCGTCGGTGTCGTGTATTTTACAATTACACTGCGTGTATTTTTTGAAATCCAAGTCGAGAAAACGCATAATCTTCCGCGGGTATGTTTTAAGAAGCTAACGTTAGCTCCCATCCGTTGTTAGGAAAAGGCTAACGTTAGAGGACGGTAGAGTCGGATATTACCAACCAGAACAACACGGAGAGTGAGTTACATCAGTATCTAATCTTTTTTCCCAGCTACGTTTATTTTCTGGAGGAAGAAACAACGAGAGAGTGGGTGTATTTTAGCCGGACAACAATGTCTACATCCAACGCTAATTTCAAAAACAAGTGTGTGACCCAGGTGAACTGCATCTTCTGTGACAGCCTGCTCTGCACGAGAGGCATGAAAGCTGTGCTCCTCGCAGACACCGAGGTAGAGCTGTTTTCCACTGATATACCCCCCAATAGGTAAGTGCTGATGTGGACTGGCCTTTGTTTATGTCTTTGGTTATAGTCAGGATGACACCACTGATCTAACTAAAACAGCACCACTCTTCTGGGATGCAAATGCTGCACAATATACAATGATTTCAAGGGTTATGTGGTTGAAAGTATATTAATATTGGTTGTATACATTGATTGCTATGTTTGTTTCTTTTCACACGCACCCCTCCCCCCAAAGAACTGTTGACTTTGTGGCCAGCTGCTACTCCACTGAAAGCTGCAAATGCAAACTGAGAGACATCGCATGTCTCAAGTGGTATGTAAAGCTCCTCCGTAGCCTGCAGGGTTTGCTTAAGAAAGACCATCTGCTAACGTGAGATGTTCATAGAAAGCACAGACACCACAGTTAGCACAGCAAACAAGTATGTCCTCTCAATATTTCTGCTTATAGGAAACATATTTAGCACATCATATCCAATCCGCTTTATTTCTATAGCACATTTAAAAAAAACATTCAAGTCTACTAAAGTGCTGCACAACAGAATTAAAAGAACAGACAATGCTGAAAACATCAAGATGAAATAAGTAAAAGCAGGTAAAAAAAAACACTTAAAATGAAATAAAAAGACAAAAGCATAAAAGAAATAAAAGTGATAAAAGGACCATAAAGGACATAACAAGGACAGAGATCACACAACTTCATGAATATTATCAGATGGACTAATATTTTGTTCCACATAACACTGAAAATGGAAAAAAAGCATACTCTGTTTTTTCAAATGTAAAGTCCTAAAGATTACATAAACAATCAAATAAAATATGGGGAAAAAATCTTACTTCTGAACTGGTATCAAAAAATATTTGGTGTCTGGACTCCAAAAACATCCAGACTATTAATCCTTTTTCCAAGGTGTTACTATGAATAAGACATGAGTTATCGTCTCTATAGTTTATAAGGGTTTAAATTTAAATTGTTTTGTTTGGCAAGTAAAAGAGTTCATTTTTAATGAGGCTTCATGGAGCCTCTTTTGTATTCCAATGCCTTTTGTTGTGGCAAGCAGGGTAAAAACAAACAACTGTCAGATAATAGACAGTCTCTAGTGGAGCTAGCAGTTTTCAGAAGTGCCCCCACTGAAGTGCTGACACATGTTTCTTCTTTATTCGCTCCCCCTCCCTCTCCTAGTGGTAATGTTGTGGGCTATCATGTTGTGGCCCCCTGTAAACCCTGCCTGCTCTCCTGTAACAACGGCCATTTCTGGATGTTCAATAGTGATGCTGTTTCTACTCTGAACAGACTGGATGCAACAGGTTGGTATAACCCCCACCCCAATCACAAAAGTCTGTTTTTTTTGGTGGGATTTCTCTCCACCTGTAACATGTTTTTCTTCTTTTACAACCATGTTTTTTCTCTTGTGTTTTCACAGGTTTGAATCTTCTGCTGTGGGGGGATCTCCCTGAGTTGGAAGACAGTGAGAACGAAGAATCGGAAAGCCCATCAGAGGAGGAGTGTATTAGGTAGAGAGGTGAATGGACAATGTGAGAGACTAGGAATGCCAACATTGGAGGAGTGGAGCTGGAAGAGTGTATAAACCATGTTTGTGATAAGAGTGAAATATAGAAGCCTTAAAGGGTAATTTAATACTGACTTAAAAGGGCACAAAAGTGACACTGTACCTCTCCTCTAGACTTCAAATCTTACACCTTGGTGCACAACTAGAAACACCCCATCAGTGATGTCCCTCTAGAACCAATGAAGGATGTCAGTTGTCACATCACCATATGGGACATGGCCCAAAACACAAATTCTAAATCCAGCAAACAGTGCACAACATTTTTTGCCCTATCTTATAAAGTGTTGAATTACCCTTTAATTTGTGATCATGCCTTTCCCCATCACTTTTTACTGTTAAAAGCACAGATACACACACTCTGACCCATCATCCTTTATCTCTTTTCCGCATTAGTGTCTATTTTCATTGGCTGTGGTTAAAACAGTCTGAAAATGAGAAACAACTAGACCACTTTATCTGGTACGATGTACTTGATTTCGATCAGCCTCATGAGCAGTTGGTAGCGTGATGGTGGAATCTACCAGTGAATGCTGTGCGTTTTCAAGCTGTAAACATTTCATTTTGTCAAGACAACCTCAATTCGCCCACCGTTTTTTTTAAATGCAGTTACTATCTGTACGTTGAATATATGAAAAGAAAAAAAAACACAAAACAAAAAAAAAAACACTCCCATTAACAGTCATGTCTTAGTGGCTAATACTGTGTGGCTGAATGCCGACTGAGGGTTGGAGTGCTTTTAGAAACCTACCTGTTAGGAAAAAAGCACAATTACGGAATGATATACTGTATATCTATGAGTTTTGCTTTTTAAGGGCAGATTTGATTGAGGTTACCTTACAATCGGGCATTCTGTAAGTGATACTTTTTTGATATGCTAACACAGTGTTTGTCACACGCTTAGCTGAAGTAGTACTTATTTAACACCCAGATGAATCCAACTGTAGCAATATCTGATACTAACTATCTTCGGTATATTAATATATAGCGTGTGCTTTCATAAAGGTATGAAGCAGCTGAATTTTAAAGTTCATGTATTAAAAGCTCAAATCAATAGACGAATTCCCAGATTGTTGATACTGGGAAGATACAATTGAAATTACTGGTGGTATTCTCCATGTTTTAAATCATTCATTAAACAAAATTGTGTGGGGGGGAAAGTTCTCAACAGACAATGTCCAGGTTCTGTTTTAGTAACTGTCTAGTTTTATGTAGCAGCACAATTGTAGCACCTAAAGAGAAGGATAAATTCAACTCCAAAGAAACATTGGACATACAAGTGTTGAACTTCAGACTTGCTACTCCTCTAAAAAAAGATAATTACCAGTATGTCACAAAGGGCCTTTTTATAAAGCAGCATTTCCATAACATATTCAATCCTTTGCATTCTGCAGGCCTTACTCGTGCTATGGTCTCTAGGTATGAGCCCTTTGTGCTAAGTTGTGGACTTTGGGTTAATGCTGTGCATTGCTTGATCTTTACCAGCTGATCGGTCCTTCTCTGAGTTTTTTTTTTTTTTTTTTTTTTCTTTTTTTTGGGCAGTGCCATCCTCCTGTACTTATTGTTTCACAGTCGTGCCCTGCAGAGATACTCTGATTCTGTCTGTCTCTTTGAGTTTGAATGAGATCTGTCTGTATTTTTTGGCAAACCTTGTTGAAGAAGCTAACAAAAGATGTTGCCTATTATCTGAGGAGTAAGAATACAGGAAGAAAGTGGTTGTTTTATCTCCATTAGGTTGATTATATTAAGTCTCTATTTATCAATGCTTTAGCGTTCAGTTCTGGGAAAGTGCACACTGAAGTGGAAAAAAAATGTCCAGATTTTCACATTTTTCACCTTTGAGGTATAACTGACAGTCTGCTACACTTGCACACCAAATACTGTCTATGTGGTAAACTGATATATTACAGAGCATCAGCTATAGGTATTTATTAAATCAACAAACCAAATATCTATAACCACATACTTTGGTTTTTGTTTACAAGCTTTGTTTACTAATGCATCGGGTTATATGTATTACAATACTTTTATGTTTTTCTTATGTATTTAATATTTCATTTGTGACGTAGTGCTTTGTTTGTACGTTAAAAGATTGGATGTGTACAGTTTTACCTCATGAAGGTATCACTTGCGAGCTTCCTCTGGCTAGGACAATTGTCAAAAGATAATCAAAATAATTATTTAAATGGCTGTTTCTGATGTGAATAATTTTGATTAACATGCCCTGCTGAAAAAAAAATGTATATTTTGGAATTGCACTGAAACTGCATTGGTAGTTTGAAAGGATGATTTGGTGTTTTGTATGCTTGTTAAATTAATAAAGGTTTTTTTTTTCAGAATATAATAAATGCCATGTAGTTTTGTTCTATTTTTTCCCTGAATCACATTAGCCTCTGACCTGTCATCTGCTTTTTATTCTGAGCAGGAAGTATCAGGAATCATAGGAAGGACTGTAGATTATTTTTGAGTGTAGCAGATTAATCATGTCCTTAATGAATCTCAGCACATACATATAATTACAAGAACGCAAGAATAACTCATGTTTTGGATATGCATATTTTGAATTTCATCTCAACATGTTTCTGAAAAGTTGAGACGTTATCATCTTTAACATTAATTTTAGTCACCTGTTTGACCCTCTAAGTGTTTAGGAACTGACGAGACCATTTGCTGTTGTTCAGTTCTGTTTTGTTGGACCACAGGATCATTTTCCACTTTATCTCCACATCTTAAGTGGACCCGGGACCTGAGGAAACAGCATTTCCTTTGGTTTTATATTTACATGGTAGTATTTACATTTTCTATTTATAGATGCAGCAATAAACTGTGTTCACAAACAAATGTGTCTGAGCCCATGAGGTGAAATCTACCACAGCAGCTCCCTTCTTTTGGAAACTGGACTGTATGTTGTATTTGTACAGTAATGATAATAAGGAATCTTGCACCAGAACAATTCATGAACGAGATTCCCACTGTTCCTTTATTCTTTCCTGCAAAATCCAAGCCAAGGGGAGGAGCTTCACCAAAACAAACTGGAAAATCCTGTGAAAAGCAAGAGATGGTTTGTTTCAGTGCAGTTGTCTGTAAACCACAGAAAGGTGGTGTTTGTGTAGATATCAAGACTTGCTGTTTAAAAACAGACAGCAGCTATGTGTCTTTGAGTGTCGGTGAATCTAGAGAAAAAAAAGGGCCTCTGGTATCTATATTTAAAACCCTAAACTATGATATTTTCTCAGACCTAAGGATCTATGTAGTTTTGATTTTCCACATTTGCCCTGAGAGAGCTAATCCTTTGTTGGACTGGTCTGACAGAACTTTGGTAATTAAGTTTTGCACTACTCCTTTTCAAGGATTCCTTGCTGCTGTTGTTTGGACATGTACACAGCAATTTAAGCACAGGTAGCATGAAAAATCAGATGCAAATAGTTGTGGCTTGTCTTGTTTTCACATGTTTCTGAAGTATCCACCCAAATTACAAATCATACTCTCTCAACAACAAATCTATGCTTGTGTCGTTTCCTACACTACCACTCCATGAACTGCAATGGTCTCTTGTTTTCTGTGCAATTCAACCCCCCTTTTTCTCCCCTCCTGACGGAGATCCAAAGGTCAGGGACGGTCAGATTTTTTTCTTCTCTTCAAGCCTTACACTTTCTCCACATGAGTTAGACACTAGATCCCAAAATAAAAAAAGCAAGTTTGGTCAAACAACGTATCTGCCACACAACTGGTATCCTGCCTGCTCCAGAGAAATATAAGATTACAACACCTAAAATGTCCCTCTCTTCCCAGGTGAAAGTCAAGCTTGATAAACAGGCAGGGATTATTATTATAAAAACATGCTTATACTAGTCCAACAGATCACATCCCGTCACACCAACCCTCGGTTTCCAGATAAACAACACAGACAAATGTAGCAAGGGTGAAACTAGGGCAAATCTAATGTATAACATTGAAAATAGTGGACAAAACTGCATGTCTCTTTTTCATGACTCTCAACCTTTATTTAAAAAAAGCAGGGGATGGAAATTCTCTAATTAAGAAATGTATAAAACCTTTTTTTGTTTTACCCGATTTCACTGCAAAAATGGCTATATAATTCTGCCGGAAGAACAGCTTGGCTTTGAGCTAAGCAGGAAACCAGGTAGACAGGCAAGGAGGTAAATCAGCAGCTGTTTGAGTGAAGTGTGTGTTAATGGAGGACAGGTGTGTGTGTTTGTGTGCGTGTGGAACATGTAGCAGCTACAAGACGGCAGGTGTTCAACTGTTAAACATAAACAGCTAACAGGTGAGTAGACACAAAGTCAAGATATGGTGTTCTTTAGTTAGGCATTTTGATTGAAAGTGATCCATTTTTACAAAAAAAAGGCTTTTACTTTTTCTTTTATCTGATGCTTTTTTGACTAATCAGAGAGCACAGGTGCAACAAATGAGACTAATAAGCTCAACTCACGGTGCATTGGTCGTAAATCACAAAACACAAATCCATGTGCAGTTCATTAGTGTGCAAAGGCTTCAGTTAATGTTATTGATAATGCCTGTTCTTTCCCTGCGACTAAAATATTCAGTACCTTAGACACATAAATCAAACATACATTACAAATCTATCTGTAATGGGTCCATTCAAATAAAATAAAATAATGTTATAATGGAGAGAACTGTTTAGGCCACTTTGGGGGAAACAGGAGTAAACCATGATAAACAAATTCTGGCTCCGCATATCCACCAATGATATTAAAACATGTTAATTAGAGGCCCACTGGAATTATGGTTGATCACCAAATCTATACGGTGTAATTTAAAGACAATGGATGTATCCCTCCATGAAGCTCCAATATACTGTATAAGCGATACATGAGTAGAAAATCACAAAAGAGGGCTCTGGTGCTCTCTGTTGGATATGAAGAGCAATGGCACATAAATAAAGTGATGACACCCTTTACACTAAAATAGTGTAAATCAGTAACAAACACACACACACACACACACACAAAAAAAACAAAGGCTTTATTTGATCATTTCAAGAATTAGTCTCACTTCATACAAACTTTGATTTGGCCTTTGTTTTTTTTTTTCCTTTCCTTTCTTTTCTAAAGGAAGTTGGGCTATCTAAGTGAAATTTTCAAAAACAATACAACAAGTAAAACTAATTGAAATTTGTTGTCAGACATAGCAGTGAAAAAAAACTATCCAATCTACTAGTATGCAGGCTGAACTTAAAAACCACTAATTTCTCTGGGCTGATGCTTTTAATGTTTCTATTTTTGAAAATTTCTAATATCCCACTCCCAATGAATAAAAGATTTAACAATTAAAAGACTTTCAGACGATTTTTTATAACAGAGTCCTTTTGCCAGTGTATTATTTGGCAACATACTATGTAGTGGCAACAGGGAGCAGTCTTGGACAACACTGGAGCTACTCCATGTGTTGATATAGAATACATAAGTTAGCAAGCTAGTGGGGCACAGTCAGCAAGGAGTTTGGGCAGAGTCGAAAACTTAATGCAGTGAAAGATTATTTGGTTGGACTTCCAGTGGGCAGATTCCCTCTGCATCTATTCCCTAATCCTACAGTCTATTATATCTTGTATCTCCTTGGCAGCTGCATCATGCTCCTCTGGCATGAGTAGGTGCTTAAGGCAGTAGGGTCAGTTAAAAGCAAAAAGGGAAAAATTGATATATTTCTTTCCTCGCAGCTTTGGAAATGCCACTTCCACTACAGATGCAAGGCTCTCTCTACTCCCAACAGCCCTAAACATTGAACCAATTTGTGCTCATGTTTAGCCCAGTTCATTACCTAAAACAAATATCTGCAGGAAAGTACAGCCACAAATCTGCTCTTAGACGTCATTTCTCCTCAACAACTCCATTCTGACCACTAAAGTTGCTAGTTGGACAGTAAACAATTACCAGCACATTGGGAAAAAAGAACAGGACTGCTAAACTATGTTGGAAAGCCTCAAAGAATTGTCCTTTGCTCCCAGAAACCTTGATGTTAAAACTTGAGAAAAAGACAATGGACACAGGGGTCATCTTTTATAGGAAGACAAGCCTTCTGCCACCTTGAGAAGGCACAGGGGAAGAAATTGGGGCCCTATTTTCAAAAGACAAGCACTCTGTTGCTATAAAAAAAGCAGTTTAGATGGGGGATTGGGACCTATTGCCTTGCGCAAACATGGAGATCTAAATCCTCATAGCAACATGGATAAAACCCTGAAGGCCCTTTGCCTTGTCTTGACTTTAAGTCTTCCATCAACTGGAGGCCCAGACTGTACTGGTGAGACTGTCTGCTACACTGAGACATCTTAGACAAAAGCAAGAGAGCTCTTCATCTTCTAAAGACAACACACACAGAAGAAAAACTGTACTCTATTTGTTCATGCTGTTTCCAAGTTGTGGAAGGCTTGTTAGAAAACTTAATGTCTGTCAAGAACAGTGGCTCTCACCACAGCGACTGTGGTGTACATAGACTGTTTAGGGGTTCGTCATGGGGTCCTTGCTCACAGAAAGATGTGATTAAAGAAGATCTGTCTCTAGCAGCATTTTAAAGACCATATGTCAGCTTTTCTCTGTCTCTCCTCAGCGGTCTGTGATCATTGGGTTGTTGCACCACAGGACCTGAATGTCCAATTTTTGGGGTAACCCTGTGACAAAGCACATTATAATGAGATTCTTCAGAGATTTTAAATAATTAATATGAGTAGCATTGTGATATTATATACAAGGAGTCCATCTACAACAAACATTCCGCTTTGAAGTATTTAAAAAAAGGAGCTGGAGCAGTAGATGTTTGAAAAACTCCAATAATTGCTCTTTTTTTTGTCCCATTGACTTCAGCACAAAATTTTACCATAGTTTTTCGCAACCTACATTGCAAAAAACTCGTGTGCTATAGAGAAAAGTAATAGTACACTGATCCTAATCAAACCACCTGGTTTCCCAATAGGACTCCCTGCTGCTCTACCATTGGCAGCAAGTATCACCTGAGGTGCACTATGGGTTAAAGCTCTGTAAGAAAAATGACAAATAAAGGCCAGTGTTGACAGTATTTTCTTCTCTAGAAGAGCCAGAATATTGGCCCATACTGGGTATTTAGCTGTTGTTTTCTGACCCTGGAAAAAGGTGGGGGCTGCTGCCAAAACTGAAATATGTGTCCTCTTGCAAGGGTTTCCAGTACCTAATGATCCGAAACAGTCCTGCAGACATCAGCAGAAGCAGCCCACCCACCCCTGATCTGGACCAAATGGGCCTCCTGGCTAACCAAAGGCTTGAGTGCTGAGGTCCTGATGCTTTTTGATAGTCCGAGCACACTTGTGAATCAGAGTAAAACATTTCCGTTAGCATGTTGTCAAGTTTCCCTAATAATGTTCTCTGGAAGGGTTGTCTGAGTCAGTAAGATCAGCCTATGAGTCAACAAGGCTAATGACATCTGTGCACTATCACAATAAGTGAGTTGGAAGTGACTAGGAGAGGCATCATCTATCAGATTAATGGTGTCCTGGTCTTCTGTGTGTTAGCAGCAGTTCTAATGGAAACTAGTAGAATAGCCAGAGGGCTCCTAGCTTAACCTGCAGTGGCTGAGTTGTAGGTCCATGGGCACTGCAGGTTAACTGTAACCCTATCAGGGCCAAGAAGTGTAAAAGCTGCCATCTCACTCTCTACTTGTGGTATGTCACCCAGGTGCTGCTCGGGGCATTACACGCCACAGACATACAGACCTGCCTACATAATTAAACACAGCTACAGCAGAGACAAGGCTTAAAATACTCAGATGACAACAACAACAACACAGTATGAACAACCAGCTGACAAACCGCTGGGTCTCAATGCACCTGCACAACAAAGTACTGGATTATCAGCTCCACCATGTGCAACATAAGGGAGGTAAATACTTCTAGGTTATCTGGATGATTTTGGTTCAGGTTTCCTTCTTCTATCAGAAAATCAGCAAAGGCTTGATAATCTGATGTTTCTCCAGATTATCTCACCACTTTTCCTGTGGTGTAAAGTAGGAGAGATTTTACTCCTCCTGATCCTCTTGGAAGATGATAAATATTAAACATGTTCAATATTTACAGTCAGAAATACAGGAACCCTGAAGATAGTTGAGCATGTTCTCTGCATATTGTCAGAATGAACAGAAGAAAAACCAATCAGGAAGCAAGCTGACTAAAGAAGGAAGCACAAGTGCAACCATGGCAATAACATAAAACGCAAAATATGTCAGAACGACTGAACTCACTTGTTGATTTGTGGTAACAACACAGCTGTACACAACATCTGACCCCAAAATTAACAAAACTGAATAGGGAAAGAGTTGAACAGAAATCACCACAGCATCAGATGTACCAGGAAGTTCAGCAGCAAGCACTGACTGGCTCCTGTCCACCTTGTTTGTTTACTTGAAAGACACATTTTACCGTAAATAAATTTTTTAAATTTTCAGTTTTGACAGTCAGACTCTGGTTGAAAGAAACATTTTGTGAGTGGTGGGCTATGTGTACTATATCACTGCACACCACACATACTCAGGACACACTTTTAAATGGGTGATGATTTGGTATAAAGTGTTGGGTCCCACAAATTATTAAAATTTGTTAAGATTTTAAAAGTCTTTTGTTGTGTGCCAGGCTTTACTGGCTTCTTGTGAGGGGAAACATGACCAGGGTCGGGTCACAGGCAGAACACAGAGAGATATGTTTCATTTCATTTTTGCATTTTTTTTCTTGTCAGTTTAGCTGAACACCAAGTTTCACATTATAGAAGGAAAATCATTTCTTTTGCCACCTTTTTGCATTGGTGCACTGGTATTCTTTGTTTTGTCTCATTGCACTTACACAAGTAAAATACAGAGTTTTGCTGTACACTGGTAAAAGATAACATGTTTTACTTAACATATATTAGCCTACCAACAATGCTACATTGGGACAAAAACCCCTTTCACTCAAATGAGAAGGGGAAATCTATTCCCACAGACCCTTTTAAGCACTTGAATAATTATGTAACATGGCCTTATGAAGCCAAAACATCCTTGAGAACTCTTTAAATGTTAGTGTTTGGAATTTATCACCTCACTGTTTACATGATGCTCTGTAAGACATAAGAATGTAATAGCAGAGTGTATTGTTTGGGTAAAGGAATCAGGTTTGAGGAAGGAGAGCATGGTTTTGAGTGTTGTGTAACCCTTTTCAGTTTTTGTTGAGAGCTTTGAGAAACTGAGCCACAGTTTCTGGAAATATGTTTCAACATTTGGGAAAAACTTTAATAAGCATTGCGTAACAAAAACAAAATGATTGGAAGTTGGGATCCATTCTGTTTATGAAATTTTCTTCATGCCAATGGTTTTCCTTTTGTAGTTCATCTTTGCTTTTTCAACACTAGATGGTGCAGTAGCTCCATTTATGGAAGCAACTGTTTCACAGTCCCGGTCGAGCGTCAGCCTGAAACAAAACCTCAGAGTCAAAGAATCATTTTGGAATAACGACAACTTATTTCCCAAGGAATAAAGCACATTTACATATTTAACATCTCTGTATGCTGCAGTTTATTTCTTGATGACAAGAGTCTCTACAGAGTAAAATGTGTGGTCTGTAAATGTGAAGAAAGATTTCAGCCAGATCAAAATCTCATTAATATTTATTTTCAGAGATGTATACACTTGTCTTTGTATAAACAATTTTGCATTTAAACACTATGAATAGAAGTCTTTATTATACTCGTAAGGACAGATGAGGAGGATTGCCATCAAAGTAGCGGTCACCTTGATCATTGGAGGGAAGGGAATATTGTATAAAAATTATAAGGAGGTTCATAAAAGCTGTGCAGTCTGTCATGGTCATCTCCTGATAATAGACCTAAAAGGCTAAGCTAATGTCCAGCTTTTCCTGATTATGCATACTAATGACACGTCAAGTATTCATCACAAAAATCTTTTTTCACTGGGTGAGGAGGGCAAACGGTAATAAACGGCTGAATTTATTCATTTGAGGTATAATCCCTTTAATCATGAGGAGGAAACTGTCATGAGACTGGTAGGCCAGGCTGCTTGAAATCTTCAGTAATTTTACTAAATCAGTTTTTTTTTTTTTTTTTTTATGTAACATGATCACTTAACCACCTAAAAACAACCAATCCTAAAGGAGCCGGTGAGCCTAAAAGCTTTAGAACATTAGCCTTATAATTAAGAGATAATAAAAACAATTGCTTTTCCACGCTCACTCAGGGGAAACAGAACTGCAGGTGCCATACGCAGCAGTGCAGGTTTTTAAAGACTGGGGCTGCCTACCGGCCCAATATTATACTCTGAGGCGAGCTGCAGTGGGCTTTTGTTGAAGTGCTTGGGATAACACAAAGAGAACTTCAAACAGGCTTCTTATTGTGCTCTATTCTTCTGGGCAAGCTGATTACAGTTAAGGATAAAAGTTGTTCCTATACAGTAAACTAATGCGGGGAATCAGAGAGCACTAATTAAGTCATGGGGGGATCCGAAGCGGTCGGCATGGCTGTGTTCCCCAACAACCCAGACCAATGGGGGTTTTAGTGAGAACTTTACAGCCCAACAGCAGTCAGCATCAAACGTGTTTACTGTCAGCTGAGTGTCCGGCTGAGGCATGAACTGCTGGATCTGCAAAGCCACCTGGGAAAAACAGCAGAAGCTCTTAGTCTGAGTACTGATAGGCCTTTCTTCTCCCCTTCCCTTTTTTCTTCCCTTTTTCTTACTGCCTTTAGCAGAACTCACAAAGTTGCTCCAAATGCCAACATTGTCCAAAGCAAACACAGACACTGACTCTCTATCAAAGCAGTGTTTCTTTTTTTTTAAATGGATCAACAGTTTTTTCCCACTTAAGTGGTGATCTTGAGCGAGAAGTGAGCCCAAGTGGGCCCTTACAAAATTTAAATCGTTAACATAATGGAAAATTATATTCAGTCAGTTGAATTTTAACCTTTGCTTTAACTTTTATGTTGAGGGCAAATGTAAAAACAAAATCTGATCAATTTTTTATTATTATTTATTTTCCTTTGTGCAATAAAAGTCAGGCAGCTGAAAAGAAACCTTTGCTCCTTCAGATTCCTTTGTCACATCATACATATTTTTAGACAATTAAGCCTGTCTTTCAGGTCAATGTCAGAGCATTGTGTCTAATCTTCAAATACCAACTACTGAAGTTTGATAAAATGAATAGAAGTGGTCGTGCTCAACGCAGGGGGCAGGTAACTTTCGTGAAAACAGCAAAAGTTAACTGTAATCTGAAATATTATTACAGTGAGAATGCCACAGCTGACAGTCATACATACTACACATTTAACTTTTTTATTTCAATATTTTAATAATATCTTATTCCAAACCTTCAATAATATATAAAAACAAGTGTGAGGTGGAGATGCTGCACACTTTATAACAACATCACTGAATAGCTAGCTGACGAAAAATTGCTTGTGTTTGCTTGGTAAACCATATGAAAAATTAATTGACTCAACTTTAAAAAAAAAAAACTGTATTTGATTCTGCGCATGTGTGCATTTATTTACTGGGAGATTTGTGGATGAAATATTAGATTAGATACAACTTTAGTTATCCTTTTGGGAGTTCCCTCAAGGAAATAAAAACATGTAAAAAAAAATGTGTGTATTTAGAGTTGATGGGATTTTTGCATTTGTGCATCTAACATCAAAATGCTGGTCTGCCACATCACCAGAAATATGATCTACTTTTTGCCTTTCTTTTACTGACTTTATATGTCATCCTTGTGTTAGTCTGGCTTTTATATGCTCTTAAGTCCTCTGTATGCGGCATTCATACATATTTCTCCAATATTTGTCTACCTTTTAAAAATGTTTGGCCCTTGAAATAAACTCATTCGATTTAAAGATGTGACCTGTCAGCAAACCCATCACCTAATCTTGTATAGAAAAACATTTCAGCAAACATGCACTGATGTTGTTATTCATTTCCCTTTCCTGGCCCTGTCTATTAGATTCCCTTGTCCTTGTTATATTAATGAGAATTCTTCATCTACAAGTGTATTCTTTTTGCATCCTAAAGCAAATTATGTATAAATGAGCAGCATCCAGAGGCAGTAAGACGCCAACTGGGAGATTATTAACAACAGTTTATACAAAATGTTGCTGTGTTTTATGCTTTGTATAAAGTTGTGCCCGGTTTGTATTGCCCATGCACATAATCACACACATTTACATTTTGAGTGAACACACACACACAAGTAGACTGATGCTTTTCTTATCCCTTGACTTGTTATTGAGAGGGCTTGCATGTCCTGCAGCCTGTAGCCACCTGCAAATTACAATTTAGTATTCCAAGAGTTAAGACTGTGTTCTTTCAACCTATTGTGCGTGTGTACGTGTGTGTGTGTGTGTGTGTGTGTGTGTGTGTGTGTGTGTGTGTGTGTGTGTGTGTGTGTGTGTGTGTGTGTGTGTGTATGTGTGTGTGTGGGTGTGTCGGGGGAGGGGTAGAGGGAGTCTGGTAGAAAACCTTTAATCCGGGTGCTGTCAGGCCCAAACCCGGCTTGACGTCCCATTGATGTGGAACAGAACAAAACACAGGGCCCCTTGCTAAGCTCCCACTGGCTCATACACACACACACACACACACACACACACACACACACACACACACACACACACACACACAAACAGGGCCCCTCACTAAAGCCCCTTGCCAGGGCCCCTGCTCCCTAACTGGGAAGGGCATTCCTTGGCCTAAAAACACGCATGTGCGTACACAAACTACTGCTCACTCTCTCACACACACATGCACACGCAAACACACCCTGCACCACAATCTTAACTCTTTAAGTACTGTGTTGTAAATTGCAGGTGGTAAGGGCATGACGGTTCGTCCCTTTTGCTTGGGGTGTGTCAGGTGTGTGTGTGTGTGTGTGTGTGTGTGTGTGTGTGTGTGTGTGTGTGTGTGTGTGTGTGTGTGTCTATTCGATTCCATACTCAAACCTGACTGCATCAGTGTGTGTGAGTGTGTTTGTGTGTGATTCAGAGAGAAAGGAGACACTTAGCTTTTAAAGTAGTGAACCCACTTTGGACACACATGTGAACACACATACACATATATTTGCCTGTGAGACGCTTGGATACAGTTAACAGAAGCCAGATGCCCCACTATGTGTTGCTGTGTATCCGTGGCGACAACAAACAGTTATTATTGTCCTCCTGTTTGGACAGCTCCCAGCCTTCAGCATCTCTGCTTACTATTAGGTTAAAGAAGAAGAAAAACAGACAAGGAGACAAAAAGCAGGGACACAGACAGAAAGTGGCAGATGAATGTCTGAGCAGATACAAAATACAGCTTGCATTAGAATAAACATGTGTTTTGGCTACAGGTCCTGTGTGTCTGGCGTGAGATAGTAATGTGTACTTAGCTGTTTTCTCTTTCACCAGCAGGTGGGGTTGTTGGCAGCAGTTCAGCAGAATCCAACTTTGACTCAACTTTGGCCTTGAGGTTGGAGGATTTTGCTGCATCAGTTCTACCCCCCTAGACTTGAGGTGGTCTTGAATGGTTCATTCTGAGGTTTCACTTAAAATAACTAGGAGCTTAAGTAGCCATACACCTATTGATTGAAAAAAAGGATCCCCACCTGTGACTTGACACACCTAAATGGTCTGCAGCTTTACCCTCCTCGCCAACTCCAGGACTCGATTTCCGCTCTTAAATTTTCGGACAACTTCATACCCGGCGCTGGAATCTTACTGCTTCCGTTTTGGAAATGTCAGAATTTGGAGTGAGCTGTTTGTTCGAGCTGGGCTGCACTCCAGAGAGGCCCAAGCTAAGTCCCAACCAAAATGTTTTTATTGACGGGGGAAAGCAGTCAGGCCGACAGCACCGATTGGCTGTAATTGGTCGGCAAATCCGTGGTGTGTTTGAAATACCCTATGTAAAGTGGCAGCCTTTAAAAAGCACACACACATTCATTCACTCAGACATACGCCCACCCCTGTTTCTCCCCTCCTGACGCTTTAAGAGAAGCCAGATGTGCCACGGGGAAGCAATCACCCCTCTATTTGTCTTGGTGCTGATCAGGTTAGAGAAGTGTTCACAGGCCTGGCCAGGAGTCTACACACTGCTGCCTGTTGTCCCTGAAGCCAACTGGCCCGGTCAGACTGCTCTGGGACTGTCTAAACAGCCTTACAGTGAGTGTGGAGAAATCCTCTATCATCAGCAGAAGGCCAACAAGGGGCAGGAATAATGATTCTTTTATGTTACTGTCTCATTGCAGATGTTGGAAATAAGACTGGGCTCAGATGAAAACCACTTTCTGGCTACTTGAGTAAAGCCAAACGGCCCACTGAGCTAATCTAAATATGAAGGTCAGCAAAGAAGCTAGTAGCTAACATCTTTCATTTGTTGATATGGACACAATCGTTTAGGCCTGGGTCAATGGATGGAAGGTGTGGAGGCAGCAACATGTTTGTATCCATGTGCACATTTTTCAGTGTGTGTATGGATAGCATTCCAGCCACAGATGGTTTAGTTTAAAGCGAAGAAATGAGCACCAGACACAGAGCAGTGACAGTGAACGAAAGCCTCAATGATACACACACACACACGCACACACACATATAGACGTAGCCCTTACTGTGCGGGTTAATGGAGTGACGGAATACAGAAGGAATTTACTCAAGGACTCGGGAGTGAACTGTTAGGTAGCCACTAAACTGCCCTGCAGGAACTCCAGGCACTGCTCACTTTTTTACATTATCAGGCATTTATAATGTCTTGATGAGGGCAGATTATGCACAAGGCTGAAGAAGGTGTCAAAGTAAAGGGAAGAAATGCCGACAGCAATTTACAGAAAAGCAAAAATGATGGTCAGCGAGGGAGACGTGGAAGCAAAAAGCACATTAGAAGTTGCACCTGGGTGGAGTCCTCATCAGTGAAACCTGATCCCTCGCTGCCTCATGATTGGCTGGCCCTCCTCTGAACCCTGACCCTTGACTTTGTCTGGGCTTGTGACCTTGGGTGAAGAGCATTGTGTCTCCTCCCAGACTCTCCCTTCTCTTTCGCTCCTGGCTTCTCCCCTCTACCCATCCGTCTCCAGTAAGCGAGGGTCGTCGGGAAGGAGATGGGGAGAAGAAATGTCAGCGAGACATTAAACAGAGTGCGTCTGTGTGTGCTCTCATAGTCCAACCTGTCTGATCCCCCCCTCCATTCTTCCCCCCTCTTCCTCTAACTCTTCATGTACTCTCAATATACGCTTCTTCACAGAGCAATAAATTCATCCTGTCCTCTCTAAATCTTTAAATCTCTCAGGCCTCTTTTGCCACATCAATACCCTGTACATTTTTTTAATGCTTTCTGCCTCTTTTTGCATTCCAGTGGGTCAATATGCCCCTTATCAAAGCATGTAAATCATATAAAACTACAGTGTCTAAGTTTTGCAACAAGAAAGTATGGATCAAAAGGGGAAAACCAACTGCAGAAGAAGTTGTGTTTTAACATGGTGGACTTAAATATATCAAATATGATGCAACATAATATGGTAGGATATGATATTATTTGATTCTATTTGTTGCAATATGATTCATTACGATACGATACACTGATATGGTACAATGGGATTCCATACGGCATATCTCATGTGGTATAATGAGGTAACATATGATGCATTGCATTACAATAGGATGCAATACAATATGGTGCAATACAATACAGTACAGTATGATACAGTCTTTATTTATGATATGATACAATATGATATGATATGATATGATGGATTTAGAAAATCGGATATGTCACATTTTATGATATGGTATAATAATATACGATAGGATATGACGCAAAACAATAGAGTACAATACTGTTCCATATCATACAAATTAATAAAGGTTTTAAAAACAAGAAATGTAATAATACCCTCTGTTTTTTTTATGAGGGACTTATTAGACTTAAATGTTGTATTATCTAACTGCCTCCACATGATGCCCAACCTACTAAGAAGCAAATAACATTGACAACCACACAGTACATTACATAAACATTACATTATATAGTCCACATAAACATGACATAATGAAAGGAAAAAGATTTTGCGCCATAAAACTGCAGCACGGCTCTTAAAACTTTAAACTAAAAAATATTTATCTTGTTTAGTTTTGATTTGTTCAAAACAGAAGATGCAATTGAAAAAGCAGATGTATAAAAACGTTAACAAATGTGGCATAAAAACAAACAAACTTGTGATTGAAAACCCCCTATATTGATGTGGAAAAAACTGTCCTATACATACAGTACAATTTCAGCACTTATGCCTGAAGGACAAAAAAATCTCTCCATTTCTTGTCAGAAACATTTTTTAAAATGTCACTTTAATCTTGATGTGCAATGAGTGAGATAGCAAAATTAACACTATTGTGCAATATTAAGCAAGCAACATGCATAGTGAGAATGTCATATTTTGTAGGTTTTCAGGTTTGAGCTATAAAATCATTAGAAAAGATAATTTTTAACATACAAGTTAAGGTTTTAGAGAGTGTGATGGACCAGATTTTATCTTAGCTGGGAGCACTTTTGAGATTTTTCTAGTAAGAAGTTTTAGCTCCTTTTTTCTAATGTTAAGCTGAACTGATAATAGTGCCAACTGAATTATCTGGAGATGTTAGATTGACATAGGTTGTCTTATTTATCTCTGTGAAGAGTAAAAGTATTTCCCTATTACTATTTATTTGATTTTGTGTCAGGCAGGAAGTTTATCTGGTACATTTTTCCTTTTTAAAAATCTTATTTAAGAGAGATCTTTTTTTTGGTGCTTCCACAAATAGTGGTGCGAGTAACGACTGCTATCATTGTTTTCTCGCAAAAGAAGTTTTCTTCTCTCCTCTCCTCCCTGTCACACCTGCACACCTGCACACACACACACACA